GACCAGCTTCATTACCTCTCAATGTGAGACTCAATGTGGCAAAAAAAGTTTTCTCAGTCAAAGTGTAGAATACTCCATGCACTGCATAAACTACACAAAAAGAGAGCAAGAAAAACCTCTGTTGTTCAAACTGACTGCAAGATGACGTATCCGAGGCGAACGCGCAGGAAACGTTTAGACAAAAACAGAATGCGTTGCTGTTTTGATGTGAAGATTGATTTCTGCTCCTTCAGTCTCATAGTTTTATTTAAAAACCCATGAATTAATCCTTAAAAGAGATAGGCCCAGATAAAAATCCTCAAAAGTGAGACAAAACTCAGAAATCTCATGCGGTTTTTTTCTTTGGCCGTGCGGAATAATGAGGCTTACGGACTAGGCAAGTCATATCCAACAACACTGAACAATGTTGGCAGCTGTTGGCCAACAATAAAAAAATTAACCTGGTTAAACTCTTTTAGACTGGTTACGGTTTTGAAAAATGTTTTACCGGGTATTTCAAAAACCTACCCGGTTAACTTGCCAAGTGCGGCCGCAGCCAATTGTTGCGACCGTTTGCACAAGGCTTCAAAATTTCATGTTTCATGGAGGACGAAAACAAGTGACGGCAAAGATTACGGCGAATTTTTCTTTCTCTTTCTAAACTTAATAAAATTTGAGGCGATCTCCAGGAAATCAACTCCAGGGAAATTCGCCTACATTTGACTTTTTCAGCGAATTGAAATAAACGCGACAAAGTTTGAAAAAACTCGAATTGATTTTAAAAGTTACGTTTTCGCTGCCGTCGCCGTCGTCGTAGGGACCTCAAGATCCGAGGACGGCGACGGCAGAGAAAACGTTGCTGAAAAAGTGAATTCGTGTTCTTTCAATCTTCATCACGATTAGTCCAAGTCATTAACTTTGTCAAATGTAGGCGAACCCTCCTAAAGTTGAATTCCTAAGAACCATATCCAAGTTCAGAAAGAGAGAGGAAATTTCGTCGTCGCTTGTGTACTTCCTTTGTACATCGTGAAAATAGGCATTTTCACGTCGTAGTCTTGCAGTGACGGCAAAGAAATGTACAACAAAGCGTGATGCACGTGCAAAATTGTTGTTTTGCTAATTAAACCTATTGCTTTTGTGGCGTTTCCGTTGCGGTCGCCGTCGTCGGGAAGTTGACTGTTAGGAGAGAAGCTCTGGGAACGAGGTCGGACAAGTAGCCGAGGAGACCCTGGGACGAGGACCTCTTTTTTGTCACTTTGTACAGCTCTGGAGCAACCTCAGCTTTGTGTATGAACAAGGAAGATTCAAGACGCGATGAGCTGTTTTGGAAAATAACTCAACTTTATTTATGGTAAATGTAACTGTATTTTGTGTAAGTACACTTTTTCTACAGCCCAATCATCCTACAATCTTGTGAGCAAGTGTGGCTTGGGAATTAATGGCCATGTCCACGCTAAATTGGTCAAAATACTGTTTTCTTTCCACCTGTGGATTTTCTGTTCTTCTTCTTGCAGCGCTAAATTTTTATGACATTCCAGGACTGAAAGTCATGAGATTGATGTCGAACTTCACTGCTGACATCTATTTTGAAAATAACTCACATTCGCTTAAATTTCACCACCCAATGGATAAATTTATGGTGGACAGGAACAACATGACTACAACGGTGCAACCCACTGAAGAAGAGAGGACCAAGACAGTCGTTCTTGTCTACACTAAGTTCTTCAGGAGAGTGAAGTGGATAGGAGATGGTGATAACTGCGGATTTGAAAACAAGTTTTTATTTGCCTCAAATAAATGTCTCTCAGGTGATTTCGAATTGATTTACGACAAACAGCGGTTTGAGGAAAGCGACTTAGTCGTGTTTCACGCTAGAAACATGCCAAGTGTAGATCATCTGACAACGCTTCTGAAAAGCAGGCCCACTTCACAGCGCTGGATATACGCTTTGTGGGAAAGTCCAAATGCAACACCAAATCCTGCTCCATTAAACGGGCTTTTTAACTCAACATGGACTTATAGAAGCGATTCAGATTTTTGGTCGCCGTATGGAAGTTACGAGGAACTGACTGAAGAAGAAAAAATCGATAAAATGAAAAACATACCGGACTATTCCCAAGGAAAAACTGATCTTGTGGCTTGGATGGTTAGTAATTGTCGCGCTCAACCTCGAATGGCATTTGTGCAAAACCTGAAAAAATACATCAAGGTTGATGTGTTTGGAAGGTGTTCCGGAAAATTTGGGCAACATAGAGGTTGTAGAAATCTAGCTGCTTGCCTTAAAACGTTTAAGTTTTATCTGGCATTCGAGAACGCTTTATGTGAGGATTACATCACCGAAAAGTATTGGGGAAGACTTGGTAAGTCTTTGTCTTTTCACTGTTTTGATAGCTGTTTTGAAAACTTGCCAGTCAGGGCAGTCTTGCAAGTAAACATAAAAAAGTTTAAATGTCAAACTTGTCATGTACTGAACCTAATTCATTCACCCCACACCACGGTTTTCATCGTTTTGAATTTGCTGAACCTACTCTGACTGCGTTTGTGTTACAAATTTGTACTTGTGTTACAGGAAAACTGCCCTTATCTTTCAATCAATCAGAATTGAGTATTTTTTTGTGTATATTTATAATGGTAACTGAACTGAGTAAAGTGCAATTTGGTCTGAAATCATACTAGCCTGCGTTGCAGCGGCCCACGCACTCGTCAAAACCATTTGTATTGTCCGTCTCCAAATTAGTGCACAAAAGCTCGTTCTTCTATCCTGCAGAGTCGCAAGGACGTATGTGAGCATTTCTGATAGGCGGGTTTCTCACCGGTTTCTTATGCGCCTCACGATTGGCCTAATTCTTACGTGTGCATGACGGTTGGGCGAAGTGACATGTCAAATTCACAGAAGGGAGTTGGCAAGGATCGTTTACAGTAAACAATGTAACAGCAGTTCAAACTTTAAAGCCTTCTTCTAAACAAAAAAATTCTTTGAGAGAATTCCTTTAAGGCCGGAATTTGCTTGTATATTTGCCGACTGGTTTTCCAGCGTCTTCCAATCGCTGCAGATGCTCTGTCACCGTATTCTGCAATCTAGCTGACAGTTCTAGCGTCAAAACAAATCAAGATCTACAGAGTGCAGAATAGATGTCTAAATGTCATTGGTCTGCCTAGGGATACTGTTGAGTCACAGTGTAACTAGGCGTCAGAGTTTGACGAGGAAAGAATTTAAACGTATCCTAGAATCAGAAGCACATCCTTGCAAACATTTTTTGGACAAGCCAGTGGATCATGGCCATAATCTAAGATCTTGTAAGACTAACCCAGCGCACCTCAGAATACCTGTATCATGCACTGTTAGGCACAAACAATCGTTTATTCCTAGAGGTGCTAAACTTAACCTAATTTGATATGTATATATAATATGTAGTGTTTTGAATTTTTATTGTAATATTACTGTAATTCTTATCGCCAAAGGTAATAAATAAAGGCATTATTATTATTATTATTATTATTATTATTATTATTATTATGAAATCATGATGTTCACAGCCCCCCCAAAAAGCACAAAAAGCTACACACGTAGCTATCCAGGTCAAGGCATTTCGGAGAAAACCAAGGAAACTGAGGTTATTATTTATCCGCAATAAAAAAGCTTAAGGTTTAAACAAAGGTAAAAGAAAATCGTTGAAATGGTAAACTGCAGCTGTGATTAAATACTGTCAAAAACAACAGTTGCCGAAACATAAATCACAGGAACTAATTACTGAATATGCATGGAACGGACCAGCTTCATTACCTCTCAATGTGAGACTCAATGTGGCAAAAAAAGTTTTCTCAGTCAAAGTGTAGAATACTCCATGCACTGCATAAACTACACAAAAAGAGAGCAAGAAAAACCTCTGTTGTTCAAACTGACTGCAAGATGACGTATCCGAGGCGAACGCGCAGGAAACGTTTAGACAAAAACAGAATGCGTTGCTGTTTTGATGTGAAGATTGATTTCTGCTCCTTCAGTCTCATAGTTTTATTTAAAAACCCATGAATTAATCCTTAAAAGAGATAGGTCCAGATAAAAATCCTCAAAAGTGAGACAAAACTCAGAAATCTCATGCGGTTTTTTTCTTTGGCCGTGCGGAATAATGAGGCTTACGGACTAGGCAAGTCATATCCAACAACACTGAACAATGTTGGCAGCTGTTGGCCAACAATAGAAAAATTAACCTGGTTAAACTCTTTTAGTCTGGTTACGGTTTTGAAAAATGTTTTACCGGGTATTTCAAAAACCTACCCGGTTAACTTGCCAAGTGCGGCCGCAGCCAATTGTTGCGACCGTTTGCACAAGGTTTCAAAATTTCATGTTTCATGGAGGACGAAAACAAGTGACGGCAAAGATTACGGCGAAGTTTTCTTTCTCTTTCTAAACTTAATAAAATTTGAGGCGATCTCCAAGAAATCAACTCCAGGGAAATTCGCCTACATTTAACTTTTTCAGCGAATTGAAATAAACGCGACAAAGTTTGAAAAAACTCGAATTGATTTTAAAAGTTACGTTTTCGCTGCCGTCGCCGTCGTCGTGGCAGTAATAGGGACCTCAAGATCCGAGGAAGGCGACGGCAGAGAAAACGTCGCTGAAAAAGTGAATTCGCGTTCTTTCAATCTTCATCACGATTAGTCCAAGTCATTAACTTTGTCAAATGTAGGCGAACCCTCCTAAAGTTGAATTCCTAAGAACCATATCCAAGTTCAGAAAGAGAGAGGAAATTTCGTCGTCGCTTGTGTACTTCCTCTGTACATCGTGAAAATAGGCATTTTCACGTCGTAGTCTTGCAGTGACGGCAAAGAAATGTACAACAAAGCGTGATGCACGTGCAAAATTGTTGTTTTGCTAATTAAACCTATTGCTTTTGTGGCGTTTCCGTTGCGGTCGCCGTCGTCGGGAAACTAGTTGACTGTTAGGAGAGAAGCTCTGGGAACGAGGTTGGACAAGTAGCCGAGGAGACCCTGGGACGAGGACCTCTTTTTTGTCACTTTGTCACTTTGTACAGCTCTGGAGCAACCTCAGCTTTGTGTATGAACAAGGAAGATTCAAGACGCGATGAGCTGTTTTGGAAAATAACTTAACTTTATTTATGGTAAATGTAACTGTATTTTGTGTAAGTACACTTTTTCTACAGCCCAATCATCCTACAATCTTGTGAGCAAGTGTGGCTTGGGAATTAATGGCCATGTCGACGCTAAATTGGTCAAAATACTGTTTTCTTTCCACCTGTGGATTTTCTGTTCTTCTTCTTGCAGCGCTAAATTTTTATGACATTCCAGGACTGAAAGACATGAGATTGATGTCGAACTTCACTGCTGACATCTATTTTGAAAATAAATCACATTCCCTGAAATTTAACCACTCAATGGATAAATTTATGGTGGACACCAACAACATGACTACAACGGTGCAACCCACTGAAGAAGAGAGGACCAAGACAGTCGTTCTTGTCTACACTGTCTTCTTCGGGACAGTGAAGTGGATAGGAGATGGTGATAACTGCGGATTTGAAAACAAGTTTTTATTTGCCTCAAATAAATGTCTCTCAGGTGATTTCGAATTGATTTACGACAAACAGCGGTTTGAGGAAAGCGACTTAGTCGTGTTTCACGCTAGAAACATGCCAAGTGTAGATCATCTAAGAAAGCTGCTGAAAAGCAGGCCCACTTCACAGCGCTGGGTATACGCTTTGTGGGAAAGTCCAAATCCAACACCAGATCCTGCTCCATTAAACGGGTTGTTTAACTCAACATGGACTTTCGGAAGCGATTCAGATTTCTTGTCGCCGTATGGAAGTTACAAGGAACTGAGTGAAGAAGAAAAAGTAGAGAAAATGAAAAACATACCAGACTGTTCCCAAGGAAAAACTGAACTTGTGGCTTGGATGGTTGGTAATTGTGGCGCTCAACCTCGAATGGCGTTTGTTCAAAACCTGAAAAAATACATCAAGGTAGATATCTTTGGAGATTGTTCTGGAAAAAGATGTTCAAATCCGCCATCTGATTGCCTTAAAAAGTTTAAATTCTATTTGTCATTCGAGAATGCTTTATGTGAAGACTACATTACCGAAAAGTATTGGGGAAGGCTTGGTAAGTCTTTGTCTTTTCACTGTTTTGATAGCAATTTTGGAAACTTGCCAGTCAGGGCAGTTTACAAGTAAACATAAAAACATGTAAAAAAGTTTAAATGTCAAACTTGTCATGTACCTTCACCCCACACCACGGTTGTTTTCATCGTTTTGAATTTGCTGAACCCACTCTGACCGCGTTTGGGTTACAAATTTGCACCTGTGTTACAAGAAAACTGCCCTTTACTTTCAATCAATCAGAATTGAGTATTTTTTTGTGTATTATTTATAATGGTAATTGAACTGAGTAGACTGCAATTTGGTCTGACATCATACTAGCCTGCGTTGCAGCCGGCTCACGCACTCGTCAAAACCATTTGTATTGTCCGTCTGCGAATTAGTGCACAAAAGCTCGTTCTTCTATCCTGCAGAGTCGCAAGGACATATGTGAGCATTTCTGATAGGCGGGTTTCTCACCGGTTTCTTATGCGCCTCACGATTGGCCTAATTCTTACGTGTGCATGACGGTTGGGCGCAGTGACATGTCAAAATTCACAGAAGGGAGTTGGCAAGGATCGTTTACAGTAAACCATGTAACAGCAGTTCAAACTTTAAAGTCCTCTTCTACACAAAAAAATTCTTTGAGAGAATTCCTTCAAGGCCGGAATTTGCTTGTATATTTGCCAACTGGTTTTCCAGCGTCTTCCAATCGCTGCAGATGCTCTGCCACCGTATTCTGCAATATAGCTGACAGTTCCAGCATGAAAACTAATGAAGATCTACAGAGTGCAGAATAGATGTCTAAATGTCATTGGTCTCCCTTGGGATACTGTTGAGTCACTTGTACCTAGGCGTCAGAGTTTGAAGAGGAAAGAATTTAAATGTATTCTAGAATCAGAAGCACATCCTTGCAAACATTTTTTAGACAAGCCAGTGGATCATGGCCATAATCTAAGATCTTGTAAAACTAACCCAGCTCACCTCAGAATACCTGTATCACGCACTGTTAGGCACAAACAATAGCTTATTCCTAGGGGTGCTAAACTTAACTTAATGTGATATGTATAATATGTAGTGTTTTGAATTTCTATTGTAATATTACCGTAATTCTTATCGCCAAAGGTAATAAATAAAGGTATTATTATTATTATTATGAAATCATGATGTTCAGGGCCCAAAAAAAGGTCCAGGCATTTAGGAGAAAACCAAGGAAACTGAGGTTATTATTTATCCGCAATAAAAAAGCTTAAGGCTTAAACAAAGGTAAAAGAAAATCGTTTTAGTGGTAAACTGTAGCTGTGATTAAATCCTGTCAAAGAAACATTGGCCGAAACATAAACCATGCACAGGAACTAATTACATGGAACGGACCCGCTTCATTACCTCTAAATGTGAGACTCAAAGTGGCAAAAAAGTTTTCTCAGTCAAAGTGTAGAATACTCCATGCACTGCATAAACTACACAAAAAGAGAGCAAGAAAAAGCTGTGTTGTTCAAACTGACTGTAAGGTCACATTTCAAACCACAAGCTCAATCTCTGTTGTCATGAGCTATTACACAGGAAAAAACAACGGATTCCCATTTTTGGATATTTTAGGGTATTTAAAGAATACCCATAAAAATCCCAAGTTTGGCAAAGTGAGACAAGTCCCAACCATGGAATTCCCAACCAAGTTCCCTGATTGGGACTTGTCTCACTCTTCCAAATTTGGGATTTTTGTGGGTATTCTTTAAATACCCTAAAATATCCAAAAATGGGAATCCGTTATTTTTTCCTGTGTTAGTTGTGTTTGGTTTTTCAACACTTAATTCAAATCGGACTAATCACAAACTGCATAAGAAACACGCCAACCAAAAGCGCCGAGATATGTCCTTGCGACTCTGTGGGATTTGAACACGATATTGTGCACTAATTCGCAGACGCTCTATACAGAAGGTTTAGAGTGTCTGCGACGCAGGCAAAAATCATAGAAAGCCTGCTTCCATTTGAAATTTAATAAAACTTAGAGTAACTTTAGATACACTTGGCAATTAATAATGGCATTTAATGAAATATTTAACAGGAATGAAGTTATTAACAGGACTCAAGTATTGTTAGTTGTAAGAAGTTCTATTCTTCTTTGAATAATAGCCAAATGTTGGGGGTGTCAAAGCAGAGAACAATAACCAGGAAAAGGATCACACTGGGGATTTCTTGATTGACGCTCTCTCTATATCATTTTTCACTTATCTGCATTTTCACGATCGATAATTAACAATGGGTGTGCATTTCTGTAATGTCTTGCCTGGGGCTACGCCTTGCTGATGAGTCCTTATGAGGAGAAAACAGCTGTCCATGGCTGCCACTAGTGGGGTGATATGGTCGTGCACATAGAATAGAATAGAATAATTTATTTCTATAGCGCATTTTCCTAACGCCCAAATGCGCTTTACAGTGTCAAACATATTATAATCTATACACTAAAAAAATATGTAAAAAATCCTAAGAATAAAAAAAATCAAAAGTCTAAAAGTCCAAAAAATTGAAAAAAAAAAGTTAAAGTCTAAAAACATGCTTGTCGAAAAAGATGGGTCTTAAGCGTAACTTTAAAGACAGAGACAGTTGCGCTGCTTTTAATCTCAAATGGAAGTGTGTTCCAGAGGTAAGGCGCACACACTGAGAAAGCTCTCAAGCCAATCAATTTGAGCTTGTGTGTTGGCTGCTCCAGTAGAAGTTGGTCAGCAGACCTAAGAGCTCGCCTAAGAACATAAGGACTGATGAGCTCAGTCAGGTACATGTGTAAGGTCAGCTGTTACTGGCCATACTGTGGAGTTGGTATGTGTACTTCAGTGCCTACAGCACGAAATTAATTTTTTGGATTACTAACCCTTTGGGTTAGTAGGCATGAATTTTACTAACCAAATTATAAAGTCTATTATCCAAGAATCTGTTCTTGAAGTTACAATATATTAACTACTGAAAATTGTGCTAATAAATGGGGCAAACTAAAGTATGGATGGATTGGTTTAAAATATTGTTTGTATAGGCTCATCGAACTGTAACCGGGTGAATGCTTTTTTTCATTCTTCTTGGAAATTCCTCCTTCTTGTTTTCGCTTTTCTTTGTATTGCTCCAGAGAGCCTTCTTTATTGTCGTAAACTATACTTGTTCTTTGTTGTTTTTCTGAATCTTCCATTTGCTCCTCACACCTTTCGTCCGGTGACCTATTTCTACCCCTTATTTGTGTTGGGTGTTCTGTGCATTATTGGGTGTCCTGTGCAATTAATAAGGGAGATTTTTTTGAGAATGCATTTTCGTCGTCGTCACACATTTGCCTCGCTTTGAGGCGCTTGCTTATGATTTGCCTCACTTTGACGCGCTAACTCACGTGGTGATTCTTGTGTCCGCGGCGTTCATCTTTCAAAGCGGTTTGCTAAGGTCTGATATTCTTCGTAAAGCGTTTATGTTTTAAAAAGTTTGCTGAATCTTCGTAAAGCGTACATCGATCTGTGTTTGCTGAATCATCCAAAGCGTTCATCTTTCAGAAGTTTGCTGTTAAAGTTTACTTTGGATTAAGCCTTCATATTTTTCAGCATCGTTCGTCACTGTCTTTAGAAAATGTCTGCGACTCCTGGTGCATGCATCAAACCGGGTTAAGTTCGGCGGCCGTTGTACCACTAGACTGCGAGCAGTCTCTTATTTTTCTTTGCAAAGTATGTACTGCACGCGAAACCTAAGCACGTGAGCGGCAAAACTGCGAGCCGCGAGAAACGAGGCGTAAGCCCGAGAAGAAAAAATCTCATTCCCTTTAGTAATAATGACGTCGTGGTTTGCAATCATGCTGGATGAGATAAGAACTAGACGGATTTAAAAGAGAAATGGCGGACTGCAAGCAGTCTATTGTACCACAAGGTAAATTTACCGAGTTGTGCAGTTCGGCGGCCAATGTGTCACGAAGTAAATCTACCGAGTTGTGTAGCTCGGCAACTGTTGTGCCACAAAGTAAATCTACCGCGATGTGAAGCTTGGCGGCGCCATTTGATCATGACTTGTGATATTTTCGGCACTGGACAAACGAACACTTTAACTCTATGTTATTTATTAGGAAAAACTTATAAACCAGCCCACAGTAGCGCCACTCTCGAGTCACTGAAATCAACACGTTCGACCAAATTACTGGAAAAGTTATTGATGTGAGCTGCACACACATTCCATTGAAGGCTTTGACAGGGTTTTGTGCGAAGTTTGAATTCAGATGTGAAAGCTTTTTTAAAAAACAGTAAATTCAATTTAATTCATTTTGTCAACAAGTTGTTGATTGGATGCTTTTAAAAATAACAGAGAAAATTATCTGAAGAAGTGTTTTTGAAGAAAGAAAAAGAATCCCGGGTCAAATAGAGGTTTCGCTGTACGCAACCCCTACGTTCAAAATATGCCATAATCATATTTATCTATATCGGAACCGCCCTTCCCGCTCCACTGCTACCTGTACGCCTAAAAAACATATCAAGCGCACTCTCCTAAGCTCCGATTACTCCTAGTTTGTATAATAAATAGGTTGCACAAATGAGCCACTTCCAAAAGAAAACAAACCAAAACAGAAACAAGCAAGATGACGGAGGTCTACTAAAGTTGTGTCCCAGATATCTCCTAGCCTTGTTACCTTGCCTCCTGCGAAATGCGACTTTTTCTTGTTGTGCAATTTAATATGCAGTAAGCATATCTTTTAGAACAAAAAAATTTTTTTTTTTTTGAACAAAAACAAAAAAATTGTTCAAGATAGAAAACAACCTTATGCAAAAAAGAAACACATCAGCCTTTCCTGAAAATTAATGCTCATTTGTATTAAAGAGGAATTTCTATGAATGATAATACTTAATTTAACAGAAATTTTAACTAACCATGTCGGGTTACTTGGGCACATTTTTAGTAAGCAAATGTTGGAAACTACTAACCGTTGGTTAACAGGTTACCGTTAATTTCAAGCCCTGCCTGTATGTTGTGGTTCCAATTTTCTGATGGATTAAAAAGACAAAAAGAAAGACAATCTTTACTTCATCTTTCACATTTATTGCAAATTTTAATTAATTTAGTAACAAGTTTAAAAGAGTGAAAGTTATGTCAGGCTACTTGAGGAATAAGGATTAAACAAAGAAATTTATTTCTTCTATCATCTCTTTCAGGTGAAGACATGAATGTGGTTCCAGTTGTGATGGGAGGTTCTAATTACTCCAAGCTAGCAATTCCAGGGTCTTATATCAATGTTATGGACTTCAAAACTGTTAAACAATTTGCGGAGTACCTTCAGTATCTGGACAAAAATAACACTGCTTACAATGAATACTTTAAATGGAGACTAAAATACAAGGTGTTTCGCAGCAACCTTGATTTATCAATGTGTCAAATCTGTAAATGGTATGTTTCAAGATATCCGCTTAAACCCAAAGTTTATGATGACCTTGCAGCACATTGGGTTGGAAAGGGACGATGTAATGTGAAAAATTCTCTCATCACAAGTATGTGGGAGGATTAAAAATTATTACCTTATTTGATTTTCATGAGACACGACCTAAGAACTGGTCATAAGGAAAAGGTACAGTTAAACTTTCAGTAAGTGGCCATGCATGTGGGAGGTAATGCAAGTGGCTGAGTTGGCCGCTTAATAGAGGTTTAAGTTCCCATTCTTTTCTGCCATTCTTTTTGGATTTTCATTACTGGCCACTTAATAGAGAGTGTCCGCTTAATAGGTGGCCTCTTAATGAAAGTTCAACAGTGTAATGTAATTTTAAAATGCATGCTTGGGTGAGCTAGAGAAAGTAAAAGGCTTTATAGAAAAGGCAATGCAATGACAACTGAAGACATGACGGTGCATGTGAAAGGACTGAACCCAACTTCCAGTGCTTTAAATTTGCCTTTGTCACTGTCATCATGTTGCACTGGGGAGAGCACTTGCCTCCCACCAATGTGGCCGGGGTTCAAATCCCGGTGTCGACACCATATGTGGTTTGAGTTTGTGTGTTGGTTCTCTCCCTTGCTCCAAGAGGTTTTTCTCGGGTACTCCAGTTTTCCCTTCTCCTCAAAATCCAATATTTTGAGATTCCAATTCGATTAGGAATCAGGTAGATGAAGAACTACTATGTGGATTTGCTACCTCCAACTCGTTATATATTATTAGTATATTTTGTTCATTTATTATTTTATAGTCTAATTGCCAATGGGCCATTTGCACGATGATGTCATTTTACCACTACTACCAGAGTGGTTCAGTGTTTTGCTTTGTTGTGCAAATTAGGCCTACTGTTGTGTGAAACCTCACTGGGATGGCCAAATTTAAATATGAAAAGAAAAATTATATGGATTCTGGTAGAACTGAAATTATGCCATCGTGCAAATGGCCTATTAATTGCTAAAATATTGTACATAAGGTTTGGACCATTAGAAATAGTGAAGTCAAGGGGGGTTTCTGCTCTGCATGTAAATCAGTGTTTTCTTGGTTAAAATGTGTGCACGTTTTTTGGTGACTTTTTATATGAACAGTCCAGTTTGACTGTATAAAAATAATTTGAAACTTTAGGCTGCTCCTCCTGTAAGTGTGTTCAACAGCCTTTAAAAACCTTTCAAGTGTTATGTATTTTGGTTTAGCAGTTAGACTGGTCTTTGGTGGATAGACCAATAGTGTTCCAATTATGTTAAAGTTAGTACAAAGATAAGAAAGTTTCAAGTTATGAGAAGTAAGGCATATTTATTGGTTACAAGTGTCTAAGGCTATGTCTGTACTATTACTGGATAGCTTTTCGTGTCAACACAAAAAGCCAGACCTAACTAATCGATGATCAATGACATCAATTGGTAATCAATGAGTAATTGATGAGTAATCAGCTGATTAGTCATTGATTATTGGCGATGATCAATGAATCGAAGCCAAAAAATTTTGTGGCCCATCGATTACTCATCGATGACATCGATTACTCATTGATGTAACTGATTACTCATCAATGACCCATTGATTACTTAATGACTATTATACTGTGCACGAAGGACACTTTTCTTGCTTTCTTGTACCATTTTTTTCGTTTTCAGATTCTTTTATCTGTGTTAGAGGCATTTTTCCTTGTATCTGAAGATCCTGTTGACGATGTCGAGACGCAAAGTGCTAATCACAAATACAGTTTTTTTAATTTTGTTTTTCTTCGCCGAATATGTTTGCAGCCACGAGATGATATCGATGAGTAATGGATGAAATCAATGACTAAACAATGCAATCAATGACTAATCAATGCGATCAATGACTAATCAATGACCAAAAATTTTGTGGCGTATCGATTAGTCATTGATCATCGGCAATAATCAATGACTAATCAACTGATTACCTATCGATTACCTACTGATTACTCATTGATTTCATTGATGTCATTGATGTCATCGATTAGTTATGTCTGGAAAAAGGTATCTGGTAGAGTGTGAACAGCAATGGCCCAGGAATGGAACAAGCCATTCACAGACATAGAGTATTGTGCCAGAGTGGTTTATGGCTGAGAGGGTTTAGTACACAAATTCCCAATTCTCACTCCTGGCCCCGGTTGTTCAAACGTTGGATAGCGCTACCAACCGGATAAGTTGCTATCCAGGGGATAAGTATTAAGGAGTCCATTTGCATTACCCAGTGGACAGAGATTCATCCATTGGATACCGCTATCCACCTTTTGAACAACTGGGGCCTGGATGTTTATTTCCGTCTCAGTTGGTTCATATACAGGTCTTGCTCCTAGTTATTCACTTCTACTGTGTGAACAGGGCATCCTCGGAGACCCAGGGGCAGATAGTGGGGGCGAGGGGAAGTGTAAACATTCTTTATTTTTCTTGGCGCCACTTTTTTCCGCCCGTTTACTCCCCCCCCGCAACTATCTGCCCCTGGGTCTCCGAGGATGCTTCAAGATGTGCAAGGCACAGCTTTTCTCTCGTTCAGAATTCACTTCAAAATCACCATTCTTATGTGTGAACAAAATCCCTGTAGTGTCGGGTCTCTTTTTTTTTTCTTTTTTTTTTTATTAAGTTGTGTTTAATTATTTATCGCAATCCATGGTCAAAGCCCAAAGGATAATCTGTAAAGGAGTCCTAAACCCCATATAAAATAGATCACCCATGAACAAATGTAGATACTTAATAATAAAAATAAATAATAATAATAATAATAATAATAATAAACAAATTAAAAGTCACTAAGGAATTTCTTAACTCTAAACTTAAAAATATTTACATTATCATAGCAACGAATCTCTAAAGGTAGTTGATTCCACATGTCAGTTATTCGATGGAAAAAAACTATACTATATGTTATGTTATGTATCAGTGTTAGTATTTCTTGGTAAGATGATGTCTGAAAGTGACTCACTGGTTGAATACTACCCGACGGCTACTGGCAAGATAGTCATCATCTTCTATTTAGGATACTAAATAACTTATAAAAACTAGTAGGTCACAAACAAGAGCTTGGTTAGCTAATAACTTTTCAGCAGAAAGTTGTTCTGTTCAAAAAACTGAAACATGGTTAATGTAATGATTATAGATTTAGAGACTTGGCCACAGACGTGAATATTTTGAAACTGTTTGCTTGCTAAAGGGGAAACGTTCTTTAAAAGCATATTCTCGGATAAATAAATCTATTGAAAAGTTGGAAATAAAGAAAAAATACCGTTAACAGTACCCTGGCCTTTACATTAAATCCCTGTGCCGTCAGTCATTTCTGACCAAATTTTTCTTTTTGAACCGTTTTTCGGCCAGTTAGCATAGGAGTGACTAAGAAAAAAAAAATTGCAACACTAAGGGCATAGTTTTGTTACAATCTTTTTCGTGTCGAATCTGTTTCGATCTTTTTTCTCGCTCTCTATTCCATTTTGACTTTTTTAATACCCAGTTTATATAAAATTCTCCAAAAATGAACGTGTTTTCATGTTGACTCACCCTCCTCGGAGGATAACCAGGCTTCCCCCCCGATCTTTTTTCCATTTTGAAAAGGAGCAGGAAACAGAAATTGCTGGGGGTGGGGGGGGTAAAAATCTGCAACACTTTCGATAACAGACTGGTGCTGATCGAGGAGAAAGATTAAAAAAAAGAAAAATACGAAAGTTTCCAAGGTACGAGGTTCTTTCATCATGAATTAACCAGCGCATTTTATTTTTATTGAATAAACATGATAAATAGAACATCTATTGCAGGGAAAAATCCCTTTCGTGATTGAAAGAAAATATAAAGCTTGACCTCTATCGATTACGGCGGTATTCAACTTGAAAATCGCGCGAGACTATGTTACATCAAAAAATCTTGATCAACAGTAAAACTTATTGGCCGGATCCTTTCTGCCCAAAATTCAAACTTTTATTTTCTAGATACTCTGTCCTTGGAAAGCTGGAGTGGTTGAAGGCGAAATCAACCTAGAGCTATTTATAGCTTCGAATGAAGCCAGTTTAAATTCTTGGACGCTTGCGGAAGCTTGCACTCTCACGCTTTAATTGACCGTTTACAAAAGAGTGGGAAACATAAATTGTTACATCCATCAGTTTTTCTGAAATGAAATGTGGTATGACTCCCTCCTCCTATACACTCTCGCTGAGAAATGAAACAAAATAATATAGATTATTGCATCATCGAACAGAAAGGGTTATTTGTCAAGCATTTTGTTTGCCAGTAGGAAAATATCCCCTCGTAATGGATTGGATTATATTTTTAGTAGAAAACATACGCTTGGCCTCCATCCAATCAATTTTAGAAGCCTGGTAATGATTGGTCAAAATTGAAAATAACAATTACGTCATGGAGCCTATAAATTCTCACTCCCGAAGGCGGGAAAATTCAAAATCGCTACATTGCAATAGTTCTGAGGCAAGAGATCGAGGATATAAGGTGAGACTGATTATAGCTGTTTCTCAATTTTTTGATAAAATTCAAATTTTCTTCTGCTCTGTCCTTGGAAGGCTAGGGAAGTTAATGAAGCGGAATGTGGGAAAGTTTGGAATACGAGGTCGGTTTTGGCAAAGTTAGGAGCCGATAATCGGCTCCTGGCAAACGAGATGCCAGTTAGTGATTACGGGCTGATGTTTATTGGGAAGGACGGGAAGCAAACGCGGCAAAAAATTGCAGAGATTTTATGAACTTTATATGAATTTTAAAGCTTTTTGAGTCCCTTTGAACTTTCTCCATGTTGTTTACACTTCACCTCTTTGTAATATACTGACGAGTTTCTAACTTATTGTACTTGTTTTGGTTTCCCTCCTTAGATTTTTAATACTCAAGAGCGCAGGACAGTTGTTAAGGTATTTATTCCCAGAATGTAAAATCGAAGATTTTCATGATCACTTAATGCTGCGACAGTGATTAGACTTTCTGCGCGCGGAATTCTGAACTGGAGAAATTGGCACTCTCGATCATGAATTGGTCGTTATATATTGTTACAAACGCTTGCTCGAACGATTAGTTCCTTCGATTATTTCGGTCGCGCCCTCTTACTAATAAGAAGTAGCCAACATTAGCAAAAATCGTCCTAATTTAATCGATAACTACATTCCCTTAATTGTGAGTGATACCATTTCAGTTGTTGAAGAAAATATGACCAAAAAACACTTCACCTACCCTTGCTCAATCGTTGTTTTAAAAGGAAGTACATAACAGTGCGTGTAAGTTCTTTCACCGAATTGTCGTCGTTCAAAAAGCTTTCAAAACATGGCAACTACTTGTCTAGAAAATGACGTGTTAAAAAATCCAGCTTCATAACTTAATTCTCGGAAACTGAGTACGATTTAGTTTTCTCAGAAGAAGTCACGCTAGACTTATTTTGGTCGTACTTTGACCCAGACCTTATTATTAGTAGAGGATAAATATCAGCGTGTCCATATACAGCTGTGTCGAGAAAGGTTGTCGGAAAGAGTCCACGAGGCAATCCCGAAAAGAAATATGAAAGAATGGCATAAGAGGCGATACAGCTGGTCATAGACGTGTGTTTGCGAGTACTAAAGGAAAGCAACAAAAGTGAGGTTCGAGAGCTACAAAGTCGGGCACATTTTTTCCGACAACCGTTCTCGAAATAGCTGTATAAATGATATTGTAGAGTTTCTAGGACTGTCAATCAAACCTGACTCCAAATCAGTTATAAAATAGGATCGGGTAAAACTGAGTAAAGCTGTTCCCCTTTTTTAGATAAAAGTCTCAACCGAAGCTTCTGGCAAGTTTTCTCCTTATTTTTTTCCAATACTCCCTGCTTACAACGGAGTTTGACTAATCGTCGCGGGTCGCGGGTCGCGGGTCCAAAGTCGCGGTCGCGGGTCCAAAGTCGCGGTCGCGGGTCCAAAGTCGCGGTCGCGGGTCCAAAGTCGCGGTCGCGGGTCCAATGTCGCGGTCGCGGGTCCAAAGTCGCGGTCGCGGGTCCAAAGTCGCGGTCGCGGGTCCAATGTCGCGGCAGGGGAAAATGATTTGGGGTTCGAGGTGACAGCTGAGTGAAAGCGACTGATATGAACACAATATAAAGGGAAAAAATCTTTTTTATGCACAATACTCTACGGTAGCCAATTTACAGGTTACGGATGTTAGAGTCAACAAAATAATGTCTCAAGGAAAGACCTAAAAGAAAAAGCTGGCCGACTTTTGTGTTCAGCGCAAGTTTATTTTTTTTTCTTTCTGTCGGGCCCAGTTATGTGTAAATTCAGCTTTGAATATACTTATGCAGAACAGTATCTGATAAAAAAAGTTACCATAAGTTACCATTGCTTTCTTGTTGTCGATGAATTGCTCACAAATGTTTAAGGGTTCAATTACTGAAAAATATGCGATGCACTTCAAAGACTACAGGTTATAAACGTTACAACAACTTAAAGCATTTTTTTTAAAAAAAGCGAACTCGGGCTCAAAAAGCTACGAGTCTGTCGGTAGAAGAAACGAGAACTCTTACATTTAACAAATGTTTTCGACAAAACTGAAAGAAAATGTAAATAGGCGCATGAAACTTCATTCAAGCGGTATTCAAGGCATGAATTTAATATGGAAACAACTAATAATCCACAGAAAGGAGTCCGTTCCTCGAAGCAAGATTTTCGCTTAATGCTTTTATTTTTACAACTGAGACGGCAACCCAGAGAGTTCAATATAACTTCTTGTTCTCTTCACCTAAATGGCAACCAGGACAACCTGACAATAGGAAGCCATTCAATGTGCGTCTCAGTCAAATCTTGAAAACATGCATCGTAAATATTTAAGTGAGTAAGTAGGTAAGGAAATAATAACGCCCGATATCATGAAGCTGAAAAAGAAAGTAAACCAGACACTGAAAACGGTAAGTTATCAACTCCACCAGAGTTAAGAAAAGACAATAAATTAGGTAAGTAATTCCAGATTCCAGGTACTGGATTCAAGTCTTTGTCAGTAGAACCAAGAGACTATGATCTATTCTCTCTTAGTAGAACTTGGATTCCGGATTTCAATCGTTATTGGGAACAAACTCCTTTCTGTGGACAAGAGAGGATAAAGCTGGAGCTTTATCCCCTCTTGCTGTGGATTAGTACTTGTTTTTTATTAAAGTCATGCCTTGAATACCCGCTTGAATGTACTTTAGTGGCACTTCAAGCCCAACGTCTCTCCTCCTCTTTCCAGTTACTTGTGCAAAGAGTTTATTTTGGGAGTTTGCGACTTTTACGCGGGTAATCTTTTAGAGGACGGGTAGCTTGCAAACTAAACTGAACGCAGGGTTGTCGGAACAGCAACAAGAAGATTTATTCCAAAGAAGAACGTAGTTTCCACTGAGTAAAACTCCACAGCAGCACGTAACTCGTTAAACTTACGCGGCCTCCGCCACTGAATAAAAACTGCCTTCGTCACACTTGACTAAACACGACCAACGTCAAACTCTCTTCTCTTGTGAAAACTAGTTAAAACTTAACTCGGGCTCGCCTACCTTATATACGTTTACAATAAGATTCTAGAGCTTTCCAAATAGTCTAATTATAGAAAGATTACAAAATATACCGCTTTTAGAAACGCTTACACAAGATCCTAAAATAAACAAATTATGAATTCTCGCGAAGCTTCTAGAAAGTCACACTAGTCACGCAATACAATTTTTCGTAACAGCGACCAGGAAGTTTTTCAACAAGCGTTTTCTTTATTTTTGCCGAAAACATTTGTTAAAATTGAAACAGTTCTCGTTTCTTCTACCGACAGACTCGTAGCTTTTCGAGCCCGAGTTTTAAAAAAGGTTTTAAGTTGTTGTAACGTTTATAATTTATAGTCTATGAAGTGTATCGCACATTTTTCAGTGAATGCACCCCTAAGGATTTGTGAGCAATTCATAGACAAGAAGAAAACAATGGTTACTCATGGTAACATTTTTTATCAGATACTGTTATACATAAGTATATTCAAAGCTGAATTTACACTTAACTGGGCCCGACAGAAAGAAAACAAAATAAACTTGCGGTGAACACAAAAGTCGGCCAGCTTTTTCTTTTAGGTCTTTTCTTGAGACATTATATTGTTGACTCTAACATCCGTAACCTGTAAATTGGCTACCGTAGAGTATCGTGCACAAAACAGATTTTTTCCCTTCATATTGTTTTCATATCAGTCGTTTTCAAATCATTTTCCCCTGCCGCGACATTGGACCCGCGACCGCGACTTTGGACCCGCGACCGCGACATTGGACCCGCGACCGCGACATTGGACCCGCGACCGCGACCTTGGACCCGCGACCGCGACATTGGACCCGCGACCGCGACATTGGACCCGCGACCCGCGACCCGCGACCCGCGACTATTAGTCAAACTCCTTACAACGGGAGCTCTTGCACGGGCCTCAGGGTTTCAACTGGAAATTTTGGCATCACACTTGAGTGTTCAGTTGCACTTTGTTATAGCACATGCAGCGTTTAACACTGGTATTTTGAATCATGATGCAGCCAATTTCGTTTTCTTATAGGCAAGTAGATCCCTCGATCATCGAGCCGGTACGATGATGCAACATAAGATAAGTCTAATGACTATTTACAAGTAATCCCCGAAAAAGAATTGACAACGTAAAACAAACAAACAGTCAAACAACTTACTTTTCAGTTTTACGCGCCGGCTGTTGTTACGGTTCTTTCCCTTCTATTTTTTCCTAGTAGATGATCTTCAATTCTGCTCAGTACAACGTAACAACGTGTTCTTTTTACTCGTGTTTCTAGCCAACTTCACCCTGCTTCACCACAAACTAATTGTCGGATTCCTAAGAATCGTTCAAGATTGCTCATGATATCGGTTTTGTTGACAAACGTCTCGCAATCTAGATATTGAATGTTGTTTAAAAGACAAATTTAAAAGCTTGGCGAAGAAACTCGCGACGAAATAAACAACTTCAGTTACAATAAAACACCAGCTGACAAAACATAACTTTTGTTTGTGTTGTTTATTAGATGGCATCTTCTATTTGTGACCAACTGATCAGGAAAGTATGGAAATCGTTCATCGATGATCTTGGCGATATACCCGAAGCTGAGGGTATTTATACCATAGGCTTCAGTCAGACTAATGAGGAGGTTGCCTACCTTTACGTGGGATATTCAAAAGACATGCATAGGAGGGTACCCGAGCATAAATGGCAAAGTTTGGATATAGATAAGTTTATAAAGAAGCAGATCAAGCAAAATGGTGGCAAAGACCTCACAGTGAAATGGGTGAAAGACCGGGACGGAAAATGTAAAGAAGCGAAGTACATCGAATGCATGACGAAGAAGCTAGGATATAAACCGTGGTACAACAAGAAAGGTGGTAACAACTGTCATTAACAGTCTTCTCTATCTAGGGGAACAGAACTCTGTTGGCTCACGCAGACGTTTTTAAAGGGCTTCGTCACGGCCGTGAGGGCAGGAACGAAGCCGTCTGCGTATTTTTAAGGTCTTTTAATACAATCGAACGGCCTCTGTTCGCAGGGTAGGTAAAGGATAGTGTTCTTAACTGTAATTTGTGAATCCATGATACCGAGAACAATAAACGTTTTAGCAAAAATTAAAAGCAACTCACCGCCACTTTAACAAAGATATATTAGAATAAAGTCAATCCTGTTAAAGGGCCGTAATTAGTTTTCTATAATGTGCCCTTCTCCATTCTAACTTTCTTTTTTTTATTATGTAGTTTAAACAATCTTGTACTAATTGATATTGTACAACTAATGTATTATCCATAGGATGGAGTGAAAACAAAATACAAAAAAAATACTTTAAATAAAGGGGCTGTGTTATGGCTGTCTGTCTACCAGATGGCTACTCATCAAGTTAGTCACTAATTTCTAGCATCATTTAATGTTTATGGTATTAAATAACTTATAAAAACTATTAAGTCACTAACAAGAGCTTGGTTAGTCAGTAACTATTCAGCAGAATATTAGGTATAAAACTGTTCTGTTCAAGCTATAAAATGGATGAGGATTTAATGTAATGATTACAGATTTGGAGGCGATTTAGAGACTTCGCTACAGACATTAATACTCTATTTGCTAAAGAAGAAGTTACCTTTAAAAGCTGATTAATACATCTATTGAAAAGCTGAAAATAAAGAAAACAAATACTGTTCACAATACCCTGTCCTTTACTTTAACCCTTTGCCGTCAGCTATTTATTAGGGAAAAACCAAATTTCTGACCAAACTTGGGTTTGAACCGTTTTTCGGCCAGTTTGCAGGCGTGGGAGTGGCTAAAAAGAGATTTCCAGTATTAAAGGCATGGATTTTTTACAATTTTTTTTCTTGGCGAATCTATTCACAGGCAGCCGAAACTCTGTGGGAGTTCGTTGGACTTTGAATTTCTAAGGGAATGTATGAAAATAAACAAAATACGTCCTAACCTCCATTTTTCGACAAAACTAGAAATAAAAATGACTTGCCTTGTGTTTGTGTCTTGTTATTTTAATACTGTTTCTTCGCCGCTAGAGCCGTTTGGAAGCCGTTAAAATCTTAAACGTCAATAAGACGGCTTCCAAATGGCTCTAGCGGCGAAGAGACAGTAAATAACAAGACACAAACACAAGGCAAGTCATTTTTATTTCTAGTTTTGTCGAAAAATGGAGGTTAGGACGTATTTTGTTTATTTTCATACATTCCCTTAGAAATTCAAAGTCCAACGAACTCCCACAGAGTTTCGGCTGCCTGTGATGCTGTGATGCTCCCTTCTTTTCCATTTTGCCTCTCTTATGGCCAGTTATGGTTGCCTACTTTATTATCGTCTTTCTTTCGCGTGGAATTTTCGCTGGATGTTAAGGGAACAGTAGGGAATTCCCCAAATGTTGCTTGGTTTTTGTCTATAACTCTGTCAGGATTGGTCAAAATTCGCTAAATTTTCACAGGGAACTCAGAATCACAACAGCCTACTGGAAGCTAAATTATAATGGTTTGCTTTGGAATTTATCGTAAGATCGATGAAACGGTAAAATTGTACATAAACAGCTATTAAAATATACATACCTCATAAAGAGTTTTGTCTGTGTTGTTTTCTTATTTTAGCAAGTTTTAATGTTTTGGTTTATTTCTCACCAGTACTAACTGAAGTCGTCTTCTTATATTTTTCTTAATTATATGTTTGTTATTGGTTCTCTCTCTTGCTCTGAGAGGTTTTTCTCCGGGTACTCCAGTTTTCCCCTCTCCTCAAAAACCAACATTTCCAAACTCCAATTGTTGGTTTTCAAATGACGTCACTAAAATTCAAACTACAAAACTATCAATCCTACCGAGATCTTACTTTCACGATGTATTAGAGCAGCTGAAAACTAATTTTCATTCAAATCTTCGCTTCAAAAGGGTTCTTGGTTTTGCCGGATAGAGTACGCTTGAATTTCTAAGCTTTTGCGTGACGCGGCATTTACATGACGGCCAAGAGAGTTGTCATGTAGGTTAAAAAAATGACTTATTTCAGGGAATTTTGCTATCTAAACAGTTAATGTATTAGACAAAGTATTACTTTAATGTTTATGAGTTCCTCGTGGAATAAATTCACGCTTTTGTAGCAAAACTCGGTAACAGATGTTTCTGTTGGTTTCCCTCCGCCATGTTGGTGCTCATCCGAATGAGCACCAGCGTGGCGTCCGGCCTTACAAATCTCTATATATTTGGGTAAAACATTTCTTCGGATATCTCGCATACGAAACATTCCTCTGACCTGAATCTTGGCGAGGGTTTTTGCATATTTACCTCCTTTCATTTCCCAGGTTCTGGACTTTACCTTTTGAACGGTTTTGAATTTTATTTTGATATGTTTTGAATGGCCTGACAATGAAAACCAGCAATTCGATCAGGAATCAGGTAGACGAAGAACCACTTTGTGGATGTGCTACCTCAAAATAATTATTTATCTATTTATATAAACATCGTCATGTTCCGATGACTCCGTGCAAGTACTCGTGACACGTCGTTTTCACCGACCAGTTTATTTTTAGACTGGTTTTGGCGCGAATTCAGAATATTTTCCTTTTTCATGGTATCTTATATTTTGATTGCGTTCATAGACGTGGTGAAGATTCCATTTTCTTGGGAAAAAGTGTCCTAAAATGTGTCTAAAAATAAACAGATGAGTTTTTAAGAACGACTATACATCAATTATTATGTTAAGCTCATACAGTATTTTTACTGTATCAGTTAACAAGCCATCTGGTTTATTACAATTTGTTTTCACAAAAGAAGCAACTTTACGTTTTCATTTTTTCACAAACATGTTTTTTTTTTACTTATCATTATTTTTGAAGGGAAATTTGCACATTAAAGTTATTGAAGTAATTCCTTTAATTGTTTTTTCCATTGTTTACCCTGGAGTCTCTCCTTTATTATTTATTTATTCTATTTTATTTCAATCATTCTATCATTTATTTTATTTCATTTTACTATTATTATAAATTTTAACCTTTTTTTTGTGTGTGTGTTTTTTTTGTTTTTTTGTTTTTTGTTTTTTGTTGTTGTTTTTTTTCCTCCTTTTCCTCCTCTCTCTTCTTTATTTTTAACTTTCCAAGAAGTTGACATGACTGCTTTGCAGTTTGCCGGTCCCTCTTTTCCCCTTTCATCTTCCTATCATCCTTCTTATTATTTTTCCTTCTAACCCCTCATCCTCTTATACTTATCCTAATCCTATTTTGAGGTTGACATAGCTGTTTGACAGTTTGCCAGTCCCTCAATACTTATTCTTTTTATTTTTCAACTAATATATTTTATTTAATCCTATCCTTATTAGAATTTCAGTAATTATTACTTTCTACCAAATAAATTTTTGCACTTCTTTGAGGTAGACATAGCTGCTCTGCAGTTTGCCCGTCCCTCATTATCAGTGCTAATCTTAACATCTAACTTTTTTGTTCTGTTTTTATACACACAACACCCTTGTATACACGCATCCTCCCTCCCCACCTTACCCACTATTTTAGTGGAGACTTGGGAACCCTTTCATTAGGGATTCCATACCACACCTGTAATGCCACAAAGGTTGCTAGATATATCTACTGTCCTGTATTTTTTATTTTTATTATTATTATTTTTTACAAAGCGTGGTGAAGATTCCATTTTCTTGGGAAAAAGTGTCCTAAAATGTGTCTAAAAATAAACCGGTCCGTAAAAACGCCGTGACATAGGCCTGGGATGTGATGGGGATGTTGGTATAACTGTGGTCCCTGTGGTGAAGTGGTGAAAAAGCTCGTTTTTCGCCCAGTCTATCACGGTCTTGCGACAAGTAAATATGGCGGCCTGCAGGCAACGGCAAACGCGTTTCGCGCGTTAAGGCTTTTGCTGCAGCCACAAACTAGAGTAGCTCATATCATGGGTTATTATCTTGACGGAAATGAATACAGCGAAACGGGAAGCACAGTCCATTCCAATAACGGAACAGAAACGTCGACGCGAAGGAGTACCAACAGTAAAGAAACTCAATTTTACGCGCAAGAAATCGGAACCGGCTATAAAATCTAACGAAATCCAAAGGAAGGCTGGCCTGAAGGTTAGAAGAAGTAAGAGATCAAGAAGAAAGTCTTCTTATAGCAGCTGTAGCGAGAGTGAAGTCGTAGTCAACGAAAAACTGAAAAATTCTGAAGGCAAGCCTTTAAATGCCTTCCAGCCTTCTGAGCAGAAAAACTGCTGTAGCACTCCGGTTGCCCGGCAGCCAAGCGTTGCTTGTGTTCCCGAGAGAGTTCAAGAACTACAAGCTTTCTCTCCTGCTTCTTCCAGCTTTTTGTCTGATGATGATGTGGCCTTGGCGGCTCTGAACTTGAGTGAAATCATAACATCGTCATGTGGAACGTCAGATACAGTTAAAGGCGACATCATTGCGAGCTCACGTCAAGAAGGATCAAACCAGTTTTACGGTTTGCCAGTGAAAGTAAAAGAGCTCTTGCAAAAGCTTAAAGGAATAGAAACTCTTTATGGTAAGATAAATCATCAATAAGCCATTTTCCAATTTCCTGGCGTCAAAACAAGTGCTGGTGCTCATCCTATCATATGCAAATAAGTTCTGGTTTAAACATGCTGCAACGCTGACTAGTTTCTCTTGCTTTGCTGCGAGACTGTAAAAATGCAAGCGTTTCTTTTTCTGTTCTTTTCTTTTGTGTGTGCATGCCAAAAAGGAGTCATGGTCCCAGGCCTTCTTAGCGGAGACGGTGGAAACTGGGGATAAGAATTGCAATGTGCCACAGCGACATGCTTTATTTTGTGAAGACATCTTCGGAAGATTAATGTGAAAGTTGTCAAGCTTTTCCAGAACGGTTCGGTCCACCAATTGAAAGCATTGATTACTTTGGAAAGGGTGAATACTTCAGTGAAAACTCCGATGGTGAGGCTATAAACTGGTCGAGTGTTGTAAACTTTCGTTGTATGCAAATGCGTCGAGAATGGGGTTTATTTTCGACAATGATTGAAATTACACACTATGTCTTGCTTTCTGGAAATGATGAAATTTCTCTCAAATTGATTTTCATGCATTTATACATGGGTTCTCAATAATCGTTGAATAAGATATTAAAAAGTAAATATCCTGAAGAGTACTCGACTGCTGATAAAGGAGGAAGTGAAAACTTTTAGCAACTGAGGAAATCCTTTTTTTATGTAGAATTAATCGCCTTCTCATGTCGTATCTAATCTCCAAGTAAGTAAGACTTAACACTTTTAAGAGCATTCTTGTTTTTGTTATACGGTTGACTCCTGATAATGTGAACCGTCGCTAACTTGAACCTTGCATATCCTGCAATAGCAGATGCCTTTTTTTAGCACTTGTTTTTACCTGCCAAGAAAAAAGCTCAATAAGTGAGGTGGGAGGTGTCACTTATCACAAGAGGTGGTCTTCTGCGAAGGTTCAACTGTATTTGCAGTAAGCTCACACATCAGTGTTGAAGGCACTTTGTGACTGCCACTGGCAGTCCATGAGACCCAACATTCTCAAAGTGTCTTATAGTGCGATTGTTCGACCTGGGGCACTTGGAAGAAGATTATCCAGTCACAATGTTTTTTTGAAAGCAAGATTTTAAAGTTTTTCTGCAAACGCACTTATAAAATTGAAGTTTCAACTATGCATCCGTTGTAAACTTTAAAACCATTTGAACCTGCCTGACCTCTCAGGAAACAGTCCTCAAATTTATAAATGTTATTGGTCTGTTTGCAAAAGAAATTGAGAATCTTTTGTGATCAGAAACCCTTGTGATTGGATAATCTTCTTCCAAGTGTCCTAGTTCGAGTAGTCGCACCGTAAAGTGTGAATTGACAAAACAAGTAGAAGAAGACATAGGTCTCAGATGTCAGCCGTCTCTTTGCTCCATCCCCCCAATGGGTGGCCAGGCATCTCTCTCGCCTGGCTGTCACTTAAGGGGTTGGGGGGAGGGGGCTAGGCGAAAGGACAGCTGACATTTCAGAGTTGATGAAGACCATATTGGCCAGGAAAGGACCCCTACCCAACTCTTGAAGGAAAATATTAGATGTAGCTGTATATCTTGTGAGTCATTTCGCATTTTTGTTCTCACAGAATGGCAGAAAGATTGTCTCAATTTAAAAGCTATTCAGGAGAGAAGAAACTTGATCTACTCCTTGCCAACAAGTGGGGGGAAGACACTGGTAGCAGAAATTCTCATATTTAAAGAGCTGTTGTTACAAGAGAAGGATGTCCTATTTATTCTTCCATTTGTATCTATTGTCCAAGAAAAGGTATGTAACAAGCTCCTTTTGGATGGTGATCAGTATATAAGACTAGCTGGAGGCTGATATAAACAAATAAAATACGTTAACAAGAATTTGTATCCAGAAAACATATAGAGGATATTACACAGTGGCGCGAAGATATGAATTTTATTTTCGAGTGGCAAAACAATATTTTACGAACCAGCGCAGCGAGTGAGTAAAATATTGTTTTTGCTACTCGAAAATAAAATTCATATCTTCAAGCCGCCGTGTAATGTTCTTTTTATTATATAGATAAAAATAACATCGATAAAATAATAGAGGAAAATTACCAAAATTATGTCATTGATAAACTCACGTGTGAGATTATGGAAAATAAACCACTCGGGTCCCGGATGTAGTTTTTATGAATTTTATGAGTGGTATACTTTCCAGTAAAACACTCGTGTCTATATGATAAAATAATTTATTAATAATTTAAATTGCTGTTTTATATTTTAAACTGACTGTTAAATAAATGTAATAAACAAATTTGCCAAAATAGGTGAAATCTCTGACACAGTTTGCTGTTGAGCTTGGATTCTTAGTTGAGGAGTATGCAGCCAGCAAAGGAAAACTTCCTCCTCGCAAACGGCGAAAGAAGAAATCTGTGTACATTGCGACCATAGAAAAGGTTCGTACTAAAGCGAGTAGTTGTTTTTTCAGGTTTCAAGGCAAGTTAAAATACCAGTTATGATTTTATTCCTGTCTGGAAACTTGTGGTGTAAAACAAATTAAATCAAACAACCCCTCCTCCCCCCCACAAAAAAGAGACTAGACGAACCTACTACAGGGCTATATAATTTGTGTTCGGATTTGTGTTGTATGGGCCAATAAGTTTGAAGGTACTATAAGTTAAAGCTAGGAACCAATGAGATTTTGACATCCAAACATGACATTGCTAAAAGGTCAAACAAGGGCACTTTGAGACCACTGAATCTTGGTTCTTCGCAATTTTTTTGTCTTTTATTAGAGCTTAAGGTGTTTGAAAGTATATCATTTTTAAAAATATCTTCGTGCATTCAAACACTGAGTACAGTGATGCAGCTGTTTAAGGGTTCATGTTTTAGTTTGGGTGCTGCTTCAAGACATTTCTGACCTAATTTGGCTATCGTGAAAGGTACAACACACTTATTTCAAAATTTATGAGTTCTGTTTCACCTGCCTCATGGTAGAGTATAGAAGATCATAATTATATTTTTCAAAGTTCTTCAAATAAAAAGATAATAATTATCTTTTTATTTGAAAAACTTTATTATTATTGATATTTAGATATGAACTTAAATTTGGAAGTATATGGCCTATAAATTGTGGTTTTAGAAGTCTGAAAGGCAGCTTTATATTTTTTGAAAGCTTTACCTAGTATATAAAGTTAATCCTGTGGACAGGTCTGAATTTTTTTCATTAGCATCTTAAGAACAGTAGTTCAGGTCTGAAACAGGGCAGAGACAATCACATTGTTTCAGGTGTGAGATAGGTTAAAGGTTTTCACTTGTCCATGGGAATTTTGCCGAAAAACGAGTTTTGAAGCTGCCTAGTAAAGCCGTTCTCTAGTCATTGTCTTAGCTATAAAGAGCTAAAACTTACCTCAAAGCTGTTTGCAGGTCAGACATTTCACGGCTTTCTGATCCACATTCTAAATATCAGCTTGCAAAGTTTGGACATGTGCAGAAATCAAACTTTCGAGTTGTTGGGTTTAAAAGTGACACAGCAGTCTTGACTTTTTCTTTTTGCTAAACTTTCCTCCCCTTTTCTTTCGCTTTCATTGTCTCATTTTTTTTCTTTTGCTGGGCATTTAGTAGGCTTCATTTTGGTTGGGAGAAGTTTTTGGGAAAGCTTTTATGATCTTAGGATTAGATGAAAGGAAGGTAAGTGGGTAGTGAAACAAGATTTTCATGGAAAATTTTTCGGTCAATGTTACATGTTTTTTTTTGCCTTTTTCTCTGGTCTCCTTGACTGTCTCGTGCTCATTCTGGTATGGTTTGAAAGATCTAATAATAATAATAATAATAATAATAATGGAATTTATATAGCGCTTATACATCGCTGTTCTAAGCGCTTTACCCTGCCCAAGGTAGTGGGGAAAGTTGTCCTTGGCATTTAAAACTGATGATGTCGCAAGCGGTAGAAGGAAGCTGGATCTGCAAGGGCAGTTACGGGCGGTTCAGGGGCAAATGCATTAAAGGACAGTCCAAATCCAAGCCCTAAGGAGTACCTCTCGAAGGGCCTTTCTTACAGCATGTTCTTCAAAGTCTGTGGTTGCCATCAGCCCATTAAAAAATTTATCAATGGAAAATATAGTCTCCTTTGCAGTCATTTTAAGTGTTGTCATGCAACCTTCCTTCTTGCGGAGCATTGTGTGATGACCCTAACAACACTTGCGAAGGATACTATGGATAGCATTACTTGAAATAAATTATAATGTACTTTTTTTCTTTTACCAGGCAAACGCTTTGGTGAACAGCCTTATTGGAGAAAGCCGAATTTCAACGTTAGGTCTGCTAGTTGTAGACGAGGTAATTAACAAGGCTAGCATAATTTATAATTAATTTACCCACAGTAATAATTATGAATCATGAAACCTGATGGAAATATATCACGGTGACCTAACTTGCACCAGTTCCTCTGAGGTTCACTCATGACAACATTCAGCAAACAAGTTTATGCTCAGCTGGACTTGAGGGAACGCTACAATGCTACTACTATCACTAGTTTTAAGCTTTCTTTGACCTTCAGTGTTCAATCTTAAGTGAGTAAACAAAGTGGTTTTACAAAGTGGCTAAATTATATTGTGTTGCACAAAATGTATGCCAGAAACCCATAACCTAATTTACAGATTTTGGGAAACTTAGATGCTCTCCACATTTGAAGGCACTACATTTAAAAGGGTTTCTTTGATTTTAAACCCTCACTCTGGCCAGTAGCTTGATTTGAATTTTTTTTGCCGTGCCTAAAAGTTCAACTCCTCAGCCCCACTTGATTATTTATTTGCGATCCTCTTGCTTGACAAGCCAAAAGACTTTGTCTACAAAGGGTGTGGAGATCCTTAGCTTCTTATGCAGATAATGGCTTGTAGCGTATGATCTCCCCTGTGTGGCCAAAAGAACTTCTGTGTAGAAGGTCAGGAATCTGCAGCCTGCTGGCTGCAGGGACAAATCAGATAATTATGGCTGTTGTTAAATTGATAACAACTAGTAGCATATCCAGTGGGTCAGCTCTGGGGGTACATTCCTCAAACAAAACCAGGACTCATTAGAGCAGGGATTTTTGTTAGTAAGCAGTGCTTAACTACTGTTAAGCTGAAATTTTCACAGTGACGTTCATTTGAAAGCATGAAAATAAAACTTGCATAGCATGCACTTTGCCTTTCAACCATCTCATAACAAGATTGTTGAAATTAATTTGTAACTTTGAAGAAAGAGAGAAACTATTACGCGTAAAAAACCTTCATCACCATGAGTGCGGAAGTTTGGAACCCTACCCTCCCCTACTCCCCGTCCCCATACTCATAGGAAAAATCCAGCGACTGTATCTCTTTTACGAGTAATGCAATTTTGCTTGGTAAAGGATATTAGGAAAAATGTATCAACAATGCTGTTGTCCCAGTTTTGTTTTGATGTCAAAATGAGTTACTTTAGTGTTCATTGTAGTTTAAAATCCTTTTAACATCTCTTGTACTACACCAATTTAGCTGCACATGTTAGGTGACGCAGGAAGAGGAGCTACATTAGAGATGTGTTTAGCCAAGGTCCTGTTTGCTTCTTGTAAGTACAGACTTTCCAACTTCAAAGCAGTTTGAGTTAAGAATGTAAAAATATGAGATATAGTACAGTAGAACTTTGATTTAACGAAGGGCCACGGGCCTGGCAAAATTTGTTTGCTATATCGAGGTATCATTATAATTATTGAGGTTCTTTTTCATACATTTTACTATTACTGGGGTAAAGAAAATTGTTCGTTATACCGTTCGTTACATAGAGGTTCGTTATATCGAGGTTCCACCTGTATATAATGTTATCTACACAGCCATGAAAGTCTTGTTTTTATTTATTTATTCATTTTGTAGCCACTACCCAGATTATTGGTATGAGTGCAACTCTGAGTAACATTGCAGACTTGAAGGAGTTTTTAAAGGCTGAGGTGTATTCAAATGATTTCAGACCGGTATGACATTTTAGTTATGACAGAACTGTCCAAATACTGAGTAGAAAGTACAGCAGAAACAAAAGGGACTTAAGGGCGATGACTTATGACTTACAAGTAAACATTACAGAAAAATAAAATTGTCAATAAAGACAACCTTCATATTAATTTATTATTCTCTTCCTATAATTATTTTAAAAAAATGACTGCTTGACTAAATTTTCCACTTGAGAAAATGTTCTGTTTTTGTGATTTATTCATATTAAAGACAGTTCATTAACAGCAGTTAAAAGGAATGCACTGTGTTCTTAACTTAACGAGGTACAGTATGTGAATGGGTACAATTTGTCAATAGAGGGTATAAGAAAGGGGGTACTTCTTCTTTCAAATAAAAGGGTAAGGGGTTGGACCTCGGGGTGGAGGCTCTCCATAGAAAACTTTGTTAAACAACCTTCCTGGTAACAATTTTTGTAGTCCACAAGCATTTTAGCATTTATTTTGCTTCAGTTTACGTCCTTCAATGTTTCATTAATTTTTCACTTGGATTTTTTCCGGTCCAGTTTTCATGATAACACCTCTACATGTTAATTTTGCAACTATGTTATTTAGTATTTATTCGTATTTTAATGGTTGGTTTTTACCACTTTCATTCAGGTGGAGTTGAAAGAGTTTGTGAAGGTGGGGTGTGATATTTATAAAGTTCCAAAAGCTTCAGAAGATGAAGAAGATAATGGCAAACCATTTAGAAGAATTAGTAATAAACAGGTAAATAATGGTATTTGTATGTAGAGAATTAATAAGAGGCTATAATGAGTTTCTTTTTGTGCTGTTTTTGCTTTCAGCATTCCATGTTGAACTAAATTTTTTGCCCGGGGGGGGGGGGGTACTCGCAGAAAAATTGGGTAGGGGTGTGCGGCCCGCTTCCCAAAACCCTTACCCTATTTATGACCAAAATGTGCGATTTTCCCTACCCTATTTATGACCTAACCAAAAATTTGATACCCTATTTATGACCTGACCCTTAAATCAATACCCTGTTTCAGACCTGCCTTATAATTATTTCCCTAGTTCAGACCAATGTTAAAGGCAATGTTTATCTGCTTTTATTAGGTTAGGGGGACATGATAAGGAAGTAGCTTCTTCTAAAAAAGTGCATTCAAGACTACAGTGCAAAAATCGTTACCCTATTTATGACCAAAATGGCGGTAAAATAGCCAAAATCGATACCCAATTTATGACCAAAACTGCTAAAAAACCCTACCCTTTGGGGCCGCACATACCTATATAGCCCATTTTAGGGAGTACCCCCCTCCCGGGATTTTTTGCAGCAGTTCAATTTTGAGAATCAGAATTTTTTGTTTTGCAAAAACTAATTTTGTGATTTTGTAAGAATAGTTTTTTCTCTCTGAGGATTTATTTTTGCAAATTTCATCATCATTATCATCATCCTTTGGCTTCCGGAGTGGAGTCGGGACATTTGTAGAGATCTACATACATACATACATACATACATACTTTGGTTGAGGATTAACACAGCCATAGGCTGATGTGGACAAATGCTATCTAATTATTTACAAAGAAAATAAAATAATAGAATAATGAAATACGTGTGAAAGTACACATGCACAATTCCAATTAGTGAATAAGTAAAAATTCAGATGGGTACTGAAATTCTAAGAATATAATATATAAAATCGTCACTTTTCTTCACTATCATAGTGGCCTTAAATGAATATTCATAAACATCTTTAGAAAACCTACGTAATATCTGTTGAAAGTGGCCCTTCTTAGTTGTTTTACTTCTTTCACTGCCTACTGGGTGCCAGAGGATGAGAGATGAATCTCTTTATCTGCCCGATAGCAATGACCAGCAAACTGGAAACTATTTTGCTTTTGATAGGACCCGGCCTTGCCTCTACTGCTTGTAAACACAGTTGAAGAGCTTTTTCTGTAGGCTTATTTCTGAGACATTGCTTGTTCTACAGGGCCAAAACAAGGAGTTATTACTTCGTGATCCTGATCAGTTACTGACCCTTGTGTTGGAAGTTATTCCTCGGCATTCATGTCTGGTGTTTTGTTCTACTAAGAAGAACTGCCAAAGTGTGGCCTTACTGCTGGTAAAATTTATGCCTAGGTAAAATGGATATAATTTTGCTGCCTCAAGAGATTCTATTCAATAAATGTCAATTCTTAAGGGTTATTAGATAGGTATACAATTGTGGAGAAAGCATTTGACAGGGCTAACTTTGTAAGCCTGAAAATATCCGTAATCCAACTCTGCATATACAGGTATTTTTGTCTACTCCTTTCTAATCCATTTTTCCACTCCATCCCGTCGGACGTAGAGAATTCCTTTGAAGCTGGACTTCTAATAGCCTGTTCCAGGCGTCTAAGTAGTGGAGTTGCAGCGCGAAGTCAATCAGAGAGCAGGGAAAAATAAGGAGAAGAAAAGGGTAGAGGGGGAGAGAGGAGGTTCCTTTGCTCGCAACCAGCAACTCAACCCCTTCGCTGTTTTTCCTCCTCACATCTGTCCGATCTCTTTGCGTCGTCCCTAAAATCTGAACGCCTGGAACAGGCTAGACTTTAAAGAACCCCTCTCTCCACTAAATCAAAGTATTTTTTTGAAGGGTTTATAGCGTTGGTCGGGGGTGGCGGTGGGGAAAGGAGAAAAGAAATATTTTTCTCGCTTCCTCTCAAATCGTCAACGAAAGTAGATTTGACACTCATTCAAAATGTCCACCCGGAACTGATAGCGCTGGATCTCGACGATCTTACGGATAAATAAGGGACTGTGAATAGTCAATGTTGTCCTTGTGTTAACCTTTTAGGGTCGCTTATTTAAACGAAATTCAACGTAGACCGCTGTTTAAGACAATCTGTGGACCACTAGATCTGCTTGTGAATGCATGGGTTATTCAAAGTAGAAACTTGGACAGAAACGGTAAATGAGCAGATGTTTCCCTATGACAGTACGCTCCTTGTATACTGTTAGGATCAGCCGCAAGCGGGGGGCATGGCAGATGAATAAAAAAAGAAAGAAAGAAGGCAAACGACATAATGAGCGAGAAAACTTGTGAAATAGTCTTGTGCTTTACATTTTGTAGTAATAATGATAATTCCATTCTTTACCATGAGGGCCCAGTTGTTCGAAGGTCGATTAGAGCTTAACCCGGCTTTCTTTTTCTTGTGTTGAAAATCATTTTCTCGAATAATTTTAGACCTCTGTTATTTTTAGAGCTTCCAGTCATCAACTTGTAGACAAAAACAATTAAAGCTGAAATGCTTTTTAAGCTTTCAAATCTGAATTCAAATCTTGCACTAACCCTGTGTTATCTTAACCCAGCTTTGAACAACTCCGCCCTGTAGGAATAATAAAGCACTAATGCTAGTGGGGTCGAGCAAATGCGTGAAACAAATACTCTAATTAAAAAATAACAGGGTTAAGAATCCCAGCTGACCGGAGCATGGCTCAGGAACTACCGTGAACAAATACAGCTATCTGTCACGGCGGGGCTAGTCTCCTAGTGAAATAATAGATAAATAATTATTTCCGACATCATGGAACTTTGTAGCTGCATGTTTCTACATTTTCAGGGAAATGTGCCAAGTAAAAGCGAAAGAGAGGCATGACCTAATGAAAGCTCTTCACAATGAAGCGAGCGGCCTTTGTCCTGTTTTAAAACAGACTATTCCATTTGGTGTAGCATACCATCACAGTGGACTGACCATGGATGAACGTAAACTCATTGAAGACGGTTACAGCCAAGGTGTGCTGTCTCTTCTCACGTGTACTTCTACACTGGCAGCTGGGGTTAATTTACCAGCGAAGAGGTTTGATTTCGCATTTTGAGTCAAGTTTTTGTGTCGGGCCGTGGTTACAATCCTAAAGCTTGACCATTGAATTAAAAGCTGCTAATAAAATGCAATATTTCACTGTGGTACTGATTGTTATGCTGTACAAGGTGTCGATTGTAACTTTTGTTTGGGGAGTGAAATCCTTAAGGATGACCATTCAAATGAAAGGCTTTTGTACTAGGTTGTTTTAACTTTTGAGTCTGTGGATGAAGTCTTGAAGTGTGACCAATTAAATGAAAGCTACTGAGCAGTATTTCCTGGGACTTCTATTATGCTGTACAAGGTGGTACTGACTAATTCTATAAAAGAAAGTCTTAATTGTGACCATTCAGTCGAAAGATATTGCATAGTACTTTTTTTGTCATTCTGTTTACTCCGCTGTACATTTTGTTTGTAGCTTTGCGGACCATAGGGGAAGTAAAAAAATGCACTGCCCAACTGAATATGGTATGATGCCGTTGTCACATACTGAAAAACCATAATTCTCATAACTGTTTGTTATTTTCAGGGTTATAGTCCGTGCTCCTTATGTTGGAAGTGCGTTGCTGAGTCAAAGTCAGTACAAACAGATGATTGGACGAGCGGGACGGGCTGGGATTGACACGTCAGGAGAAAGTATTCTAATCATCAAAGATGCTGACAAACCCAAGGTGAGTGAATGAATGAATGAAGCTTTATTTGATCTCGGGTTTGATGAGGTTGATTAGACCTCTAGCAAAAATGCCAAAGTTGAGAGGCTTTGTCCCCTTTGTAATAGATCCGAAATTGGTAATGAATTCCACTATTTGTTGAAATGTACTCACTCATCACTTTCTAATATAAGGGGTATCTTCTTGGAGAGCCCATACTCGATAAACAGTAATTTTACGAATATGTCTTGCAAGGCACTATTTTTATATATCATGTCTATGTGTGATGAAAACATCATAAATCTTAGTGCCTCTTATATTAAAAATATTCTAAATTGTTGTAAATCCGAACTCTACTTTAACTTTCTTACCGTACGAGTAGCGTAGAAGCCGTACATAGCCAAGTACTTTTCTTTTTATGTTAATATTCAATATATAGTTGTTGTTCCTTTCTTTCTTACTTAAATTTTATTTTACGTTGTCTCATTTGTAATTATATTGATTGTTTTGGTACTGAAATCTTCATGTCGAAGATAAAGTCAATAAAGTCAATATAGTTGCTAATAAGCCGAGAAAAAAAAAAAAATAATAGAGAAAGAAAGGGAATTTCAAAAACTTATTTACAGTATAAAGCCTTAAATTACATGATATACCTATTTACAATAAAAAGCCTAATTACATAATAGAACATGGCTATTTTTGAGAATTAGCTAGAACTTTGGCTGGCGGACTGCTTCTTTAAAAGCTGACAATGTACTTAGGTAAACTTAACCCGGTGTCCAGTTGGTAAACATTAGGAAGCTTTAGCAGCAACGACTGCGACAGCAACAGCAACGCGAACTTAAAAAAAACTAGTGTAGTTGGCTCGATAATAATAATAGTTATAAATAATATTTTAAGAGGAGGCCTCCAATCACCTAAGGGTGGCTTTAAGGAGATTCCTCTAAAATTAAAAAAAATTACATTAAAATAACACACAGCTGAAAACTGAGACTACAACTAAGGTTTAGAACTATAACTAAGATTAAAAATACTAACTACGGTTCAACTGATGTAATAAAAACTGTTTTAGTTTGTGTTTAATAATCGTTTTTGGCATCAAAAACTAGAACGAAGATTAAAATACTTACTTCGGTTAAAAATGGTGTGATGAAAACTGTTTGATATTAAGCAAAGCAACAACTCTGCATGGTCTTTTCATTTGTTTCACCCTAAGCTTGATGAGGAAGTGAAATTCTCTAATGCGACATTTCATAGAGGACGCAGATGTACGAAAATGGAATTTTGCTCCTCTTTCTGAACTTGTATGCGTTTCTAATAACTTGATTCCAAGAGAATTCACTTGATATTTGACATACATGTATCACGCGAGTTGGATATCGCTGGATATTGCGGGCCTTGTTCTCTGTTTGCAAAAAAAACTCGGATAATATTTAGTTATATTGACCTCATGCGTGGTCAATAACACATACATGTGTATCTTGACTAGTCACCCGTGGTAATGAAGTGACGCATGTATATTTTAGCTAACATCAGCGCTGCTCCGTTGGTAAATAAAAGTGCTGAATACGCAAATCGTTGACAGGCTGATGCACAGCTCGTGCTGAGAACAAAAGAACAGTTAGGCTTACTTGATGTACAGCCCAAACCTACTCGTTAAAGAGCACAATGGTATTTTCGAGCTGGCCTCAAAGAAAAAAAGACTACTTCTACTGACGCTAATCTATCTGCGACATATCGCACAGTAATTTTTTGACGAATTATATGGGAAATGTTAGCAAACTATTTGCTTGTCGTCTCAGAAAGGTTGTACTGAAAAAAAAAAGGTTATAGATAATGTTCTTCTGCAAGAAGCTTTCCATTGTTCATTCGATGCTTCCAAAGTCACTTTATACACGTTCCGCTGGCTTTTATTCCACTGTTACTGTAATCGCTCGTGGTCATTTTAGGAGTCTGTAAAAGCGGCCAGCTGGATGAAAATATCTCTAGATGTTGTTGCAGCTTGGTCCGCTGCTGATCCTCCTAACGCTTCTAGAACTTAAAAGCTCCTTCGTCATCCCCGGTGCTTTTTTCGCCTCCGTCTTTCTTTTTGTTCTGTGCAAAAACAAGACAATTACAGTGAAGTAAGTTTTAGAAATAGCCTCAACATGTCCGTTTCTTCTTTGTAGCTATATTTATTGTATAGTTTAATCAGCAGATTATATTCGTCGGTTCATTGATGTCGCTAAAATGATGATTTTATAGGGTAACACAATAACTGGTAATCCAACCGTACTTCTTGGGTAACAAATAAGGACAGTAACAAATAATTAAGAATTCCAATTCATGAGTGGAGGCAACCCATTTGGCTATTTACAAGCGTGGCTAAGGATTTGAACTTGGGACTACTTAGAACAAATTCACCTAGCGGTCAGGGCCCAGTTGCTCGAAGCATGGTTAGCGTTAACCAGCGTTTAATACCTTGACAACGTATTGGTTTTGATACTGCTTAACCAATGGTTAAAGCTAACCATGCTTTGAGCAACTCAGCCCAGGGCGGGACTTCAACTCGGGGCCTTGGATTGCAAGTTCAACGCTCTAACCGCTCGGAAAAGCTACCTCCTACGTTGTCAACATAGGCGCGGCAGGCATACTGCAAACTTTTTTAAGCCTCTAGATTACTGATAAGTTTTAGAAATAGTCTCAGGTCCAAGCGTATGCAACGACACCCCAAATGGTCTGGTCTAAAGATGTGAAGCTTTGTTAGGTGGTGTTTGTGGTTGTGTTAAAAGGGTCGGAAATTATTTGCATCCACACGTATGTTGTAGAGCTCTAGGGGAACTGGATCTATAACAATGTCTAAGCTCAATGTAAGAGCCCTTTTAGAGTTAGCAAATTCTGTAACTGAATGTAAAAATTTCCTAGGAACTGAAACACTTTACATTTTTTTTAAATGACATTTTGCCACTTGCTTTCTGACCTATAGTGTAGTAAACCACGGTATTTTTGAAGTTTGTTTATGTGGAAGAAATGTAAAAGGGCGCTTACTCTTGAGTTTAAAACAAACTCTTTGACCAGTTTCAAGCAAAACAAAGCAAAACGAACCAAGCAAACAATGGTATCAACGACAACAACAACAACAATACAACAGCCAACATTCACCAAGTGTCTTAAAAAATCTAGCTTACCAAATGTATGTCATTCTTCTTGTTCAACGGGCTGTCTTCTTCTTCGTCTTCTTCTTCTTCTTCTTCTTCTTCTGGGTATTCCTTCCCTCCGAGACTGTTTATCGCCGCCCTGACGGTTTCCATTAAACCTCGACTTCGCTAAGTTCCTGCTTCTCTCTATCACATACAGAAAGAGAATTTGAAGAACACAGACTGCAAGAGTAAACACAACTATCAAGATACATGTGTCCATGATGGACTGCATTTTGCTCCAAAAAGCGGGAGTTTTGCACTGGGAACTCGTAAATTTGCAACTGGTTGCGGGGCTCGTTTGTTCCACTTATCAACCCAAGCCGGGGTCAATTTTTAATAGTTTGGTGGGGTAAGGAAAGGCTTAAGAAAAAGGAAATACTTATCATTTTCAAATCATGAAATCATGAAAAAGAAATTCCATATAGAATAATATCTTCAAGCCTCGGGGGGGTATAGTTCTTACCCTAAATACCTGTACGAGTATGCGTCGCCAAATGAGCTCGTTAGTTTATTACTCACGATCTAGAACAGGTCTAACTTTCCGTATATTCAGCACGGTTCCTAGATCGGTGTAGTGTGCTGTAGAGCGAGGTATTGAAAATTTGCCTGTTTCTAGGACGAGGTATCTTTCATCGAGGATCCAAAATTGGAGACCTGAGCAATATCTACCCACCCAGAACCTACTCGAGTTAACGCCCCCGGGCCTCAAGTCAACTCCCGATAAACCGTGTGTAGCTTTTGATCTCTTCATTTACCGGACCTTTGTAAGATTATCTTTTGAGGGATTACTTCTAGTACTACTTGGAGTATGGTAACATTTCCTCATGTTATCACGTTCACGGTTTGTATACATGTTTATCGACCATATGTGTTCCGATTCCAGGTCACGTGATAAAGTACAGGTTTCTTTCAATTTTCACGCTATTCGAATGTGCATGAACGCATAACCTACCAAACGACAAAGGAAATAGTTACTCTAAATAAACAACAGTTTCTCTGAGATTTTATCCGAAAACGAATATTTTTTACTCCAGACTGGCCATCCGCCCACACCCCGAATCCGATGATAAAGGCCGTCGAAAACACAACATTTCGAGTGGACACGTGACATTATCCTGTCTCGCTGTTTCCACCTGGCTGTTCTTCTAGGCCTAATAGCACGTCTTATTTAAGTCAATTTTGCTTGTATAAAGTTAAATGTTCAAGCGCATGCTTCAACTGACTAACTAAGACTACTTAGCACAATCAGCAGGGTTAATTTCACAGGCATCTAACGACTGTCTTCGGTAAACATGGTAAAATAAATGTGCGGAGGGGCAAATATTGCCTAGAAATTTCTGATGCGCGAGAAAGGCTAGAAATTTCTGGATAACCATTCCATTCGTCCATGATATTCGCGGAATTTTTCTACTAATTTACGAAAGGATGTTGTGTTTTTCAGATTTTATTATCAAGATATTGTGATTATTGTTTTAAAAGGCCCCTTAAAATTTCGGTATTAAGACAAAACGTGCCCTAGAATATTCCAATGAAAGTAGGGCTACACCACGTCCGCGAACTCTTTTGACCGGACCGGCAACATGGTAGCTGAAAGTTTTGGATGAGACGATGAAGCCACCTAAAAGTTTCGGGACGACCAAGGTTTTCCTAAGACATCCGGACAGACAAATAGTTCTCATAGGGCAGCTACAAATTAACCAAACAGGCTTTTAAAGCATAGAGAAAGCTAATTGAGACATTTGTGACGTATTTGGAAACATTTTGTCGTTGTGTACCCCTGTAATTTCTCTGCTGATCTCGAAAATCGGAACAGTTAACTAGTCAGCAAGTACCACCTTGTCTACAAGCAGTTTTTATGAGATGAGGAGAGGAAGTAGTTCGAATGATTCAAAGCTATTGTGGATAAAGTGAAAAAACATCCGTTTTCGAACGGAAACGGATATATATGTGGCCGAACGAAAACGATTCAACAACACTATCTGTTATGAGAGTTTTTCTGAAAATGGAGAAAAAAAAATCCTTGTCAAATAGAGTGGATGTGTGTAGTTGAGGCTTCACGTTTTTTAGGAGTGGACGAATGCATAATCATAAAATGATAGATGAATTTAAGTGTCGCTTGAGAACGTTGTATGACCCAGACAGGAAAACAAACAAACGAAAGTAAAATGTTGTTCTTGGGAAAGGACAGCTTGAACTAAAATCTGGTTAGTTGAGGGCAGCCTGAACTTTTGCTTCCTGTACACAAATTCAAACTTTTTCAATTAAATCAGGTCAAATGTTGCTTTGAAAACCCTAAAACTCGCTACAATTTCCACTTGATGCCGTGTGACTTAAATGTGCTCGTGGGAATAATTTCTTGTTTTATTGTAGTGTTGCAAAACTAAAGCCCTCGTAAATGCGTTTGTTACCTCGCGCGTAGAATATTGCAATAGTCTTTTATATGGCTTGCCAGCTTCTCACCTGAATAAGGTTCAGCGCGTTTTAAATGCCGCAGCAAGACTAGTTTGTCGCGCGCCACGCTACTGTCGCATAACGCGGTTGCTGTACAAGCTGTACTGGCTACCGGTTAGGCAACGCATTAGTTTTAAGATTCTACTATTTTTTTTTAAGGCCATCCATTGATTCGCGCCAACGTATTTAAGAGAACTTGTGTCAATTAAGAGATCAGGAAATTATAATTTAAGATCCTCCTTGGATGGTTTGTTGCTTGCAACGCCAACTTATAGAAGTAGGGTTACATTAGGAGACAGATCATTCCAGGTCGCAGCTCCGGCACTTTAGAATGTACTACCGCGTGAGATTCGTTGTATTCAATACAGATCTTGGGATTTTTAAGTGCCATCTGAAAACGCACCTCTTTAGGGAAGCTTTTTATTAATTTTTATCACGATAATTACTAGTATCTTAACATATGTTGTATATTTTAATTTTATCATAGTATATTTTAAATAATTGTTAGTTAGATACCCTGTATGAGATTATTATAGATAGAAATTATGTAATGCGCGCTTGATCATTTCATGGAAAGCGCGCGATACGAGAATTAAATTGTTATTATTATTATTATTATTATTATTATTATTGTTATTGCAATTCAACGGTATAGTGTCAGCTAAATAAACGGTGTCCGCCTTAACAGGTTTCCTGAGGAGAACTTTTGGCGTCGAAAGTTATTTGTTACTGAAACGGAGCTGATACTCCTGTATAGCCTGCAAGGGTTAACACTTTCCCCAACGTTTTTTTACCCAACGATAAAGCGACGTCAGCGATCCCGAAATGAGCGCAATCGATTTTACTGGTAGCAGATGTATAAGGAAGGAGAAGGGAGCGCTGGGTGGTAAAAGGAGACCCTCATAGTCGACCTGAGCAAGACATCCAACGGTACCGCCGCTACTGATACATTCTCCATTTCATGTTGTTCAGTCTACTTTAGGATGCGCCAGTTTCCGTGATTCTTAGAACTTAAAAACTCGAGTTTGCCTTAGGCATACTAGAAACTGCCGCTTCCGCTTAATAGAAGTGTCAAGTTGATGCGATACGATTAATTTTGTACAGTAAACACGATAGAGTTCAACACGTGCGGGGAGGGGGGATGGGTGATAAGGGGGGGGGGATGGGGGCTGTTCACTCGATTTAACCTTATTTTGCATCCGTAAACCTTTTGAGGGGTTAAGTGATAAACACACTTGTTTGTTAATTGAAAGAGGATTGCTGAAATGTGCCGGATTTTTTTTTTGTTGTGACTGTTGAGAGATGTAAAACATGTTTCTTTAGCTTCTAAACTGCAAGTCTAGGTGTAGACTCTGCCAGGCTCTCAGTTAGTAATAAAACAAGCCAAGCGAAAATAAGACGCGCGCGATCTGGAAAGGGGGCGATGGCGGGAAAAAATAGGAGACCACCCTCTCTCCCCCATGTCCCGCGCGTTTCTCCTATCAGTTTTTACTGCACGTGCCGACTGCACTACCATCTTGTTGTAAAGCTTCTCATTTCATATTATCCACAACAACATACAATTTCCGTTTCCTTTCGACTAATCCTTTCTCTCCCTGATCATAGTTAGGATGCCCAGGGTGATTAAACAAAAACCCGAATGGTTCATGGTGAAGGAATGATGTTGTTTTTTGATATGTATATTTTTTATATGAATTATCACTTCATCAGCTATCTATGCCTATAGGATGAATCAGTTTAATATGAAATCTTGTAAAGATGGCTCTTACTTTTGAGACTGTAAAAAATTCATGATGTGACCATTCAAATGAAACTTCTCGGGCAGCACTTTCACATGGTGCTCTTTGTTTTAAGCATTTTTACTAAATGAAATTTGGAAATTTTTTGTAATTTTTTTTTTAGCCACTCACGTCTAAGAGTGAATTAGAAAAGGTTAACACTCGGAACAACCGCGGCGCCGGTTTACTCAAGTGCTATGCGACTTTACAAATCCCTGCGCTTGTCAACTTGCGGTTATCGTGACCCACGGTGAATCTAAGCTGAGCTTGTAGACTAGCATTTCCGCCGCATGTGACATTACAATCAGAGTATTAAACACAGGTCACCAAACATTAGGTGACGCAAAATTACAAATTCAGTCGTACTGAAGCAAAATCTGAGAACGCCATTGCACGCTCAGCATGCCTTAGTACATGATTACACGCTGTAAGCTGCGTGCAATGAAACTTTGAGGGTTTTTTTTAGCGGGATAGTGCACTCTTTTTCAGGTCAAGATTAAGGAAGTGCTAAAGCGACAGATAAGCTTATCTAATGGGGTATGAAGACTGTAATAGAATCGAGTCCGACATTTGACACCTCGACCAAAAGTCGGACTCGTTTCAATCACTGACAACAGGAAACTGATATACAGATAAAACCTTTATTTGAACGTCAAATTATTTCGCCCAGATAAGACTAATTGGGGACACTAAATAAACTATACTATAAAAATGCTAAAAACGAAACAAAGCGAATAGACTTGCCCACAAGTCGAGTTTTCTGAGAGACGAAGTCGGGAAAACGGCCGAAGACCCAGTAGTAAAACGGACTTCCTGGAAGTCTAGAAACTGAACCTGTTTGGATGTCTCTGTTGTAAACGTGCAGCCGCCTTTGTTTGATCTAGCCGCAGTTTTTTGCATGGTAACAAGAGGCTCGCCTATGCCTTCGCCTTCCTCGTCAAAGGAAGTGTTCTGAAGAAGACAAGGGAATTATTCAGGGACTCAACACCTTATTTGTTTGTTTTTAATTTTTTCTGTTTTTTTTTTTTCTTTTTTTTCTGTCATGTAGACTCGATTTCCTCCGTTTTCTCGATTTCTCGTCTTCCCTTGACCGGTAATCGAGCCTACTGAAAGTGGTGCGAGAACTTACTGTGTATAAACCCAGCTATTTTTATAGGTTGGATCTGATTTGGATATGTGTCGTATCCTTGTAGAAGAGTAGTCATGCACCAGTTTTGGAACTCACAGGTTTATTCCGTACACTGTAAACTGCTTACTGTACACTCTTGAACATTGTAGACTCCAAGAATCCAAAAAACCTGGTAACTTATTCTGCTCTATCTTGATGGTTTTAGTTTATAAACCTACCTACTAAAAACTAACGAAATAAAGTTCAGACGTTTCGGCGACATCATGACGCCAATATCATTGGTTTTTGCATGTTTATACTTAACAAATAATGTCCTTCCGAGTTTATTTACACTTCGTCGCGCTATTTTTAGCGCCTTTAAGCCCCAATATTCTCATATAAATTCTCCATACTGATCTCCATACATTTCTTTAAAGAATTAGTTGAGAGAGTTTGATAGCAGGTCAAAGCATTTTCTCTTTAGTGATCATTTTATTAAATCTCATAGCCATTCATCTTGGCAACATATGGATATTGTTAGGAGAAAGTTGATGTTGGTCACCCTTGAGACTTAAAGGGTTAACATGTCCACGCTGTAACGCTTTAACTTTGGGCGGAATGCAAAAAAAGCTCATTCAAAACTTTTCAAAAATACAAGAGGTCATGATCGATGCAAGGGGTAGCAGATTCCCTCCTGGAGGAGATCTTGTTTATGAAAACAAGAAGTAATAATCCTCTCATGATGATGAATGGTCATTTACGAGTATAACTACCAATACTGACCTCGAACGAGGTTTTCATGTTCTTATATTTGTTACAGATTAGTCACCTGTTCTCAGGTCCTTTGGAGAGCTGTCGCAGCAGCTTGCTGCATGAAAATGGCAAAGGGTTACGGGTGTTGCTTCTTACTCTTGTTGGATTAAAGGTAGGCTAATGCTTGTCAGTCGAGGATTTGAAATGTTTTGTGAATATGGCTGGCTGCCCATTCTTCAGGTGTGGGGAAAATAGGCGAAGCCGGAAAAATGTGCGGAAAGTCGTCTGCAAGGAAAGTCAGTGCGCCGTGTGCCTCATAACTCCACGTACACAATCTAAAACAAGGCGAACATCCCAGGCGTACTAAATTCACGAGTTAATGAATATGGAAATAGGTTTTGCGGTTCACGTATTTCTAGTTTTAATTATTAAACGTTTAAACCTTTGAAAGGGACCACCAAAAGAAACTGTAATAGAACAGGTGATCAATTACCGGAACTGAGAGCTTAAGAGCTGTAGTAATTGAAATTTCTTTGTATATATTTCCTTTCTCACTACCCTAAGCCTTGATGTCTGTGTTGATAAAAATATTAGCTTTCCGTCTTTCGTTTCTTAAACAGCTTTGCTCGACTATTGATGAACTTAAGCGCTTCATGCAGAACACTCTGCTGTTTGTACAGTCACCTGCACAGTCAGTTGACATAGATAAAGAGCTTGAAACATCACTTGAGTCACTACAGCAACTCGGACATGTCATAATAACCAACACAGCACAGAGCAGGAGTATAGACGTCACCCATCTGGGACAGGCCACATTTAAAGGTGCGTTTCTTAACGGCAAATACTTGCGGACGTTTCAGAGTACAGAAATATACCTTAAACTTCAGCTTATAAGCGCTGGGCTTATACAACTTCGTAAGTGGTATGGGGGTGGGGGGGAGGGGGGGCTTATATCCGGGGGTTTTATAACCGGACTAAAAATGCGTTTCAAAACAAGCTATAAAGCAGTGCTGATCAAAATACCTTTTAAATTAAGTCATTTTTTTAAGGTTCAAAACGTCGTAAAAAATTGAATTCATGTTGTTTTAAGCAGCTATATCACGATCTTTCGGTTTTACATCAAAATCCTAATAACATATTGGAAAGCCTGAAATACCTCTATCACTGCACCTCAACTTTAAGTGTGTGTCTTTTGCCATCAGTGACCAGGATGGAAATGGATTGCAAACCGTGGAACAATTTGTGCCAGTTTTTGCAAGTTAAACCATTCTGTTGTAAAAAAAAAATGACCAAAGAGCGATCATGCCAATTTTTTCTTTGGGTAAAATGATTTGATATCTTTTTTTTGGAGTTCCTAATTTAAGAAGAGATGACTGAGTTATAATTTTAGCTCCGTTTTCACCAAAAAATGTGGAACTCGCCTTGACATGGGTCCTTCAACTTTAGCGGAGCAGTCTCATGAACATAAAAACATACTTTAAGCACTTATGTGTGTGGCAACATTGCCTTTACAGGGTGCATTGATGTGGAGAGCAGTCCTGTGATCTACCGCGAGGTAACAAGAGCATTGGAGAACTTGGTACTAACCAATGAACTGCATCTGCTTTATCTTGTGACGCCGCTGGACATCAGGGATTCAATTGAGCCGCAGTGGATGACTTATTTTAAACAGGTACGGATCAGACAGAAATAAGCAAAGAAATCAGCCGGAATGTGAAAATTACGCGTCACGTAAAAAGGAATCCTTTAAACTTAATTTAAAAACCAGAATGTAGATGTTCCAACCAATGATATGTTTGCGCCCTCATTGAACAAGCGACCCTTAATCTACGGCATCCTCTGTCTCTACCAATATTTGAAAGAGGAAACAAATTGTCACCTAGCCTGAATTTCATCCGATTTCTTTGAGTCGTTGTTACTCCCTTGAGGAGAAAACGACTCGAAGCAATTGGATGAAATTTAGGCTAATTGTCACCGGAAGTGTTTTTTTTTTGTTAAACAAACTTTGACTTTACTGGGAACGAGTTTGTCTCAATGGGATGGTGGAATTTACGGTTAACGGTTAACATTTTGGCTTTTTACGGTCAACAGTCACTGTTTCGTCCCGTTATGTTAACAGACACCTGAACAAAATCAGATGGTTTTAAAATATTGAAATTAGGTTCCATATTTGTTGAAAAACCTTTTTAAAGGACGGTAGTATAGGTCTCTAAGGATTTTTTTTGAGTGGAAAAAGAGGCAGAAATAGGGTCCATCGACCACGCGACTGCTTTTGTATCTTTGTAATGTCTTTTGTGGTCTTGATTTTCTCGTTCGCGTCTTATATGATTTCATTACAGGTGTTGTCTTTGGGTGATTCAGAACAGCGAGTGGCTGAATTGGTTGGAGCCACAGAAAGCTTATTATCGAGAAGAGCTACAGGTCAACGGGTCAAGAAGGTACAAGACTAGTATTGCTCTTTTCTTCTCGAAATTTTGCTTTCTTCTTTAGCCCCTCTAACTTGCCTGATCGTGTAGCTAACTAACTAACACAGACGTTTTTTGGGCGTGTCAAGCAATCGATGGAAAAGGATTTTGTGACGAGTCAAAAGAGAGTTTATCAAGGCGCTTGAATCTTGTGTTGGTCTTTGTCATACAATCTTTTAACTTTGTCATGCTTTCTGTTTTAGTATTTTCTCTTGTCATTTAGGGAGATTGGTAGCTGGCAGGGGGTTACCAAGGGAACAAAATAACTGCCTTGGGGGCACTTAAGTAGAGAAACCACTTATTGTGAGGTCATCGCTAAAATCCTGTCTTGACGCTCTTTGTAGGACGACAGTGAAGAAGCTTCCGTCAAGAGGTTCTACTTAACTCTCATCCTGTACAAACTGATGAAAGAGAACACCATCTGGGACGTTGCTAGTTTGTTTAACGTGACACGAGGATTTGTGCAGAATCTTTTAACTTCAGCTTCATCATTTGCTTCATGCATGGTGCATTTCACTCAGGTACGTCTAACCAGTATTAGTAGGATTAATCGCCCATTACGAGAATAAACGACAAACACCGGTATTTCAGTAAACTGATTAAATAATGGCCTCGTCTTGCAAACTTGCGGAAAAAGAAATAATTCAAGTCCAGCCTCACAAATTCGCTGTCTTGAATTTCGATAGTTTGAGCCCAATTCCTCCTTCTTCACCTTTTAGTAAACGAACTAAAATGGCAACTTCGCATGCTAAATGATCCTGTATGTTTAACAAAACATTAAGGCCAATGCGAACTCTACATCTACTGGACTCTTTATGCGGAATTATCGTTTTCCAAAGATTGAGAAATGTTATATCTTTGATTTTGCAAACAGAAAGTGGTGAAAGATGTAATATATCAAACATGAGACGCAGTGTTTCATCACCAGATGAAACACCGAGAAGAGAGTTGAAAATAAGACGCGCAGCGGAGTATTTTTGACGAACTTCGAGGTGTTTCATCTGGTGATGAAACACTGTGTCGAATGTTTGATATTTCTTCTCAAACAAAATCATTTTTGAAGGAGAAATTAAGGATGCAAATACTGAGCAGTTTTTCATCCGATTTCCAAACATCATTAAACATTAATTTTCTTTGTATTTTCTTTATGAATTATTAATGAGTTTGAGAATGTTAGTGGAAAATGCGAATAGAACGTTATATTTCCAGCTCTTTAGTGGGAGACTTTGTTTTTACAGTTACCGACGGGCTGAAAATTCCACGAATGCGAGTTTTAATCGAGTTTCCTAAAGCCATAACAGGTTATCACACTGCCCCGGCGGTCAGAGGTATAGGAGACTCAAACAGCCAATCAGAACTCGAAGTAAAACACGTGATCCGTGTTAAGCGCGGGAAAACGCGGGCGACTAAGTGACGCTTGGATTTGTTTTCAGTTCTGATTGGCTGAGAAAGTGGCAGGAGATTTTAAGCTAATCACAAACTGTATTAGTATACAAAACTAAACGAAATACTCATTCACGGACAGTCCTTTTGTCCCCAAAGATACAAGACTTCATACATTCCTTATCTGTATGATTCGGACTGAATTCGAACAGTTGAGTCTGTCCCTTTGGTTTCCATATTAATGAGGTTCAACTGTTTTTGAAAAGTGTTCTACAATGATTAATGAGAACTGTATGGTTTGTGACCTTGTGATGTCACTCTACAGGAGCTGCAGGAGTTTTGGGGAGTGAATTTATTACTTGAGGCCATGGTTAAGAAGTTATCCTACACTGCTACCTTGGAGCTTGTTCCTCTTATGGAGGTCCCTGGTGTCAAGCAGGTCAATAGAGATTTATTTCTTTCGCTTCCAAGTTAAGGCGCCTTCTGTGAACTTTTTTTTTGGGGGGGGGGGAGGGGGACGCTGGGGGTGGGTAAGGGGACTAGTAAAGCCGTATAGAAATGCATCTGCTTCTTGAGGTTCAACTAACAGGGGTCGTGACGGGTTAAGTTTGTCCAACAGTATTGAAATCTGCAATCAAGTGTCCCGAATTAGTTTTTAGTCGCTCTAACATTTGAAGAACTCGATGTTAATTTTGCTTCTTTAGTACTCTTTTCGCATTGTAGAGTACTTGTTTTCATGTCACTGGACGTAATAACGTAATATAAAATCTGTTTTTGTTACCACCACACAATATCCAAGTATCTCAGGTATTTCAAGACTTTTATATTATGCATTGTTACATTTCGGGTTAAAAAAATATTGTTGCATTTTTCGTCAAAAACTTGTTCCATTTTGCGTTAAAACTTTGGTACCTTGTGGGTCAAAAGTTGTTAGATTTCGGGTTAATGTTACGTTTTGCGCCAAAAGTTGTTACATCTTGTGTTATTGTTGCATTTTACGTCAATTGTTACATTCTGTTCTTACGGCTACCTGATTGGTCAGTAGTGATGATTATATTTCTTTGTTCTCCGCAGGCTCGTGCACGGCAGTTATTCAAGGCAGGCTATAAAAGCCTTAACAGTCTGGCCTGGGCCGATGTTAATTCCCTTATGGCTGATATTGAGCACCTGTCAAGACGACAAGCCAATCAGATCGTGTCAGCTGCTAAGGTATAAAACCGGTTAAACTAGATGGATCTCTTGTTGCTGTTCGTGGGGTTGTGGTGTTTAGCATACACACCTACACACTCTTTATATATTGCTTTTCTGAAAAATTTACAAGTTTTGCACACCCGCAAATAGCAATGGCTAATCTAAAGCGGCACGTGCTCACGAAGCCAATTACAAGAGAGGAAGAAGATAAAAAATATAAAGAGACATGTTACAGGATTTTTTTGTGTGTGTAATTTCAGCAGAATCTATATGAGGCTAAGGTTAATTTAAGTTTGCTTGATTTTTCACTCAAACAAGTGTGAGCCAGTTGTCCGTTAGCCTGCGTGGCAAGCGCCGGTTAATGTTTTTTGGTTAGGTTTTATATAGCGCAAAATTTCGTCCTTCACCCCGACAAATTTAACAAAACCGGCGCCTTTTACGCAGGCTAGTTGTCCGTTTGACGACAAAACAAAAACAACAGCGAAAGGGCAGGAAGAAAATGTTAACGTGAAAATAATCTTTAAGTTGCCAGATTTCAAAAGCTAGAGGTGACTGACCTCGCTAATAAGAGAAAGTTTAGAACCGGGAAATGGCAGTAAAATGGTATTTATTTTGTTTTTAGATGCTCTTAGAAGAGAAAGCGGACGCTTTGCGGGAAGAAGCAGAAGAGATGACAACTGTTCCAGAGAAACCGAACACATAGGACGAGTGATTTTCATATCTTTAACTGAAGAAGTGAAAAGAAACGAAAATAGTAATTATATGTTTATTGCAGAAAATGATAAGGTTTTTATAAGTATATCATGGTTTTAGAGCACAGAATCGCCTCTGATACGAACGGCTCTACATGTGTCGAATTGCTGAAAGAAAATGAATGCTTATCAAAGTTATTGTTTACTCAATTCACATAAAATTAACGTACATAAGATAAACTATTTTTCGAATTTGACTTTGTAATATGTATGAAACTATTATATGCTCTATTTATTTTTTCATATAAGACGCGGAATTATGTTTTTGTCAGGACAGGTGAAAGCTTTCACACCAACTTAGAATGTTTAGATTGAACAAAGGGTAAATCAGAGTGTATTTTAATACATAGTTATAATTCTGAGCTTGAATTCATAGTGACATGGAGTTACGATTGAAATGACAAACATCAGTTAACTACTTCTATGGATGAGGAGAAAGTTTTATTGAAGAGTATATCGAGAACAACAAAACCAAAGCTCAACCTGTGTTAACAGCATAAAACAATATCTACGAACCCGATTTTAAGAAATAACAAAATCACTTTGAGAATGAGAAAATAACAATCTATGAAAAATTATTAATTATTTAAAACAGGACAAACACGGTTTGTCAAAAGTTGTACAGTTATAAATACCATACAGTTTCATCACTTGGACTGGGATTGAGAGTCAGGTGGAGAAGTGATAATTATGTTACCTTTGCAAAACATCTATTTATTCTCTCCCCTCATGTCAGGGAATCCAAGACATGCCTGGATTCTGGATTCCACGCCGTGGATTCTAGTCCAGGTATGGGATTCTGGATGTTTTGTCAGTGGAACTGGGATTCCGGATTCCAATCGTTAGTGGTATTCCCGGATTCCTTGAGCCGATTCCAAATTCCAAAGCCCAGGATTCCAAATTTCACAGCAAAAATTTGCCAAATTCTGGATTCCAGGAGTAAAATTTTCTCGGATTCGGGAATCCGGATTCCCTTACATGTGGCGAAACCTCCATTCACCCCGCTCCTTCCCACCCATTTAAAAGGGATCATTATACGTTTCTAGGAAACTGCCTTCCTACCCCTCCCCAAAGCCAACATTTTGCCCTGAGTGGGAAATAAGTGTCAATGTTGGCTTAGGGGAGGGGTAGGTGGGCAGTTTCCCAGAAACGTATAACGATCTTGGGTCTTTTGAGAGAAGTTATTTTAGTTTTCGTTCACACTTCGTACAATATGTTTGATTTGCCTCTTGTAATCATATTTAACAATTAATGAGGCTGAGTATCTTATGAAGAATTATGGAGATCGAGGAGGGTATTATCCGTCGAGGCCATAGCCCGAGGCGGATAACACTCTCCGAGATCTCCACAATTCATATTATACGAAAGCCGAATTCAATAATTGTTTTATTATTCATTCAAAAAAATTCCTAGTTCAAAAACATGGCTAAAACATGCTTACCTCCATCGATGTTAAGTTCATCTTCGATAGTGCACGTTTAGGGTTGTTCAGCTCCGCAAATATTCTCCAAATAGGAGATGTCGCCCTTCGAGTAGTCTTCTTGCTGTTCTTGCCATGTTTTGAGCTATTTTTTCGCCTAGTTCTTACTCTTGAAGCGAATGAAATGTCCGCCATTTTTGTTTTCACAACCAAAACAACTCAACCTCGTCCCCAGGTCTTCTCGGTTAACGGTGCATTAATCTGCAAGAAAGCGGCACTTTTGACGTCATCGGTTCATTAATAGCAAAATTCTTCCAAATCTGGTCATCAGTAGAAGGTTATGGTAAATTATGCGTGTGCTTTTAGCTAATCAGAATCGGGGAAATATTTTCAATGAATTTGTTTGAATGAAGTTAATGAATTTATGGTAAATGTAAACACAGATGAAAGATTTGTCGTCGTTAAGTAAAAGAACAAGCTAGCAAGTTTCTTTTTGTTTTTTTGAATTGACATGTTAGGACCAGAAATTTTGTAAGTTATCTCTATGTGCCGGATTAAGAAACCTATACAAGAGACATGATTAAATAAATAATTGAGCAAGAATTTAATTACTAGTTGAGCGTAAATTAGCATTACAGAAATAAAGGCTAAATTCCCATCAGAATTCTGAAGTATCGTTATTTGATGATGTCGACTTACAAATGAATGGTACACAAGTTAAGCGTGTGCAATCATGTAAATATCTTGGAGTAACAATGGATGAAAAATGGAGTTGGACGCAATATATTAGTAAATTGTTCAAGAAGCTATAGGTCATCGCGTCGCCTGTCCGTGTTTAACAGAATCTTTTGTATGCTTGATACTCAGGTAAATTAAGGCATGGGTCCCCAACGATTCAGTAAAAAAGTGATGGGGGGTGGTCTATCTCTGAGCACGTAAGCAGTAGAAAGATGAGACTTTGCCAGACACATACGTGTGTGGTTTCTGTCAATTAGGTGATGTTCAATTATGCAAATGTTGTCACGTGACTCCACACGGCCAGAAAACAAAGTCTTTAAACAAAAATGGCATCACTTTTTGTTGTGAGTTATTAAACCGGACTGGTTTAGGACAATGTGTAATGCAAGCATCTACAAGACTGTGCTTGGCCTTTTTTGAATTTTTTACTGTTTTAGAAAATAAACGGCTTTTTCAACAAGACCCAGTCCCCCAAAGCAATTGTATCCCATCCTAACGCCTTCGATTTTAAATATCTAAAAAAGGCCAAGCACAGAGGGGATACATTAAACGGCATTAGCACTATGTAACTGGTAAAATAATTGAAGACACGCGAAAAAGTGTTGCCGTTTGAAGAACAAGCTTTTTCAGCTGATGGAGGTCACGTGACCTAATTTGCACAATTTTAAAGCACAAAATTGACACAAACTAAAAATGTGGTTAGCTGGCAAAGTTTTATGTCCCTTCATCTAAAGCTCTTAGATATAGACCACCCCCTCACTTTTGAAGAGAGCAAATTAAGGCAAAAGAGGCCCATGCCTTAATTTACCTGAGTAATAAGACTCGCATTGCGTATTTTAACGGCTTCGTTTTGCCCCATTTAGACTATGGTGACATAGTACGAGGAGATCAGCCTGGCCTGAAATCTGAAATGGATCGTTTACAAGAGTTTAAAACAGATTTGCGAAAAGAAGTCTAGCTAGGTAATAAGATATCATCATCCCAAGCACACAATTCCCTACAATGGATCCCTCTGGCTGGACGATTTTTTGCTCACCGATGTTCAGCGGTTCAAAATGCTATTAACGAGGAAATACGAGAGCACCTAGAGACTTCTAGAATAACCTTAAGAGACTTGCATGGACATAATACAAGAAACAGTTATTTACCTAGAATTCCAAACGGAATGGGGAAAAAGAACAACTTACTATAGGTACATTAGTGACTGGTCAACTCTTCTTAATTTTTTAAGGAAACCTATTACTTGCAAAATTATTAAACGGGACCCAAAAAAAGTTTTTAAGAGCCAAATATTGCAGTTTGTAAATTTTCATTTTACCCTTTTAGTCGTTAGCCTTTCTTTTTTCAATAGTTAAATCCTTTAGTCTGATTGTATTTTTATTACTTTATTTGCCTTTTTAGTCGTCTAGCCTTTTTAGCCTTTTAACTTTATAACCACTAGTTTTTTAGATTTGATTGCTATTAGTAGTTCTATTATTTAATCTTAATCAGAGGACCTCCCTGGAAACCACTTCATGTGATGGTAGTTTCCTCTTAACTGTATATTTTTGTTTGTTTTCCTTACATATATAGAAGATTTTATCGCGTATTTGCCATTGCTCAATTTCGGTCAGAATTTACTTTCGTTAGCGTATCAAAAAAAATAACTTTTTAAGAGCTGCTGAATTTCTCTTCATTTTGAAAGTTATTGGGACAGTACCAGCTAACTTGTGTCACTTTTAATCATCAGAACGTATTTGTCGGTTCATTTTGTTGCTGGCAAAAATTAATACTGAAGAAAATTTTATGGGGTTAATACTAGTTCTGGAAATCCAGTAGTTTGGATCCTGGCCGTAAGAAAGAAGTATCAGAAACAAATATATAAAACAGGAATAGCCAGTAAGAATTCTAACTGACCAGGGGCAAACCAGTTTGCTATCGTTTTTCACCCAGTCAACCCAGTTAAGGGTTTGAACTGAAGTTTTGAACTTGCGTGGTTAATGGAAAGTACCGTAATAATTTTTCATGTACAAGGCCAGGGGCATAAAGGTCTTTGGATTGTACGTTTTGTTTTCCTTAATATGTAGAACTTGTCCAATTTTTAGTTATCTTGCCCTCAAGCTTGGTTAATAACACTGTACATGCATATCTTGACTTAATATTTTAGCTAACATCAGCGCTGCTCCGTTGGTACGATATAAAATTGCTGAGGACGCAAATTGTTGAGAAGCTGTTGCACAGCTTGTGCTGAGAACAAATTAAAGAGATTGAACTTACAGTTAGCGGCTTGCATAATGTAAGACCCAAACCGTCACGTTAAAGAGCCCAATGGTATTTTTCGAATTGTTTTTTTTTTATCAAAAGGTTGAGTTTGATCGTCCGGCTGAACGTAGTCCTGAATAGGACTGTTGTTGTTGACAGTGACTGACGTTTCGACAACCTGTGCGGTAGTCATCTTCAGAGTCAAAGTGAGTTGTATCACGTCAGTTGATGGTATTATACTCTGGTTATCTGGTTACTCTGGTTACTCTGGTTACATCGCGACATAATTGACCAATCAGATCAATAACCAGAGTATAATACCATCAACTGACGTGATACAACTCACTTTGGCTCTGAAGATGACTACCGCACAGGTTGTCGAAACGTCAGTCACTGTCAACAGTCCTATTCAGGACTACGTTCACCCGGACGATCAAACTCAACCTTTTGAAATGACTCCTGGGTTCAAACCTTTCACAGTTTTTTTTATCCCCGACACATCGCGCATTAATTTTTATTGACGAAGTATATATGACGGAAATCTCAGTAAACGTTTTGCTTGCCCTGTCAAAAAGAGGTTGTACAAAAAAAATATATACAATTAACGTTCTTCTGCAAGAAGCTTTGCATTGTCCATTCGGTGATTGCAAAATCTCTTTATACACGTTCCGCTGGCTTCTATTCCACTGTCACTGCAAACGCTCACGTTTTTTTGTATGAGACTCTTGTAAAATCAACCAACTGGATAAAAATATCTCTAGATATTGTTGCCACTTGCTCTGCTGATCCTCCAAAAGTTTTCCTCTAAAACTAAAAGGCTCCTTCTTCATTCCCGGTGCTTCTTTCCTTTTGTTCCATGCAAAAAAAAGACAATTACAATGAGATAAGTTTCAGAAATAATCTTACGTCCAAACGAACGCAAGGACACTCAACATTGTTTGGCCTAAAGATGCATGGCGCTGTTGGGAGGTGTCTGCGGCTGTCCAAACGGCTCCGAGATTGTTCGCACCCACATTTTTGTTGCAGAGGACTTTGGGAACGGGATCCATCCTTCTAGAGTTAGCAAATTATGTCAAAATTATTTCCTTGGAACTGAAACAGAAAATAACATTTTGCCACGTGCTTTCTGACCTAAACTAAACCACGGCACTTTTGAAGTTTGGTTTAATGTGTGGAAGAAATTTAAAATGGCGCTTGGTCTTTTAAAACGAAATCTTTCACCAGTTTCAAACAAAAAAAAAGACCAAACCAAACAAGAAAAACGACAAAACAAATCGAACCAACATTCACCAAGTGGGTATAGGTGTATAGACCCGAAGCTGATTAGCATACAAGTAAAATTTTAAATAGAAATACAGACACGGTGTTAACTAGAAATACTCTAAAAAAACTAGCATACCAAAAAAATGGCATTCTTCTTGTTCAACGGGCTGCCTTCTTCCTCTGGGTATTCGTTCCCTGTCAGATTGTTCATCGCCATCTTGACGGTTTCCATTTAACTTCGAGCTGGTTAAGTTTCTACTCAATCTTTCTATCACATACAGAAAGAGAATTTGAAGAGCACAGACTACAACAGTGCACACAACGATCAAGATACAGACATCCATGATGGAGTGCATTTTGTTGCGAAACGCGCGTGTTCTGCACTGGGAACTCGTAAATATGCAACTGGTATCTGCATGTGATCGTTTGTTCTTCCTATCAACCCCAGCGGCCCTTTTTTTTTTATAGTTTGGTGGGGGAAGGAAAAGCTTAAGTTAAAGGAAATACTTATCATTGTTAAACTACCGCCAAAATCATGAAAAAAGGAATTCCGTAGAATTTTATGTCGCCAAGTCAGGGGGCTGGTTCTCTCCAAAAATACCTTTTCGTGTATGTCCGGTCTCTGCTATACGAGTTTGCTTGGTAGCCCGGCTTTCCTTATACTTAACACGGTTTATTTCAACACACACAACAAGCGTCAGATAAGTGTGCTCTGGCACTGGTCTTGAACGAGTATTGAAAATATCTCTAGAACGAGATATCCTTGTACAGGGTCCAAATTGGGAGACCTGCGAGACACATCCCACCTCAAACGTACCCTAGTGAATTTCCCCTCCACTCCCCTCCCGGCATAAAATTAAGGCTAGACAACCCTTAATTTATGGACCTTTGTAAGCCTCTTTTGAGGGATTAGTTCTTGTACTACTAGAATAACATTTCCTGATGTTATCACGTTTTTGCTTTGTATAGACATGTTTATCGACCCCTATGACTCTAGTTTGTGTGCCTATTTCAGTTCACGTGATATCACTATTGCGGAGTATGGGTTTCTTTCAGCTTTCACACTATTTTTGGGTGTGTTCGAACGCATAATCTACAAAAAGGCAAAGAAAAATATTACTCAAAACAATAGTGCAGTGACGGTAAAGAAATGTACAAAAAAGCGTGATGCACGTGCAAGGTTGTTGTTTTGCTAATCTATTGCTCTTTTGCCCTCCTCGTTGCCGTCGCCGTCGTCGTATTCCTATGTGACCGGTAGACGACGTTTTATGCGCCGCAGGTTTTAACCCGTTTTTTTTTAAATTCCTCCAAATTAACCCGAGTATGACATCCAATGGTGGCCTGGTAGCCGGCGGGATCGTTAACGCGAGCAATGACGTTTTGTCCGGAGTGCTGCAAAGCTGTGCGGAGAATGGAGAGGAGACGCTTTGAAATTTTCTCGCGCATTTGACGCTGACGCTGACGCTTCACGCGTCAAAACCGAAACTCCCACATGCCAAAAATAAATAAATAAATAAAAAATGATAATAATAATAATAATAATAATAATAATAGTAATAATAATAATAATAATAATAATAATAATAATAATAATAATAATAATAATAATTACTCCGCTACTGATATATTCTCCATTTCATGTTGTTTAGTCTACATCGGTATGCACCAGTTTCCGTGATTCTTGGAAACTAAGAACTTAGTGGTTGGCCTTGAATACTAAAACTTCCGCTTCTGTTTAATAGAAGGGTCGGTGAATTTGACACAGTAAACACGATAGAGACAAAAATGCAGGTTCAAACGCACGGAAGGGAAGGGAAGGGAGGGGGAGATAGTGGGGACTGTTGCCCGCTGTTCAGTCGATTTGCCCCCGATATTTGCATCCATGAACTTACTAAGGGTTTCAGTGATAAGCACACTTTTTTTATTTATTGTTAATTTGGAAAATTTGACTTTGGCCACTCATATCTAGGAGTGAATTAGAAAAGGTTAACATTTGGGAGCACCACGGGGTTAACACAAGTGCTGCATCGTTTACCCAGTATGCAGTTGCTTGTCTTTCAACTTGCTGTTATCGTGACCCACGGTGAATGTAAGCTGAGCTTCACCAGCATTTCCGCCACATGTGACATTACAATCAGAGTATTAAACACAGGTCACCAAACATTAGATTTAGGTGACTGAAAATTACGAATTCAGTCGTAATGAAACATGATTTATGAACACCGTTGTACGCTTATCCGCCGTGTTTACATGATTACACGCCATAAGGTGCATGCAATGAAACTTTGAGGCTTTTTTAGCGGGATAGTGCACTCTTTTTCAGGTCAAGATTAAGGAAGTTCTAAAGTGACAGATACGCTAATCTAACGGGGTATGAAAAATGCATAGAAAAGCGCCCATTATGTTTCAGTCATCACAACAGGAAATTAAAAACGAAGTATAGACTTGCTGACAAGTCGCGAAAACGGCCGATGACCCTACCAAAACGAACTTTTTGAAAGTCCAGATTTCTTTGGATGCCTCCGTTGTTACTGTGCAGCCTCTATTGTTTGAGCTACCAGTTTTTTGCTTTTTAACAGAAGGCTCGCGTACGACAGAGTGAAGAAAAAATGCAAAGAAATTGTTTTGGAGAAGCTAAGGGAATTTTTACAGGATTCATCAACACCAGTTTTTCAAGTGAATTCATTTTCTAGAATCGGAACAAAAATATGGAATGAAATGCCTGTATCTTTAAGAAAACTTTCAAAAAATGCCTTTAAGAGGAAAATAAAACGAACACTTTTTTAGATCCTAGCTTCAGAAGACTGTTATATTGATCTCCCAGAAATCGTTCAAAAAGTTAAACTGAATTTATTTTCCTCTTAGTTGATATGTAATCATTAATATCGTTTAGTTTATCAGTAGTCTCTTGTCATAACTGTTGTCATTTATTACTAGTAATACCATTAGTTTATCAGTAGTCTCTAGTCATTGTTGTCAATTTTAATTTCTTTAGTTCTCTTGTTACTTTTAGCTGTATTAAGTTTATTTTCTGTAAACATGACCCGCCTAGATTAGCTTAGCTACCCACGGGCATGTTATTGTACTCTTACTTCAAAACACAATAAAATAAAATGTATGTATGTATGTATGCATTTGTTTCACTTTTTTCCTTGAATGTAGTAGCGATTTCTGGTTTTCCCGTGACTGGTAATCGAGCCCACTGTTCGTGGTACGCTACAACGAAAACGTACTGTATATAAACCCAGCTATTTTGAACGGTTGGCGTATTCTTATTAGGTCATGATCAATGCGAGGGGTTGCACATATCCCAGGCCTCGTAGAGGAGGTCTTATTTATAAAAAGAAGAAGTAATAATCCCCACACGATGATTAATTGTCATTTACTTGATGACTATAACTGCCGATACTGATTAGGTTCCAACCAAGTTTTCACATTCTTATATTTGTTATAGATTACTCACCTGTTCTCAGGCCCTTTGGAGGGCTGCCGCAGCAACTTGGTACATGAAAATGGCAAAGGATTACGAGTGTTGCTTCTTACTCTTGTTGGATTGAAGGTAGGCCTAATGCTCGTCATCAGTCCAGGAGTTGAAATGTTCGTGAATATGGCTGGCTGCCCATTCTTCAGGTGTGGGGAAAATATTAAGGCCGGAAAAATGCGCGGAAAATCGCCTGCAAGGAAAGTCAGTGTGCCGTGTGCCTCATAACTCAACGTACACACTCTAAAACGAGGCGAACATCCCAGGCTTAGTAGCATTAATCGCACATTACGAGAATAAACCAGAAACACTGCATGGTAGTTCAGTAAACTTATTAAATAATGGCTTCGTCTTGCAAACTGTGAAAAAAGAAATACTAATAATTCAAATCACTGCTAATAAATTCGCTGTCTTGAATCCCGATAGCTTGAGAATTATCTCGTGGTGGCATGGAGTTAAGATTGAAAATGACAAACATCAGTTAACTACTTCTATGAATGAAGAAAAAGTTTTATGAAAGAGCATATCGAGACCAACAAAACCTAAGCGCAACTTGTGTTAACTGCGTAAAACAATATTTACGAACCAGATTTTGAAAAAAGCAAAATCACATTGAGAATGAGAAAATTAACCATCCATAAAGAATTATTTAAAACAGGCCAAACATGGTTTGTCAAAAGTTGTACAGTTGTAAAATAACTTACAGTTCCACAACTTGGACTGGGATTTAGAGTCAAGTGGAGAAGTGATAATTAAGTTACTTACCTTTGCAAAACATTTATTTAATCTCTCGACCCATGTCAGGGAATCCAACACAGTCCTGGATTCTGGATTCTGGATTTTGGATCCCACGCCGTGGATTCTAGTCCAGGTATTGGATTCTGGATGTTTTGTCAGTGGAACTGGGATTCCGGATTCCAATCGTTAGTTGGATCCCCGGATTCCTTGAGCCGTATTCCAAATTCCAAAGCCAAGGATTCCAAATTTCACAGCAAAACTTTGCAAGATTCAGGATTCCAAAAGGGAAAATTTCGCGGATTCCGGAATCCGCATTCCCTTAAATGTGGCGAAACCTCCATTCCCCCCCCCCGCCCCCTCCCACAAAGTAAAAACAGATCATTATCCGTTTCTAGGAAACTGCCCACCTACCCTTTTGCCCTAAGTGAGAAGTAAGTGCTAATGTTGGCTTAGGGGAGGGGTAGGTGGGCAGTTTCCCAGCAACGTATAATGATCTGGGGTCTTCTGAGAGAGGTTATTTTGGTTTTCGTTCACACTTCGTATAATTTATTTGATTTGCCTCTTATAATCATATTTCCCTAACTACAAAGTGCTTGTTTTGTTTGAATGAAGTTAATGAATTTATGCTATATGTAAACAAGGACGAAAGATTTGTCGTTGTTAAGTAAACGAACAAGCTAGCAAGCTTCTTTTTGTTTTTCCGAATTGACATGTTTGGAACAAAAATATTGTAAGTAATCTCTATCTGAGATTCAGAAACCTATAGAAGAGATATGATTAAATAACTAACGAAGCAAGAATTTAATTGCTAGTTGAGCCTAAACTGTGTCTAGTGAGTATTGCAGAAATAAAGACTAAATTCCCATCAGAATTGTAAAGTATGCTTAATGTGTATAATAAGCTTTAGCAACTAATTACTTTAATTAATTAAAACCGGGCACCTGTTTATATCTGAGCGCAATGAAGACAATAGTCGTAGAGTGCACTTCTATAATTTGTGTGATAAGCTTATGCCGACAAATTAGTCTAATCGTCCGAAATCTTGAGCTTGGCGCAGGATTTCTCAGTTGGACGAGCAATAATAACAGCACCGTTCTAAAAGGAAAAAATGTCGAGATATCCGCATCGGATTTTAGCGGAAAAACATAAGAGGGTACAAACGCAAAACAGCATAGAGGATAAATTTCTGAAACAGAAATTGGAGTCTTTCTCGAGAGAAAAGCTTTATATTGACAGAGAACTACGACGGATTTCCTTGGCTAGAACAAGTTTGTTGGAGAGCCTTGATAGGTTTAACACAATTCCTAAATCAACACATAAGCGCTTGAGTCTACCTTGCTTAATTGACGGACAGGGAAAAGAAGCTAATCCAAGACCGATAAGTTCATTAAGGAGACATACTATTCCTTCATTCCTGGAAGGCGTGCGCGCTGTAGCAGAGTGTAAGCAATCTCTAAAGCCACGGGGAAGAGAAGATACTTCACTTCAAAGTCGTAAAGGATCCAAGCCTACATTGAGCGCAAACGGTCAAAAAGCAAATTTCGTGCAAGGACTTACTCTTAAAAGTCAACATAAAGATCATGGTACTCGTGGCGCAAGTCCAAACAAAATCTCCTTTACAGGACAACCGTATGAAAACAAGTTAAATCAAGAAAAAAAGCGAATTTCACGACAGGCCAGTGAGGAAGAGGAAAAGACGAGGGACCGGCTACAACTTCCTGTATTAGCTGACAGTCCCGCTAAACCCCAGCTAATTACTCCAAAGATGGGTTCAGTAAGACAGCAACACCCGAGGGACGGGATGCTTGCTACAAATCTGAAAAGCAAGTTCCGTCAGATAGGATCCGTTGTTATGGCCACCGCTATTTTACGGCTTGCAAATGAAAAGAAAGCAAAAAAAAACAAATTGAGAGAGAGCAAAAACTCGTACGGGGTTTCTGTTGAAAGATGAAAGTGGAAATTGAGACTGGATAACTGTAGGGTTTTTTAGGAATAAAAAAGAAAACGAAGAAGGAAAAATTCGATTTTTGACTTGGTTTTACAGTTTTACCCAGTTTTACACAAAATCAACTTCATCATATCAAGGAGATTTGTGCAGGAACGTGTCCTGTTTAATATTCATTTACAAAAGAGTGAATCAAAGCAAAATATAGGGTGTCAATATTTGCGATTCGGCTCACATCTTTCGGAGCTCGGCTCTGACAGATCGACATGTGTACGCACAAAGCTAACAGTACTTCAAAAAGATATTACCAGTAGGCCGTTCCCGCAATCCTGTGACGAAAGAGAGTTTAAGCTTCACGTATACGGTAAACGGTAAACGTCAGATTCAAGTTGAGAATCTCAAAATAGAAAATAAGCAGATAAAAACTGCTCAAAACAATTCTTATGGATAAAAAATTGCGTGAAACTACTAATTATGTGTAGAAATAATGAACAGTAGACGACAAGTAAATGAGAAACTTGGTCACGTGGTACAGATTCGCTTTTGCCGTTTGACGTAAACGTGAAGGTTAACGTCTCTAAAGACACCGACGCATCACAGGCTTAGGATGACAAAATACCATTGATTAGTAATAAAAAAATATCCTCCCAAGCCTGCACTTCTATCTTGTAATTGTGTTTGCCCACTGGAGTGGACTGCAGAGGTTTTCTAAAAGGTGGATAGCGCTATCTGACAGCAGGATAAATTAGGGTTTTCGTATAATACAGTTGAGCTTCTACACAACGGTCACCTTGGCCATTGTGAGAGATGGCCGTTGTAGAGAGGTTTCAAAAAAAGTCAATGTATAGACTGTCCGCCAAAAAAGTGGCCGTTAGTGGAGCTAGGCTCGACTTCACTTTCCCATTGGATAGTGGTGGATAGCGCTATCCCAACTTTTGAACGGAGGTCTCTCATGTTAATTGAAAAGGTTCCTCTTCTATTAAGGTTCAAGCTTCGAACTATGGAACAAATTTCTCAATTTGAAGCTGGAATTTCTTTCAGAGTGCACTGCGCTAGGAACACCTGAAGGAACACAGGCTACAAGAATCGGTGTCTTTCTAAAAGAGGGTCAAAGAAAATGGCTGTGAAAAACAACAGCGACTAACTCTTGAGTGTCCGCTTTAGGGAGGTTCAAAAAGAAACAGAACTAAGATTAATAGATCATGCTTTGTGAATTTACAAGAGTTATGTTAATTAACAGGCCGCGTGAGGCCATGTACTTATGCTCCAGACAAAAAACAAATGAACAATTCAAACAATGCGTAGTTTACTGTTTAGTTTTAATTTGTACAATATACACAACAATACAAAACGTGTCTATGTGAGGCTTATAGCAAAATTTCCCGTGCAGATTTAATAGCTAATGGAGGGTGTAGTAAAATGGATCGATATGTACACACGGCTTGCAAACAAAGCACTAAAATCTTGGCATTCCACAAGAAACGACTCAAACTACTATTTACAATATACATTTGTCGCATGAATATGTACAAGTATGGAATACATGCTTGCCCCGCAATTTCCTTTACATGCAAGTAATCTCCATCGGTGAAATGACTCTGCTTTCAATTACTGCAACAGAGAAAGAAAATTGTTACTGCCTTTAAAAACTCCAACTTCAAACTATTCTAACGGGCTGGAGGGAGGAAGATCCTGGAAGGCGGATCACCCTAGCGCTATATGGTTTCTATATTCAGTTTACATGCAAAAGGTTGTACTTGTCCCTAGCGCTAGGATCTTCCTAGGTGACAAGTAGGAAGATCCTAGTACCAGGGACACACCAGACAGAGATGGCGGCGGGTCGTTCGGTCGTTCAGTGGGTAATCTTCGCTTGTAACCATACGGACCGAAATTTTTGCATGTAAACCCAATGAAAAGATGTTCCGCATTCTAGGATCTTTCACCCTCCATGTAAACAGCCCCTAACACAAAGAAAAGTGGGGGCATTTGTTTTATTCACGTGCGCATGCACCAAACCACAGCATTCACTTGCGGGTTAACTCGCGGGAGTCTTACATCACGCCCACTGCTCACGTGAAAACCTATTTCACTTTATGATGAGAGGGATCGAAGACCAAAACTTCAATGCTGAGGTACCTACCGTTACAACAAGCGCCTTTTTGTCCTCGTCGCTTACTGTCATGTCCATGAATGCTCTGGTTATTTCAAGTGGCGTGCTTTCGATCTCTACGCGTCTACCACAGAAGGTCTAAACACAAGCATAAAATTATATTTTTTAGGAGTTGCTTTGCTTTATGACTTGATACCCTCTACTGTGGTCTTATCGTTACAATTCGTTTTTGTGCTACCGACTTCTAAGTTTGGGAAGGTGTCCTTCCGTTATGTTGCAGAGTCTTTTAAGTCTGTGAACGAAACCCTCACGTGTGACCATTCAAAAGAAAACTATTGAACACTAGTTTTCTGGGTTCTGGGGTGCTGTTTCAGTATTATGCTGTTCAACGAGGTTCTAACTTTTGAGTCTGTGAATGAAATCCTGAAATGTACCTATTCAAATGAAACTGAGCTGGTGAGCAGTATGATCATGTGGTGCACTTTTCTGCTGTACAAGGCAGTATTTCAGCTATTTAGTATGTAGACAAACTGATACCGAACAGAGTTTTACAATACTTTGGCATCACGGAAAAATACGGACGCTGCTAAGTGGGTAGCTGTTAAACGAATTGAGCTGAAAAAAAAGAACTTTTAACGGAGAGCTGAGATTTGAGAGACAGAGTAGCAAGAACTTAACGTTCGATAAAAAAAAATTGTCAACTATTGAACTTTTTCCAGTAACGTTTTTCCTTTGCGATTACTTACAGTCGTGTTAAGGTCTTCTTGTAATGTGTCATGCGTAATTTCTCTGAAAATTAAAGAAAACGAAAAATCATTAGACATGCCAAAAAGGCAAGTTTATTTAAGCCTTCGACTCTTCTGTGAATCTTTACCAAACAGCTGAAATAGTTTTTTTCAGGGACAGAAATTTCGACGCAGAAATTTTAAGTGTTCAAGACAAAATATACTCCCAAAAAGTAAGCGATGCGTGTAATTTCATTTACAGGCAGAGTAGGACTCTGGACCTTCTCTTTGCCGCTTCGCCTCCAGAGACTCTCTTTTTTCCTGAGAACTGCGTCTCTGCCAGGCCACACTCCTTGCTTTTACCCGTCGCGCATGGTATCATGGGTATTATTGCATGCATTGTTTTTCATCTTCCCATGACACCCTACGTTCTTTGTCCACTGCAAGAGAGTAGAGCCTGGGGACGACACAGTTATTTCCGTCACTTCCCGGCAGGATTAGCTCAGTCGGTAGAGCGCTTGACTGCAGAGCGGGTTCGATTCCCGGACCTATACCCAGGGCCTTGAAATAACTGAGAAATGAAGGTACTCCTTTACAGTGCAAGCGGCTAGACCTTCGCGTGGCTCGGATGACCAAGTAAACTGGCGGTCCAGTCTCTAGTTGGAGACGTAAAAAGTGTCCCCAATAAGTACTTTCGTGCTAAATACATTGACGCTCAAATAAAATGCATTTTTTTCTCACAGTGTTGTTCGAACCCAAATCGATAGATCTCTACAAGTTGTTTCCAACAGAACATCAGTGACACAAACAGTCAAATAGCGGAAAACTTACTTGGAATGATCACTATGATCGAGCCTGGACGCTTCTATGGCGCTCAGCTGTTTTCTCTTCGCAGCCTACGGACAGTTTACAAAACAAGCATTGTGATTATTGTAAGTGTTCCAAAAAAGGAAATACCTCACTCGACTACCCTAATCTGCCGCTAATAAACCCTGATCTTGAGGGCTGATAAACGGAGGGCCTTATATCCGCGGGGGCTTACAAACAGGAGAGGAAAAGCGCTTCGAAACAAGAAATAGCAGTGCTGATCGAAAAATGTTTTGTAGTTACTGGTTTATATTTATGCTTCAAAACTTCATAATATATCGAATTCATTTCAATTACAAGCTAGAGGGGGCTTATATCGAGGGCGGGTGCAGGGGGGCTTATAATCGGAAGTATTTATTTGTTTACGGATAGATGGGGCTATAACCGGGAGGAGAGGTAAGTGCGGGGGTTGGCTTGCTTTATACTGTCAGTATTGAACCTAAGCAGTAAAGGAAACAATCAATCCGATAACAAGACTTCTCAAACAATCACCCACCCTGAGAACTGTGTAGTCAGACGTTCGATTGACATAATCGGAGAAATCGTTGAGCGCTTTTTCTTCCTGGCGGTGGTTCTCTTTTATCTGAAAATAAAATTATCACTATATTTAACAGGAGGGCAGATGAGATCAGAATCAACTGAAAGCAAAGAGGAATGCAGTAAAAAAATTAACCGAGAACACATGCGGAAAGAATTACATTAGGCTTGGATAAATTCTAACGGCAGTGTTTCGAGCAGAATAGGCGATTTTAACACTTACCGAATCATAATATTCCTCTTCTTCAATAAGGTCCTGATTTCGCTGCGCTTGTAACAGCTGATCCTGAACAACGTAAAACAAACACATTTACAAAGTGTACCCAGAAGCCACTTACGAGTTTCTGTTATAACTCAGCAAAAACTGAGCTGGTCGCACTACGCTCACAAAATCTGAAAGTGGGGAGCAAGGATTACGCAGTGGTGAAATCTCTCGCCTCCCACCAACGTGGCCCGGATTCAAGAAAGAAAACCCAAACCACGTGATTCGTGATTTGCTCACAAGCATTCCCGCGCTCGGAACCTACAGCATGTTTTCCCGGATTGGTTGGGTGTCTGGGTCCTTTGCTCTCATTGGCCAAAGGTAACCTCATTGTTTGTGGTCTCACAACATACACACAGTCGTTGGTAAACGAATCCTGCGGGTGACTATATGAACACCTTTCAGTAGTTCTTTCTTTTGATACTATCTGACTTCAGTGTGACGCTTGCTAGAAGCTAGTCAAAAATTCTGTGTGAAATTTAAGAAATGCCATAACAACTGTTTCATAACAATTACCTAATGCTAAGAAACAATAATATGAACATATCGTAACTACGGGCCAGGGCTTTATGAATCTTGTCCTAGCATCGTATCCACAGTTAGCCCGAGTCTCTCCTCCCTCCCCTTTAGTTTTTGCCATTTACATCTCCAGTCTCCCCTCCCTGAAGATAACTAACCTGAGTGGCTGACACTCCAGCAGCTCTATCGTTGAGTATTTTAGTGATCTCGTTCATGGAGTCGGCGTCTGGAGAAACAGGTCTGATGTTCTCTAGCTCCAGTTCCATTTTAATCTCCTTCCATACTTCTAACATCTAGACACAATACAATCGAAAATTATTTGGTTATTTTTCATTGGACTATAGCCTGCCTAGCTGACTCTCTTGTTAAGGAAGGTAAGCGCGAATAATCGGCGAGGTTGTTTGACCGCTCCCGCGGACTGTTTCGCAGCTACTTTCCTCGCTGTTTTCTCGCGCGTTCGCGCGCACGCTCCCAACAAAACCGCCAACAAAAAGTTTTCAAAAGTTCTTCTTATTTGTTTGTAACGGTTGAAAAAATGCTCGCGAGACATGTTTGTTTGACACAGGCTGTGATTTTGCCATTCACTAGTAGTTTCTCTGTTTTTATAGCAACTGAATAGGGACGAGTACTTGGCATTATTAACAAATAAACTAGACAGTCGTGACTGCAAAGTCCCTTTAAGGTGATATTACACGGGACGATTTGCGACGACGATTTTTAGTGCAATACAACGTTGCAACAATGTTGTGACACTGCGTTAGTTACAACATTGATCCAACATTGCTACGCCGTGTTGCGCTAAACATCGTCGTTGCGAATCGTCAATCGTTCTGTGTAACATTATCTTTAAGGTACTCAATTGAGCAATTCTGTTTTCACCTTAAAATCGAGGTATTTCTCAATCACGGCAACGGTCACATAATCCACGGTTGATAAACCAGGAATCGCATTAAAACCTGAAAAAAAGAAAAGAAAAGAAAACGTGAGATAAAGCAAGACAAGCAGGTTTGGAAAATAAATTCTAGTCTCAAAAGGTCTCAGATTTTTTTTAGTACGGTAGCTATGAGCTTTCGACTGTATCGCACAGTCTTCACCAGCAATAAACGCTCATTGTTGTCGCGTGAATTAGTCACGTAACAACGAATGATTAAGAATCGCGGGAAGTTCATAACCAGGGTTGGACGCAGGGGTCTAAAATGGATGGCCTCCTTGATTTTCCTGTTATTTCGAACTGGTTGCTGGTTTATAAGTGTTGTCTCTTACTGTAGTGATAGTAAATAACGTTTTTGATTAAACTGTTACCTACCCAGTTTACAAAACATGGAGTAGATTTTGGCTCTCATGTTTTCAGACACATCCACGATGGCCTGACTTGGCCGGTCAGCGGGTAGCGGGATGACACCTTGGCGTTCCTGTACTGTTCCCATGAGAGGCCGCTGTAGGTCTGCAATGCATGCAAAAATTGGTTTTCATATTCACTATGGTGTTACCTCTACTAACGACAATCTCTTTACAACGGCCACTTTTCTGGCTACGGCCATTACATTCCCTCTTGTTTTAAACTCTTAAAACCGGTATTTCTCCACAACGGCCACTTTAGTCTTCCCTGAGGTGGCGGTAAGTTTGACTGTGGGGTAGGTAGGTACTAGCTAGGTAAAAATTCAAATCAGACGAGAAACACGCTAGCCCCAACAACAATCGGCTGGTTTTCATGGAGGGCGCGTTTACATTTAAAAGCCGTATATTACAGTATTAAACTACAATAACGTCTAATACTATGTTATAGAAAGAAGGATAAACCTGAATTAATTGACTTCTATAAAATATACAGCTTAGCTAGACCCAATTACATTCTAATAAACTTCTTGAATGATGGGAGTGACTCGGCGAGTTTTGCTTCATTCGAGAGTTGGTCCCAAAGCATAGCACCGCTAAATTCAAAACTTCTTTTTAGAAACTCTCTCTCCGGTTTAGAAAGTGTCAGATCAGTAGCCCTGTTAACTTGCCTGTGAATAAATCCCTCTCTCCTCGCTTCTCGCTCCTCGACGCGCTAAAACTCCCTTGATGCGAGGAGCGAGGAATGTGCAGCGAGGAGAGAGACGGCTGTATTCGCAGGCTAGATAATCACTCAACTGAAGTTAAGACAAGTTCATCAAAATAACAAATAGTATTTACCGGCCATTTTTCCAGTTTTGTCTCTCGTTACGCCCATGTTAGACTCCTCGTTTTTCCATAATTCCACCAACAGTTTTCCAGCTGAAATCTGCTTCTTCCCTCTCCACGACTGCACATGCGCGAGGGCCTGGAAAAATTCAAAGAACGTAGGTATGCTCTTTAAAACAGGTCCTGAACGGAATATAATTACCAGTCCACAAAAAAGATACTTTTTTGGCACAAAAGAACAAAACCTCAGGATAATTGAAAACGCGAGATTAAATTTACTTTTCGTTCCAACTTTACATGATGGTTACTTTAACAAGGAGATTCCTACAGTTGCGCAATTTCAAGTCGCACATTAAGACCGTTGGTATAATTCAAGATTTGTGTTTCCTTAATTTGGAAGTAAAGCCGTGTAAAGATTTTTAAAGCTTTTAACCACTAAGAAAAAAAGGACCTTGTAACAGCTTTAACGTCTTTCGATCAATCATTCAATTGGCCAAACTAAGGAGTTAATTCAGTTACCTTAACATTTTCACATAGATCTACCAGGCAGCCTAACACCAAGTTTTGCATTGTGAGAGGACAGATCTGTAAACAAAGATATATACTAAATGAATCTTGATTTAAATTTTAAAACGTCTTTAATAAACGGATTAAAAACCTGTACATAACTTCAGCTTTCAGAACACTTCCCTATTGCGGATGGCCTGTGATTATTTTTGACAAAAGTCTCAGAAAATGAAAATTACATGTTGCATGTTGCATGTTGCATTGCAAACATCGCATTTTTGTTCCAATCGGCGTGTTGGCAAAGTGATTTTTCACAGAGTGGCTGTGGAATCAGTAATTATTGTGCATGTATTTAGTTACAAAGCTATCGCAATTTTAAAGGTGATGGTACACGGAGCGATATGCAACGACGATTTTTAGCGCAACAAAGCATTACAACATTGTTGAGATATTGTCTCAGATGGTCGCAACATTGTTCCCACATTGCGAATTCTTGTTGCGCTAAAAATCGTCGTTGCGAATCGTCCCGTGTAACAAACACGCAATCTCAGAGACAGACGTTTTCATCTTCATCTACATTCATAACTTGCAAGATCCTAAATAAGGACATTTTACAAGTGTTTTAAACGCGCGCGAGGAATTTTAGCGTGAGATTAATGACAGGCTTTTAAACCATGCTTTTCTGTCGTCAAAAGTTGGAAAACGTTCACGAAGCACCTGGCTAGTCTTATGACAACAAACAAACTTTCTCAATAATGACCTCCAATAAATCCATAAGATGGAATATTCCATCGTTCTCAAGGAAGAGCTGTTCGGTCAAATAGCATCCCAGTAACGCAGACCTGAAGGAAAACAATAGTTACGATATATAAGAACACAAGGAGTAAACCAGCTGTAGGCGAATCTCAATGATCATGTTGCACAGGTTCGAAATTTTTCAAGCCATTTTAGTTTTTATTTTCCTGTCTCACATCTAATGCCATAATCTGGGAGAAAGAAAAAGAGGAATTAAACTTGTTTAACAAGTTTTCAACGAAAGAAAAATTCGAACCACAAAAATCATGTTAGAAACGGTGCTTCCTTCTTGAAGGTATAAAGTGACGCTGATGCATGAAACATGCTGAAGATGACGAGGCAATATCGAGTGGCTTTTAAAATCAAATAATGGCTTGGAAAGGGTTGTCCACGAAGTCGTTCGTTAACTACGATTAGAAAGTTTTAAAGATTAGGTCAAATGCTATCATGAAAAGTTTGTTTTCTTCCGTATAAGTAAATGGGTTGTCTTTGACTGTATGAGCTGTAAGAGTTTTTTAAAATAAACATGGCTTATGGATGAAAAAATATTCAGACAAACTAAAAACTATCAGTATAATACTTTCAGCTTCTCACCAGACGCAGTCCACCGCAGAGAGAAGAAGCTGATGATGTCCTAAGGGACTGTTAATCTTGTCAGGATCTCTCTTTAGATACTCAACTAACACCTGAACTCCTTGAGAACCAAACAGCTCCTGTAACAATAGTTAGTGTAAGATCGTAAGGGTACTTCAAACTCGTTATCTTTTATTGAATGAAAACATCTAACGGTTTGACTAGTTGAAAAAAAAAGACGAAAACAAAAGATTTAAATAATTAAGTTTCACAAAAGTATAACAAACGGTAAGAAGACTCGAAAGATAGAGGAAAGCTCAGCTAAGAAAACTTACAAACATTCCCCGTGGTAGAAAAGCAGGATAATCGCAAAATACAGTAATTTGAAATCCGCCGAAGAACAAACGTGCACTCACTCTTGATTCGCTGACTGGACTAAACTGTCAGCCCCAAATTTATGCTGCTAGCTAGTAATGCATGCCTTGAAAAACAGATATACTCCCTAAGGTGTAACGAATAAATGAATAACGGAACTGATCTACCTTCCATACTGTGCACATGCAAGAGAAATGATGTGCACGGCAACATGATTCCGGGGTACTAAACGAAGTTTTATACGAGTAGGGTCCGCCCCAAGTCCAGCCCTTTACCCGTTAATGTACCATTCTTGACAGAACTTGACTCTTTTGGGTGTTTTTACAGACCGAAATGAGAGATTTCCTTGCTCTTGGGGTACCCCCATCGCGCGGGGCCTCTGAACAGGCGATTATAGGAAGTAGCCCCCTTCCCCTCGGAACATGATAGAGAAAAGTCAACGGGGTAAGACATATGAAAGGGCTGTACCCAGAGAGGTGTTCAGTTAGAACTACAAAAAAATGAAATGAAGCCAATCAATATATGATACAATTGCTAGCTGGCATTGGGTAGGTAGGTCTTTAAAGCGTGGGCTTTACCAAGTCGTATGAGGAGTTGCACTAACAGTAGGCGGATTTAGCAAAGACAAAAGAGACGTAAGTGACAATGGCGCCCGCAGATCTGGAAACTGAATTAACCAATAACAAAGTGGAAAATTAAGCGCCGGAAGTTGAGTTCAGTCCTTTCCGCACATGTATTTACAACAACTTTATCTATTACTGCAAGCTTCCTCTTACCTTTCTGTGCGTGTCTACTTCACACAGGGAAGACACAATAAACAGCATATCACACTGCAGTTCAACATCAATGCTATCATTCTCATCAGGGCTCGTGCTGGCGTTTAGAAGAATCCCTACACAGATAGACAAACACGGATTTGTTAAGACATTACGCTTCGCAAGCGCAAAAAGTGCATGTTTATAAAAAAGTTCCCTGACATCCAAACAATTTTCACCGACCTTGATTTGACGTTCAGTTTTCATCAGATTCTTTTCCAGACCGTCAACACTCATGTCTTCATTTTCAATCGCTTAAATTATATAGGTTGGACTATTCACTTTTCAGGACTTTCAATTGTTGTTGCTTTGTTGTTTGTTTGTTTGTTTTTTCTTTGGGCTTCACGAATCTAAAATATGGCGACATGAACAAAAGATTTCCTGACTTTTTAATGACTCTGCCCACGACTAAGATTTCCCGTTACGTTTTCAAAATTCCTTGATTATGAAAAAGAATGGGATTCCCCCTGACTTTTCACTATGATCATGGAAAGTGTGCACCAATCCATTGGTGTCGAGGATGGCGACTGACATCAACAAATGACGTACTGTGATACAACGGACTCAAAAGACAGTATCAATATCTAAACCACAATACAATACAACACAACAACAGGTTTTGTAACCCAGAGAATTCCGTCCCCCTTTTCGGAAAGGGGAGTTTCCCCGATTCATTTCACAAAGTGCTATGATGCCCAAGTTATCTTGTAAGCTATTAAATATCTTACCTGAGTAAAACAGAAACTTACCAACAAGTTGACCGATTGCTCCCTGATCAACAAGGTCCTGATTCAAGGCATCATCACCCACAGATACCATGCTTCTAATGAGCCGCAGACAAAACCGCATCTGAGAACGCTTGTTGCCTCGACCACCGCTACCATGAAAACTGTTGCCATGGCCACCATAGTCAGCTACGAGTAAGGGAAAAACGAAAAATTATAAAGGAATTATGCGTCTACGACTACACTAGCTTAACAGAAGTCTCCTACTCAGACATTTAAAGGGATTTTCACTAATATCTTGATCCCAGTTAAAGTATGATGATGTTAAGTAAATTAGTCTTCAGGTCTATGGGTGAAGTTCGTTAAAAGACCGTATTTTTTTTCAAATGAAACGAGCGTAGTATTCCCCATTCCAGAAACTATAAGGGGGATGGGTACAAGTTCTAGGCACAACGATTTCTGAGGTCGTTTTGGTGGACAAGCGTTACTCATGATTGGTTAATGGTTGCCTTGAATACCATGGACCAGTCATAACTAACGCTTGTCCATCGATACTATCCCAGAAATCGCCGCACCCAGAGCTTGTCTCCTCTCGCTCTAGAGTTTTTTGATGTGGGGAATATCTCTGTGCTAAGTCATGAGTACATTCTTTGGTTGATACTGGTGAAGTATAATCTGTGGTGTTTACCAGGCAAATATTACAACTGGAGAATAATGGTGCTCAGTTTACCTTGTCCAACACACCACTCTAAAAGCATCAGTAACCTTGTGTTACTCTGACAAGTCATGTAATCATCCAAACAAAGTGGAGCCACAGCACTGAGTGTATCAAGAGCCTGAAGACAAACATCAGCCATGGTAGTAAAAACTACACCAAACCGGAAATTTTGGCCTTTATTTAATGACTTTAACACCAGGCCATTGCTTTCGTCAATCACATCATATTAGCCAAATAAATAACCAGAGGACGACGAAACTACATGTAGTTAGCGCCAAACGCAGGAAAAACGAAGGGGTACAAGTGAAAGATTGTGCTGCCTTGTTCGCCGTTCTGTTTACCCTTTCACTTTATTACATCCAAATAAGCCAATCAGAACACGGCCAAAGTACACGTAGTCAGCGTCAAGGGTGGGAAAATCAGTGCGTTCATGTGAAATATTGACTTGGTTTTGGAGGCGTTTTAATCGGTCTAGCGAGATATTTTTGGCAAATACAACAAGCGTTCACCAATTGTCAAAATGTCGCTGATAACTCCACTGAGGAGCTCTTTCCGGTTACAAGCTTTTCAATAAAAGTTGACAATCCTTTCCATTTTTAACCGAAAGCAGCGGGAGATTTCTAAACTAATTTATAGCCAAGCTAGGTTCTCCTAAAAATCTGTTACTTTTCAAACTGAGCATAATTTATATGTCAGGTCCAAGAGAGGATAAACGGGACAGAGAAGGCATCCCCCATACACACCCTATTCCATAGGTAATTCAACTCGAGTTATTTTTAAGACCACAGATCCCAAGGGGGATTAGACAACAGCCAATCACATAGCGCCAATGTGTCCCGCGTCGATGACCCACGCTCATAGCCACGCATCCTTCACGAATTGACGCAGAACAAAATGGCGGAAGACGCGGAAAGCGATATTGCTATTAGTTTTGTCGACGAAAACGACTACAGAGAGATTTCTGCTAAAGCTGTGTCAGCGAAACGGAAATTAAAAAAGAATCGCCCTTCCTCTCTTGTGAGCTAACAGTGTAGCAGGGAAATCCTTAACATACTGAATATTCTCTCAGGATCATTTATAATTTACAGTTTGAAGAGAGCAATTAGTCTTTTTTTATTCAACAAAAATAACACTTGGCGTCCTACTTGCTTTATTGTACAAACGACCGGTTTCAATAGACCGGCGAAATTTCTCTTTTTATTAAAGCGCTGAGGTTACGACAACTTCGAGTTAAACTGATTTCACGGGTTGTCAAAGAGTCTAGCGATTCCCTTTTCCCAGCTGAGCGCCGACTCATTTCGCGTCAATATTCAGAAATGCTCTCGATCTCTTTACGCTTTCATTGCCTTTCGCCCGACATGTTTTGCACGGCGTTTAGTCACGCGAAACCTCCACGAAACATCCACGCAACGCGCGAGGTAACTTTATCCCGATTCTAAAAATAACTCGCGACGAATTACCTATGAAATAGGGTGTGTATGGGGGATGCCTTCTCTGTCCCCTTTATCATCTCTTGGTCAGGTCTTATTCCGCTGTAAGTGAGAATTTAACCTTGCCACTATTAAAACCGTTCTCGTCCGTTCCGAGTGTTTCTTCTTGTAAATGGTGAAGAATAAATGTGTAACAATACAAAACCGCACAATCTCGAAACTATTCTTGAGCCTTTTTAAAACGCAATATTTACAAAAGTTTATTGTAATATCTGGGTGTAAGGAAATGTTTACCTGCAGCTGCAGTTCTTCAAACTGTGCGGGAGACCATTCGACCGCTGAAGAACTATCGTTTGCTCTCACAAACGAGAACAGTGAAAGAATGACTCTGTTCTCTGAAAAAATCTATAAAAATGAAAGAAAAAAAAGGAGCTGATAATTTTGCATTCTGTGCTCGCATAAATGGTATTTGAGAAAGTGACTCATGTATAAGACGCATCTCATTTTCCCTTCGTATATAAGTGGCCCTAAAATGTACGCATAAACGGAACCAGCCATGACGCTTTCATGCTTTAGATACAAGGCTAGGATCAATGCCTCAGTAACTAACTCGTCTGTTTGCGGAGTCACAAAAAAGGGTCATGAAAAACGAAACACTGTAGAGTTTCATATCGTGTTATCGTCCATGCATCAAGTGAAGCTGATGTACCTGAAAGCTAGCTGAATCTGAGCTCAATAACACTAAAGCGTTCATCAGTAGTTTCTTGAATTCAAAATCCTCATGACTCTACCAGAAAGAAAAAAAAAACACCATACATGTACTTAGATATTTATGACTGCAAATCCCCAGTTAATTTAAATTCCAACAGCCTGGTGTGTTCATGATTAGCAGAAAACTTAACACAACCATCTTCAATAACAGGCAGCTGTTCAAGGGAATATGTGTTACTACAAAAAGTTCAGAAAGACTGAATGCCAATATTCTAGCACTCCTGACTAAAGACGAGGTAATAATGTCGGTTTGATTTAGGGGACTGTAAATACCGCACTGATGGATAATTTTTTCGTACATCAGAAACCAGGAATAACCTCTCAGAAAATGGTCTATCGCTTCAAAAATTGTTTTTTCCTACATTGACTAATATGGAAACTCCATAGTACCACAATGCCTTGAATAACAAACCATACTCTATATATAAGCGTCTTCCCCAAACAAATGGTTAGTGCCCCCACGTTTTGAATAGGCGCCCTCTTATCTCCCTTCGCTTTCTCAGATACAAATTAAACTTTTACTACACCACCATTAATTCTTTGTTAATAGTCCACGATCTCTTTCTTCCGCTACCACATTTCCTGCCAAATTAACGTTTCTGATAGCCCCGACAACGCCCTGAATTAAATAAGCACTCCTATTCTGACTGAAGTTTGAAATAAACATTTTATATTACAAGCGGTGCAGTATTTTCAGAGATACAGTGAACTAAGAGAAACGAAAAATAATCAGATTCAGTCAATTTCATCACCTGGTCTAGTTTCAGACTTCTAACCAGTTCATGATGGCTTTTAACTGGAAGAAACAGACAAGTATAAAAACAAAGATTTATAAAATGCATCAAAAACATCCTGTGTCAAGATTTTCCTTCCAGACAAACTGGATGAAGAACAAAAAACTGAAAAAGTGGTTTGTCAAGACGCTTGAGACAATTTTCCTTTCGGCTACATTCATTTTGATGACATCACTGAAATCTCGGCCAGTTCTTTCAAAAGTAAAGGAATGTACTTACAAGTCATTTACACCTTTAAACTAAGTATGCTGTCAAATCTGTAAAATTTATATTAGTGTTATCTAAGAAGAACTTTCTTGCAGCACTTTTGATTAAGCTTTAAGAGAAGATTTTTTTCTCCTGTGAATGAAGTCACTCATAATGTGCACGTGCCCGGTTTCTACAGTGGGTATGTAGGGTATTTGAGAGGTAAAAGCTTCCCCCCGAAATGCCCAGCTTCCTCCCAAAAAGATTGTTATCATTACAGTATATAAGTAACTATATCGGAAAATTATCCAGATGCCACGAGGTCAGTGCACACTGTAATATTTCTCAAGATTGTGTCTCAAAATGCACCAGATTGCATCTCAGCGCATATTCATTTCAAAAAATGTCCGGGGGGCATGCCCCTGGATCCCACTAGGAAGATATCGGCCACTCGGAACTTCTCTTCAAAACGATAAATCCTAGCTAGAACCCTACGTGCATATTAAAATTATTACCCTCTGTGAAAGTCGCCAGCAAAACTATCTCCTTTGTAAACCCAGTTTCCTGAAAAACAATAAAAATGTCCTTATTGAGCCAAGCGATTTTACATGTGATGCAACAATCAGAGTTTAAAACATTAAGGATGGGATATATTACAAAGCAAAGAGGAAACATCAGGCTTTGAACTGGACGAATTTGGTACAAAGTTTGGATGGCCTAGTGTACGTTGAGATCTCATAAACCATAAAACTCCAAGGCTTTTAAATTGATACACTCAATCGTTATTATTATGTTCCTGTAAGCTCAGAAAGTACATGTGGATATCGTGAGTAGCTAATGAACTGAAGGAAGGCTGAACTCTAACAAAATTGCAGGAACCCAAAAGAGCAGAAAAGACTGCACCTTTTTGTTACCCAGAGGCAAAATATTTAAGTTACCAGGGGGAGACTGGGTATTGCGAGAGCACAGTCCTCTATCTTGTAGCCATATCAAATAATAATTACAAAGACGTTTTGACAATAAGAATTATAACGAAGTCACATGAACTGAATAAGAGCTGTTCCCATTTAGTAGCAATAGGGAGTTTAAGCAGTGATGTTTTTGAGCAACGTACGTCAAGCGGAAGTGAGTCTTTTTTCTTTTTAATATGCCTGGATGTCACCAAAATTGTATTGCTAAGGGTCTTTACTCTTTATGAGACCGTTTGTCCACGAATTTGTTCAAAATCACAGACTAAGAGTGCAAAAACTCCACTTCCAGTTGACGTGCGTGGCTCAAAGACATGGTTGCTTTAACTCCCTAATATTTAGCTTTCAACTGCTGCCAATGCAGTTAATCAACCTACCAAAAATGGAGACGTTGGACAAAGTGACACAACCAGTGATGAAATTACTAACAGATCGTTTCTGCAAACAAAACAAACAGATCTCACATATAATGACCATTTATTGATGATGACTGTTACAACTATAGTTAGGTTGAGGTATTTATTTTCAATTTTTAGTCTGCACGTGACGCCCTAAAGTTTGACCATTTCATGATTAAGAAATAAAACTACTAAGCAGTACTTTCATATAGTACTATTTATTTAGTAAGTGGTACTAACTTTCGAGTCTACAGACAAAATCCTAAGGTATGACCATTCAAATGAAACCTCTTCAGTGGTGTTCTTTTCATGATGTTATTGGTTCGTTAATCATTCATAAAAAAAAATTGGAATATTTCTTGCACTTTTGCTTTGGTCATCTCAGTAGTAAAAGGGTCAAATACTGCTAAATGTTAGCTGTCAGAAACTTCAGATGAGGCAGTTAAACCTGGCTTTGTCTTCATGAGTGCAGAAATGAGGTCAACAAATAACCAATGGCAATTGACCATGAAGGTGCCGTTACTACCTGAAGTCAGACCTTCTTACATGCTTCAGTGGCGGATCCAGATCTTCAAATAAGGTGGGAGGGGCCAGTCATCCAGATCCTGAGATAAACCATTCAAAAAGATGTGGAGACATCGGGCCTCAGTTTGGTCTAAACATAAAGGGGTGGGTGGGCCCCTCCCCTAGACCCGCCACTGTGCTTGCATAATTGTAACCATAGAAGATTTGTTTGACATATTGGCATCTTTTAATGAATGGAATAGTCTAAACTACATTTGTATTAAAACCTCAAACATATTGTCTGTCAACAAAACTGAAACCATCTCTGATTTGGAAAAAAAGGCATCTGGTGAGAAAATGTTGTTGAAAAGACTCAAAAACATTTGAATAAAACTTCAAACATATATGAGTAGAGACAAAAAATGAATCTGTGTGACCCTTCAAACAAAAGCTACAGAGCAGCAGTTTCCCATGGTATTGTTTATGCTGTACAAGGTGATTCTAACTTTTAAGTCTGTGGATAAATTCCTAAAGTGTGACTGACCTGATAATTATTTGTCAATGAGTAACAAACCTGATACACTCTTTACAGTTCAGTTGATTAGCAACCTGACAGAGAATAAGACAAGGTGTTTCAAAAAATGAATTACCATAATGCACTTACACAGTACAAAAATATAAGTATATCTCTTTTTAATTTCAGTCTCCAAGAGCCCACTTGTAGCCTGTTATTCTGTGCTTATGTGAGGAATTCCTAGCTTCTCTCACCTTGCAAAGATAAACATAACTTTTCCCATTAAAATAATGTATTCTTACCTCCTGTTTAGAGCCAAATTCTAACAAATTCCAGAGAATCTCCACAGTTCTAAAAGCAAGGCTGTTGATCAAAAACCAAAACAATCAGAGCACGAGGGACTAATAAATGTTCCATTGAAGTACAGTACATGTACCAAAAACTTAAGGCAGAAAATATAATGGCCAAAAAAGGACTATAGTATCTGCATACAGCTGTCCCTCGACTTATTACTATCATTTAATTTTGCAACAAACAATTCTTTTTTACTCAATTCTAATTTCAGTTGGTTTATCAAACTCAGCAGACACAATTATTGTTCTAGACACTTTTTCTCTTCAAGCACTAAAGTTCAGTAAACATCACTGAAATAACTGTAAGTTTCCCTAAAAAGGAAATGTGACTGGTTAAAATCTAGACTTTGCCATTGCTATTGTCATAAGATTGTTAGGAAATTTAAGCAAATGCTGCATTCTCTCAAAGGTGTGCCTAAACAGTGCACAGTCTGAGTACAGTTACAGAGCATAGTCTGATCTGTGAAACAATGTTGGTCGTAAGTACAAAGGATTCCTGCCTATTTACCCTCTTTACAAAAACAAGGAAGAAGTATTAGCCTGATAAACTTCAGACATTAAAATAATACTTTTCAGGGTTGATTCTGGGATTCATAAGATTCCTTCCGTGTATGTGTATTGACAAACATTGCATCTTTTTTCTCATGATAAAAAATCACCTGTCAGAGGGGTCTGGAATGTTCATGCCACTGCACAACAAACCTGCGGCACCAACTGACAACATGTCATCACAGTTTAGAGCTGCAAACACAAATAAAGAACATGCAATTTTATTTTCAAATACTATGTTTCTTTTATGACAAATATACTGAGCCAAATGTGACACATATAATCCATTACTAATTTTTCTGATTGAGTATACAAAAATATACTAATAAATATTAGATAATATGTTCAATATACAATCATCAAAATAAGATACCATCCTGTACATATAGAAAAAATACATTGCACTCTAAATTGCTTTATTCAAAGAAAAATAGAGTATTTTGAGCTCAATCAAAAATATTCCTGATTGTCTATGAATGTTTTATATTTTTTAGGCGTTCAATTCACTTAATAATAACAGCAATAACTTAACAGCAGACAAAAAAACATTGAATGTTTTATAAGTGTTCAAATTTACAAGGCAAATTTGTATGTGAATTAATCACCATGATAAACTATTCAAACTAATATCCTCCCCTGATACCTGCAACAATTTTTACAAACTTTAATGTAATGGCATGTTCCTTTTCATTTAAGAAGGACCAAGAAACCTACACCTGTAACATGACTCAGAATTGTACCTGATGTTGAATAACACTGAAGAACTTTCATAATTTCCAGTCGTACACTCAGATCTTCAACCTGTTCTAGACTCTAAAATGAAAAAAAACAACAAAAACCACAAAACAAAATAAAAGTCTTTAATATAAATACACATCTACATTTTGTATAAACTGTACACAATGATGGGAAACAAAATGACTGTTATGTCTCAGACATCACGATTATGCCGAAAGGATTCACTATCAGTACCGTGACTAAAGGTTTGGATAATGTGGTAAGATTAAAAAATCAACAGAAACTTCAACAACTGACCTCAACAACTGCTCTTGCAACACCGCTTTTTTCCACCAAACTTATATTGTAAGAGGAGTTTGAGGCTTGGTAGCCTGTAAAGAGAGATAAAAGCGCATGTATCCACATTGGTATACCATAAATAGTTAACCTGCAGACATTTACAATTAAGTCAGGCCCTTTTGGGGGAGTTATGTATCTCCCTAGTCTGAATTAGAAAACTTGTCATTTTGCGTATAGAGGAGGTTAACCCCATGTTGCTGTCGGTTAATTTTACTATTGTATTTGCATTTTTCTCTGTCGCTGTCAAATTCAACCCATCTTTGTGTTGTTTGTCACCATTTCTTCTATCCTACACTGTATGTTGCTATTTCAAGGCCATATGTCGCTTGTCGGAATTTTTTTTAATTACCCTATTAAACAAGCCATCATAATAATTTGTACTTTCCAGAAAACAACCATGGAACTTGATACACACTATAAAAAATACTTTTTGCTTCATACTGGGGAGTTTTAGCATCGATAATGGCAACAGTAGCTTCCAGTTCGCTTAAAATGTCAAATGTAGGTGAATTTCCCTGGAGTTGATTTCTTAAGGACCACACTTAAGTTTTGAAAGAGAAAGAAAAATTCTTTGACGCTTGTTTACGTCCTCCATGAAGAGGGGAAGTTAGGAATTTTCAGGCCATAGTCGTACAGTGACAGGAAAGAAATGTACAAAAAAGTGTGCTGCATGTACAAAGTTGTTGTTTTGCTAATCAAACCTATTACTTTTTGACATTCTTGCTGCAGTCCCTGTCATCGCTGAGCTAAAGTTCCCTATTACTTCACCCACCAAGTGCTAGAGCTAGTACACTGCATGTACTGTTAGAAATTCTTACACAATATTTTTGAGCTAAAAGTCCAAATATTAAAAAATTGCCATGTACATGTAGACAACGATCCCAATATATAAACGTATACCTACCTTCAAAATACTGCCTTTCCAATGAATGTTCAGTGTAAAATTGTATCAAGGATTCTCCTAACTGCAGCTGGACAGCAACATTCTGTATCTTCATGGTGTGTCCTGTTAAGTGAGGTGCAAAATAAGGTACTTTGTATTGAGAACTAAATGTACAAAATGTATTCAACCATCATTTCTATCAATATGAAATAATGTCACTTTTTGATCGTCACCCTAGCTAAGCTAGGTCATGAATCGTTAAGGACAGGTACATTTTACTGTCCTCTTGAAAAATATCTAAAGGAGATTCTTGGTTCTTTTAAGACACCAGATTTGAAACTCCTTAATTTCAAGCAGGGTTCTGTAATAGAAGGTAACCTGCCGGAGTTGTTTTACAAACACTAGCAGGCATTTTTGAGAAATTTTTATTTTTTGGACCAAATTGTTTATCAAAATTGTGAACTCTTACCTAACTCAGTGAGAAGGTTTATAATTGACTCAGCATAAGTGGCATCATCTGAAGTCTTTTCTTTTAAAAATGGCTTCCTTTAAAATTAAGCAGAAGAGTAGATATTGATTATTGTAGCTTTCTACTAATACAAACAATAACTATATATTAACGATGAAATTTTATTATGTACATATATGCATGTGTCTCATTTAAAAAAAAAATGTAAATGGTATTTCTTTTGTAACATTGTTTTAGACACTAATTATTCATAATCATTCATTACAATAAAATAAAAATAAAATAAAGGGATTCCATATTAAAGCAATTGTAGGGCCAAGCAGATAAAAGTAGATAACTGATAATAATTTATAATAAAAATTTTTGAAAAAGCTTTTGATCTTTTATTATTATTATTACTATAATATTTTTATGGTGACAGATTGATTACCCTGCGAGCAGAGGCTACATTTTTGCTGTGTGAGCTGTCATGCGAAAAGTAGCCTCTGCCAAAAACCGTTCAAATCCGTCCAGAAATCTGGATGAATAAATTTAAAAAACGGGTTTTTTTCCTGTTGTTGGCCAGTTTAAGTCATTGCGTGAATCTTGCATGAGTCTTATGTCACAGGTCAGAGCTGACACAATTTTTTTATTCCTGCAAAACTCGCCATTTGACAACAGACCTGACTATTAATTTTGCTTACGAATTGCGTGACAAATTTTGCACATGCACAATAGAAAATTGAACAGTTGTCAGCAGAGGCTACTTTTCGCATGCTAGCTCACACAGGGAAAATGTAGCCTTTGCTTAAAAGGTACAGATTGACTTAATCAACACAGATAACAGTGCAAAAGTAAATTTTGTTTCACAAGTATTTCTGTATGTGTGTGTAGAATATGCAAACAGTACTTAGATTTGTAGATTTCTATCCTTGATGTGTTTCTATGCATTACCAAACTTCTTCCTTATGTTTACTGCAAGTATCACTGTACCTTGAAAAGAATACTACTTACCCACAAACTTTTATCAAGTCACACAAAGGGCTCTCATATTGCCGGTTACCCTCTAACCTTTCCCTGCAAACTGTGATCATATCACACACCAAGTCAACATCTTTCATTAGCTGTTTTAGATTGTGTCAAGGTATATACTTTATAAAATTTAATACTTTTTGTTTGAGGAAAAACTAAATTATAGGACCATAGTGGTTTCAGTTAACATGTGACATGTGTACATGTATGTGCATTCTTCATATTGGTGAATATCCACAAAGTGATTAAGGCTGCACCTCAATCATACAACAACACAACATGGAAAGAAGAAAAATGCACATTTTGGTCAAATACATTACAAAATTTATGTATTTGGTTGAGCTCATATGAAGTTCAGTATTGGAATCAATGCTGGTCCACAGGCACAGTTGGCTGTTAGCCAATCCAAATTAAATTAACCATTCTGAACTGATTCAGAAGCTGTAATTCACAATCATGACTTAATTCATTAAATTTGATAGGGTCATGTGAAGTACAGCATCTGAAATGGGCATTACTTTTCAAGCAGAAAGAGGGGACAGTTGGAAATATGCCTGGATTCATGAGCTAGCTATTTATTAGCATGACTGAGGAATTGAACTTAGGACTACTGGGAAACAAATCCAGCTATAGTAGGGGCCTGTATGCAGAGTATGGCAAGTGCACACACAAGCCTTTTTTAAAAGCTTATTGCATACACCAAAATCATACTAAGCATTGAACGTGGCAGCATTGGGCCTAAGACATTTGCACCTGACTTACAAGGGCATAGCCATGATATTTTTTGCCAAATCTATCATAACCTCTCAGTTCTTCCACATCATTTCCACATCCCTTGCTTACACTTTTGCTTTCTCATGAGAATGGTGAGGTTATATACGAATGAATGGACTGGCAGTTTGTCTGTAATCTTCTTTGTAGCCCTTCTTTTGAGTGAACTGAATGGTGAAGCATGAACATACTAGGGAGGTCCAGGGGCATTCTCCCCCGGGAAAATTTGATATTTAGGTCATCTAAAACAACTGGGAAAGGCGCCTAAAACTCGGACCCTTCTAATACTAATAGCCTCTCTATATGGGCATGCACACGTATTCTGGTATAACAAGTCGTATTGCACACGGTGCACGCAGCTAAAATTGGCTCTGCATGCACGAGATCTCGTCGAGTTCTGCCATACTCTGCAGACTGGAGTAGGGATTGAAAGCTGGGAACTCCAAAGGAATGGCCGCTTATTACAGAGGTTTGACCATACTAAATTACTGGGACAGACTGAAACATGTATATAAGGGTAAACTGAAACCCTCGTGGCTTAATTAGGAATAAAACGTAACAATTTATTGGGTTAAAGGATACAAATCCATGACAAAAGTACTTGGTTAATCTGTGAACGGCTCGTACATGTCGATCCACAAGTTCATTCTGTTTAAAGAAAAATTTACGTCATAATAAAATGTCGTTAAGAATCAACATAATTTTTTAAGAGGAAAAGAGGGAATACACCATACTATTATCGCAAACTATACAACAGAGTTTTTTGGAAAATGTTCATCAAAAAACGAAATTTGACAAGACTTGTACTGAAAGACTTTGCTCGCAGCTTGGACAACACGTTGTACACTTGACGTTGTTAATTGAACAGCTAAAAGTCAGTTTGAAACTGCAAAAGATAAATGTGCAATTACAAGGACTTAAAAACACTGATCGTGTTCAAACTTACCGAATGTTTGTCGGTAAGAAGTTTGTGTGTTTTGACCACACTGACTGGTACGAGCTTACCGGAATGCTGCAAAAACAACAAATCATCTCTTAATTTTTTCGATTATAATAACACCTTAACATAAAAATGGTTCTTACCTTTCCATCCGTCCGCAAATTGTCTAAGTCTTCGTCTGTCATAACGTTATTAACGACGGGAATTGGCGGCCGAGCAGTGGCCGCCGCCATTTTGATTTTCACTTGCCTTCGTTGCCTAGCAACTGTAAAGTTTATCGCCTTCAGGAACTTCAGAGATAGGTACGTCATATATGTTTGACGAATTTTCCAATTAGCCTTATGTGGACTGAGATGGGAGCAGACCGTGACAGTCCCCTATTTTTCCTTAAGATCGTCGAGATCGAGGGCTTTTCGCTACGGGCGTCCACCTTGGATGAGTGCCAAATCTACTCACTCGCTTCCAACTCGCTTCCTCGGTACCGTATGAAACCAAGATGGCCGCCCGTACCGTAGCTTTTTTAGGAGAGCTCGTATTTCTTCCCTTAAAAACGCCTGCGGGGGAGGCTACCCTTACCGGTGAGCGCTCGATCCTAGCCAGCTCGCTCCATATACCTTTCACAGAAAATGGTATCCTTTCAAATATTAATAGCGAGAATATTTCATTAAATTTCTGCACTTGTAATATTTAAACAAGGGAAAGTCAAAGAGGCGTTTGAGGAGTCAACGACTCATAAACTCTCCGTCAGGATCAGTCACAAGGTGCGTCTCTCCGTGATCCTTTGAAATGTTAAAAGCATAGCCCTTTGAAAACTCGGATAACAGTTTTCCTAGCATCCAGCAGATAAGCTCGGGAAACTCCCAGTCGTTTTATAGGCTAATCTGGAAAAAGAAGCCCTTTCCGCCTTTCATTAAAAATAATAAATAAATAAACAAATTATCAAAGTTCGCCTCTTATTCAATTTCATGACATTTCCATACTCTATTTTCATATAAGGCAATCCCGGCGATCAATTACGAGTGTCCTAAAGGCACGCACTTACGTGACTAGTACGAGCGTGCGCAATTCACGTTGACTTCAACGGTAGGCAAAAAAGACGCGTTTAAAACTTTGTACGGATTTAAGTGTGGATGGGCGCTAAAAAGCCTTTTCCTCGTTCATCGCTCGACGTCCTTCCTTCGTATTCTCGCGCGCTCAACAATAATTCAACGATAATGCACTTGGCATGCACTTTTATTTTATTTTATTTGAAGACAGTTTGTCTTACAAGTTTCTGTTCCATTTTATCTCCATACTAGAATAGTTAATAAAATTTTGTCATAAAATATCTGAGAAGCCGGAGCCGCTTTAGTTTAAACAAATGAATTCATTTTTTAATAAATGTTATTTCATAGAGGGTCTAACGTTCATCTGAACAAAATAAGCAACCCTGATTGGAATATTTACAGAACGTTGGGCCTTTTATATGTTTTCTTTTTAATTCCTCTGATCTTCAACTCATGCCTGGATTTTATATTTGCCCGAAGCCTGGACCCGACTTAAACTGCATGGTGATGTCACCAAGAAGCACTTCTCCACTGCACACTTCCTCTATGTTCCAAGGTTTTGTGCGGCAAAAGAGTACCAATCACACGTGCCTAAACAAGCATTTTCTACATACTACCAAAAGTGAATTATTATCTGCGTGTACCTCGTCATTGTTAAGAGAGCTCACGCAACCGCGAAAGTCGCGAGGGCAGTAAAAACGAGACTAAGTTCTTTCAAACTTCATTACGGTTACTTTACCTCACTCAATTTGCCAAAAGCAAGTGATTTCTTTTAGAATTTTAAGAAGATGCATTCAAGTGAAAACAAAAAAAGGAGAAAGGAGGTCGTCCTCGTGTGTTCACGTCACTCAAATGGACCAGATATATCAGATGATGATCCAGTTATATCAGATGATGATCCAGTGAGAGTGAAATTTTTAGTCCGTGGGAAGCGTTACTAATGCGGAAAAACCTGTTACTAAACATTCGCCTTTAACAAATCTTGGCGCTTGAATCCACTGTGAAAAGTGCTTCATTGCCATCCTCAAAACGATAGGACTTCATGTCAAAATATATCTCGCCGATTATTTGAAAACGAACCCAGCAAAATTTGCAGCTTGATTAAAAAAGGGCTAAAACGATAAGCTCGAAAATCACACTTGCGAAGGAAAAGGAAAGGAGAATTAAATTAAGAGGGAGAGAGAAGGAAGAAAGCAGGAGAAGGGAAACAAGCAATGGCTGCACTCTAGTTTTCATAATGGCTACTTATAGAGACCGAGAAAAGAAAAACTGTTTGACGGAAGAGGGGGTATATTTGGCGCAAACGTTTTCAAAAATCCGGCTAGAGACATACATAAAATATTAATTTTTAGTTACTTGGTGTTTCAGTTACTAAAGAGTGCAAGTAAAGAATGTTAGTGTTAATCGATTTCAAAGCCGTTCTGCACGTTCAGTTTCCCGGATGTTGCAGTAGTATTATGTTTTCCTGGGCTCCAATCTGTGAGAGAGCTGGGTGAGAGTACGTTGGTTGTCAATCACTTGAAGATTCCTAGGAAACAAAAGCGAGACAAAGGGCTATGAAAACACAAGTTATAAAGAATCCTAAACGCCATAATCGTCGCTAGTAAACCTGTCTAGCTTATATCATTAATAATAGTAATGATAATGATAATATTAACGATAATAATAATGTCCACTAATAATAAAGATGATGATGATGATAATGGGAGACAAGAAAAAGAAAAAGGTAAGAAAAAAAGGAAATTTGCCAAATTCCTTTTATTAAGTCAATATTTTCTGTTTTCGGGTTATTGTTTAAAAAATTGAATGCTTCTGCAAACAGGCAAGTACATTCTTGCTAAAATTGCCATCATTTGGTCTACTTCCCACTGGAATGCAGCGGGAACGAGTCTAGATAGAAAGAGCGTAAAAGCCCAAATGTCATTTGCACCCAAATAGATGTTCAGCGGTCTCCGTGGCGCAATCGGTTAGCGCGTTCGGCTGTTAAGTCCGAATGGACTAGTCACCGAAAGGTTGGTGGTTCAAGCCCACCCGGGGACGACTATTTTTCCTGTGTTTTCTTACTTAATTTTTTTTTTCGGTCACAAAGCCAAATGGGTGTTGTTTCGGAAACTTGCTGCCTTTTTTTTTTTAGAAAAATTTGGCCACAAATTCTTATGTCACAACTGAAAGGATGAACGTTTAGGGCGCCGGCACTTTGTTTCAATCTACAACAAATGAGTTCTTGCTATGAGTAAGAACTAATACTTAAATATAGTAGAACTGAAATAAAAAGAACTACAGTTTAATGACAATCTGCAGTCCATTCGTTGCCTTCATTTTTAATCATGATACGTATATCAAAACTTTGCACATGTAATTTCCATGAAAATTGTACTGAAAGACTTCCTTACCTTACAAAAATAGTTATTTCTTGAATAACTTTGGTAGAAGATGCCGGTGGATCTGCCGCTGCGAACAAATCAATAGGAAAATGTTAAAATTTAATTCCATAATTCAAAGCGCGTCCACTATCCCCTTCTCCAGAACTGTACTGTAAGAGGAATGGGTACAACCTTTCGGCTCAGCAGTTTTTGGGATCGTTTGAGTGGATAAGTGTTAGGTTTGGTTAGTTAATGGTTTCCTTGAACACTATCGACCAATCAGAACTAATGCTTGTCCACCCAGACGATCCCAGAATTCGTTGCGCCGAAAACGTTTACCCATTTCTCCCTCGGGTTTCTGGAGTGTGGAATTAGCAATACGTCAAACAGCCATACAAAAGCAGCAATCACTTTAATGCTTCTTTCTGCACCGGCGAATTGATGTAGCATTCCGTAATTTAAACCCAATAAGAAAGGGCCTGTTAATCTATGTTTCAATCTAGGCGTAGCCTTATGGTTTGGTTTACTTACCGAATGGTTCGCTGCGGCAGTACTGGATTAGTCGAAGTGTAGAGGAAATCATTCTCTGAAAAGAAAAAGTACAAGTTTCGATCAATCGCGTTCTCCCGGTAGGTCACTCGGTAAGTCGGTGGGAGCAAAAAACAAAAAAAGGAAGAAAAGGAACAAAGTTCATAACTAGGCTGGCGATCAAGCTGCATGTTCAAACTACCGGGAAAAGAAAAAAACGACAGTGAGATGTGTCGTTGCCCTTTTCTACGAGAAACCCGTCTTAACCTGAATAAATTAAACCAGCCTTTATTAAGTTGTAAATTAAATGAAAAGAAGAAAGCAGCGTCTTTTAACAGAACGAAAGATGTTGTGCTCTTGGAGTCCTATCTTTTTTTATTGCCAAAATAAAAAAAAAATGTAACGATAGGTCGGCAAAGCGATGGAACACGAAACTCTTTGTGGGCACCGCTAATTAAAATAAAATTAAAAAGTCCATATTAACAGTTCTTTATTATGGATGTTATGTGCGTTCTTCAAAGCTACTAAATAAAGCGTGAATGTTTTATTACTAACTGGCTCCAGTCGCGAGAGCGGTTAGCATTTTGATTAAACTGACCTTCTCATTAAATTTAATCTGTAAGGCGGATCCTTAAGCAGCGTTAACGCCAAGAGAACAAGTTAAACTTACCATTTTCTCAAAATTAACTAATTCATCAAATTGCGTTTTGTTTCCTTCATTGGTAAATGTCATGTCTAAAACCAAATAAGGAATTTAAATGGTCATTAGAGTTTACTGGCCGTTTAGGGGCAAATTTGTGTATCTGCGAGGCAGCATGGCTTTATAATTCTCGTACAGTTTACGCAGAAATTTGGGAGAATTATTAAACCTCCTCAACATCAGAAACATTTTTTGAAAACATACGTAATCTCATTCAAAATCGCAATGAGACTACTAGTCTCGCTGTTCTCCGCAACGGAAACATTACCGGCTTTTGTTCTTGGTCATTTAATACTCGTCCAGCTATTAGAAAACTGCAAGACTACATGTTATGAAAATCAATGGCAACTACATCTTCTTTTTCAACTACATAGCCTAATAGAGAAAAAACTTGTTTCATCTCAGTTTGTGCACCTGTTCCAGCCAAGTCTCTAAACGTTCTCTCTTACCCAGTTGTCTGCGCGAAGTCGGGGAAGGAGTGGGCGAGAGAATTCTTTGCTGACCTTGCTCGTTCCACTCGGTCCAGTTGTAACAGAATTGTAACGCATAGAGACTAGGCTGTATCTAACTTTGCTTTCAAAATTTTGACCCATTGTGGCTCAAAACGTTATTCAGTACTCAGAATTAACTAAATTTACGTGATTGACCGTACTGCTCTCTTACAACTGTCATGCATGGTAATGTTTATTTTTAAGGCTGTATAATAATGATATACCTTTCATCAGCAGTGGCATAAATGGAAGAATTGGAGGCTTCAGTTTTCCTGCAAAGTAATTTAATTCAGGGGAAATTAAACTGAGAAAATAAAATTTTACCTAAAATGAAGATATCTGTCTTTTTGATGTAATTTTTTTCATAAAACAATCTAGTTATTCTTACCCACTAAAAGTCTGTAAACTCGATGGTTCCTGGACGGCTCCTAAATAGAAAAAAAATATATATAAATTCGTTTGTATCTCTTTCTAAATAAACTAGCTGAAACAGTAACATAAGTGATAAATTTCCAAGGCCTACAGCTTTTAAAAAATATATTTTTCAAAAATACTTTGATCCCATTATGTGAACATCATTCGCCTGGACATTAAAACGCGTTAATGTAAACAGGACCCCACAGATCAAAGACCGGGAAGAAAGCCTCATTTGTCTTAGGCTATCTGAAGTGCTAATAAAGTTGTTCAAATGCATTCTAGGAGGTTGCGCATTTTTTTCTGTCTGGTCATGCTAGGGCAAGGTTAGCCTTTTCGAATGTCTTCCTTCAACACTTAATCTGTTTTTCCGACTTAATAGGCCCTTTGCAGAATACGGTCACGTCGCAAGGTCACATATTACTGTAACAATAAACACCTCGCTGGATGGCAAAACGACGCCGTTGGACCTTAAAAAGAAAGGATATAAGCTTTTTAAATGATGTAATCTCTTATTATTTTTCATGCCCTTCTGCGTCGTTTAATTTGCTAACAAGCAAAATGTTTTTGGTACCATGACCTATCATTTGACCGTATTCTGCCAAGGGTCCATCAGAGGTTTATGAAAACGGTCACTACTTTCGAAGCCAGTAAGTAATTTTTAGCTGTCGACCATTCTTTCGAATAATAGCAAATCAAAGAGGCTAAGGGGAGAAATATTATTAAAAAAAATCAACTTCCCGAAAAAAGTTAATAGGAAAATTCATGATCACGAGCAGATTAAATAAAAAGCTAAGATCACTGGTGTAAATAGTCAATGTAGGAAAAATTGGCTTTGAAGGTGAACACGTATTTAACGGAGTCTTTGCAGAGGACACAAATATTTAGGAAAGAAATAGAACTACAAGAGTTGACAAAAATTAAAAGCGCACTAGACTAAGGAAATTGAATTAATTATCAATCCCTCACCAAAGTGCTTTCAAACTCCTCAAATATTTTCCGGAACTTTCCAGGTAGTTTCTGAAACAATGTTAAAGACTATTATTACGTGTCAGCAGCACAGTATTTGTAACAAAAACTGCTACTTTCATCGTTGTAAAATAGGGACTCCTTTGAGGCCCGGTATTTTTGATTTACAGGAAACTCATGTCCTCTTTCTTTTAACACACCTTTGATACCAAATTCAGGCTTTCGCTACCATTTTTGGTAAATGGGAAGCGAAAAATTATACGAATGATAAACGCTATTCCGAAATGGAACTTACCAGCCACGAATTTTGATGACAATTCGCTCGAAACGTTAACTGACCGGTTTGAATATAACTGATACAACTTAACCGGCACCTTGAAAGTCCTTTTCTCTCCGCGTTCATACTTCAGGCACTACTTTTTCTTACCGATTCAAGCGTTGCCCGCGGTAAAAAAAAAATTGATGAAATTGAACTTCGGGTGACAAGTGGGACCGAAGCTAGAACCAGAATCCCCTAATTCTGGAGCTGCTGGCTACTTAGAGATTGTGCTTGAGTCCTGGTCGATGTTTTGTCGAATTGCACCATATGAATGCTTGGGGGACGAATTTTGACCCAGTTTTCCTGGTTTGCTACGCACACTTTGTAATGGCCCCTGAATGAAGTGATATCCTCCTATTCTGCTCCTGTCCACACTCAACCTAAAAATGGCCTAAGATGCTAACTAGCGGCACGCTGAGGGTGGCCGCAGTAATGAGAGTTGAGTGAGGAAAGTGGTTGATACTGATATACTTACCTCCCAAGTTTGTGTCAGCCGGCTAACTGCAACACTGTTGAGTCCCATGACGATAGCGAAGAAAGAATACCAGTTGTTATACTCTTTGCAGCTACAAAGTAGTAAAGAAACAGTTACACAGTGATAATCAGTTGACCGTGGAACTTAAATTATCAAAGTATGTAATAGCAGGGTTGGTGTTTATTGTCATAACGTCAAAGTGGACTCCCTCCTTTCCGCGAAAAAAAGAAATTCTCTAAATTACTAAAAAATATTCGGATCAATTTAGGTTTTTAGAAAACTGCCCACCTACCCCTCCCCTAAGCTAGCATTAACACTTGCTTCTCACTTAGGGCAAAATGATGTCTTAGGGGAGGGGTAGGGGGCAGTTTCCCAAGGAAGGGCCGGGAGAGAAATTGCTGAGATTAGGCAAGAAAGCTGGCAATGTTGGCCCCAGCTCTGTTCAGACTATGCCGGATAGCTCGTACGCAAGCGCAAAAAACATACCAGATAGGGCTTCTGTTCACACAACAACGGTGATTTTGGGGATCAATTTAGGTTTTTGGGAACTGCCCACCTACCCCTCCCCTAAGCCATCATTTTACCCTAAGTGAGAAGTAAGTGTTAATGTTAGCTTAGGGGAGGGGTAGGTGGGTAGTTTTCTAGAAACCCAAACTGATCCTATCTTGGCGCGATTTCTGTAAGTGAAACTGCGCCGCACCGGTGTCTGAAGTGGAGAGTCACATATCGAAGAGATTCTGTACCACTCTTGGGTGTAGTGTAAACAGGTATTCGGACCGTAGCAGAAGTGAATAAGTAGGAGCGAGGACTGGAATCCGCTGAGACGGAAGTAAATATTCAGGAGTGAGGACTGGGATTTAGTGCACCAGACCCTCTCGGCCAACCGCTCCGGTGCAATGTTGGATGTGTGTGACTGGACAACTTGTTCCAGTTCTGTGCGGTTACCATTCATACTATAACGGAAAGGTCTTTGCATGTTCCGGCACAGAAAGCTATCTGGTATCTGTGAACATAGCCTTCTAAAGACTCCCTGAATTCCCTTATTTTCTTGAAGGCGTGAGTCTCCGAATATGAGTTTTGCAGATGGACCGCTGACTGGCCATGGAATGGAAGGAGCAATTAATACTTCTTTCCCGTCATGCAATGAGAGGTGATGATGCGTCTTTATTGACTATTTACAAAACTTACTGTGCAGCCAGTTTAATGAATTTTTTCAACAAGTAAACTCTTTTATTGAGTTGTTGAGTCAGGAGAACTTGCGTTTCGACCCAGAACTGAACCTGAGAAAGAACAAAAACAAAGAAACAAATTTCATCGAGGTCTACAGCTGCTTTCCGATTTTCCAGTCACAAGTTTAGTTACTGAACTGAAAATGTCTCACCTCGTTAAATCTTTGGAGTAACAGGTCTAAGTTTGCAGTGATCTGGTTGTAATTCTCTTTTCCATACATGTGATAGATAAATTCGTACTGCAAATAAGACAAAACAACCAGCAATCTCAGAATATGGGTTTGTAGACGCAAATAGTTTAGAGAATCTACGAACACACTAAGCTGGGATTCCGAGCTTCCGGCAATGCCTTTCTGTTATTATTCAACGTCGTCTTTTCTTCATATACCCCAAAAAGGGTTTGGTTTGGGTATAAAACTAAATTGTGGCCATAGATTGGTCGGCTACAATTCTCTTCACTATCGAAGCTGTTTAACCCTATTCAGACTGGGCTTTTTTGGTCAATCTGTGACTGGGGGGGGGCTCCTCGGAGCCCCCCTCTGTATCTCTGGAACCAATAATGCTAGGGTCATGAAATTTACACACAATGATCATCTCCGTACAAAGAAGCCCCACACCCAGTTTTGACTTGCCACGCCCAATGATGACGTCACAGTGACGTCATATTCCGATTTTTCAATGTTTCTTATTATTTTTCCACTTAGATACGTAAAATATCAATAATATTGGTAAAGTCATCTCTTTGTTATCCTTTCTTATGAACTAGTAACAAAGAAACACTTGTACAGCGAGAAAAAGCAATAGGAAGCAATAAATTTAAAATTTGAAATGATTGTCCGCCATCTTGGATTTCCGATTTTTTGTTAAAATTATAATTTAAAGCAACTTTCAAAGTTCAGAATGTATAAAAGAAGTATCAAACTAATGTTTATTACCCAAACAAATGACTTTGGAAGTGTTATTTGGAAAATAGAGCAGCATATTTGTCAAAGCAAAAAAGTGACAAATTTTACCCCACCCCCCCCCCCCAAATATTCGGTGTTGAAACATTTTGATGTAATTCAAAAACTAGTCCCAATCAAAGACCATTTTAACAACAAAAAGCACTATAAGTGTAAAAACGCGATCTTAAAACACAAAAATCACCATTTTTTAAATTTTCCAAAACCTATGTGTCAGAAACTGGTTGCCATGGCAACATGATTAATCAAATGGACATGGTAATTATACCAAAATGTTCCTAGATAAATTTTAGGAAAAGTCAGAAAATTTGAACGTCATAGCTCTTTCGGTGTAGGAGTTATCACGATTTTGCCTGAGGGGGGGTTTGAAAAGCCCCCCAGTCTGAATAGGGTTAAATGAACTAAATGAACTATATTAGAGACCTTTACTTCCGCTGACGCGGACGACTACTAATTAAGAAAAGATTTAACTTAAAATTTTTCGCTTATTCTCAAAAAATATACATCACATGAAGCTTCACTGTACTTTTTTCAACTGAAAAATCAACAGGGTTCTTTTTTAATTGAACGCGTTTAAGCCCTCTTCTGATCGCAAAATGATAAAACTACTAACATTTGGTAACTTGTTTCCAGCTACGATATTACGGACCTTAAGCAAAGACGACTACGACGACGACAACAACGTCAAAAAACAATTGGTTTTATGAGCAAAATAACCGCTCTGCACGTGCATCACGCTCTTTAGTACATTTCTTTGACGTCCGCTGCACGACTACGACGTGAAGCCTCCCAATGCGATGTTTTATGTAGGACGTGGACATACTACGACAAATTTTTCCTTCTCTATTTGAACATGGATAAAGCCCTTAAGAATTCAACTCAAGAAAAAATCGCCTACATTTGACGAATTCAGTAGTTCCAAATAGAGGCGATAAAGTTTAAAAGGACATAAATTAATTTTTTAGTGATGTTTTCACTGCCGTCGTCGTCGTCGTTGCACGCTTAAGGTCACTATTCTCGCTAAAAACCGTAGTGGAATGACCACGGCGCTATTTCACGTGACGTCTGTTCACGCGTGCGCACTACTTAGTGTGGAAAAAATCTTGTCCTCGTCTCTAAGGAGCTATACCTTACATTGTAAACAGTCGTGAGACCAATACCTCCCTTTGAAGAGTGAGGCACACTTAAGATTAACTTTCCTTCTTTCTGTTGCTATGGATACTTACGACATTGACTGCATTAAACAGTTCGTAGTCGTACTGTGAGATGAAGAAAGCCAGCTCTTTTGAACCGACTGTCTCAAGGAATGCTAGAGAACTGCATGTTGGCCCTTCCTGGTCAGGAGTAGGAGTCTGGAACAGAATTTGATGTTTTTAAAGTTAAAACCAAGAATATTCACTGAACAATCACAATAGAACTTGCGTATGAAATCAATTCACAAAGATATCGCACTACGAGTTTTTTTCAGTTTACTTCTGTTGCCTGCAAAGTTGTTGCGATAGTCTTAGGCCAAATACAAAGCGTGGTATTATGGTAAAACTGAAGATATCGCGACTAAACCTTGGGCTCCCAGCGCTAATTGACCAGAGACATCGAAATTTCACAAGCTCACAAACTACAAACTACACAAACTTTCTCAAACTCGCAAGAAATGTTTACGGTACTGAAGCCCAAGTTCTCCTAACCTGTTCCAGGCGTTCAAATCGTCGACGGCGCAAATAAATATGAGCATGAAAAACAGCCAGGGGGCTGGTAGGAGGTGAGGGCGACATTCCCTACTCTCTCCCTCTCCCTCTGTTTCTCCTGATTCCCCCCCCCCTACCCCCTTGTCTGACTTGGCTTCTCCCGGCAATATCTGAACGCCTAGAAAAGGCTAAAGTTCTCCTATATACTGACCAGTGAGTCCAAATGTTCTCTTGGTGCGATGAACAGTCTCCCGTTGACGCTTAGGCCCGTGGTAACACATATTTCGTTTGGTTTTAATGGTATGCGCTCTAGAAAACAATTTCCAATATAGTTAGACATGGCTTCAGGTAAAAATAATCACAATACCTTCGCAGTTGGTATCGGTTTTCACCTCCGTTGTAATCGTTAAGGGTGCTACTTAACAAATGGACAACAATTGTCTATGGTCAAAACTTTTATCGCCCATAGAAGTGACGTCAAAGTTTTCAAAACGCATTACGTCATTTCCGTGGAGGAGAGCGTAAGGGGGTACGAGCACCGTAAAACCGCACAGAAATTCGTATAAACATCACACAGAATGACATAAGAAAACCGCAAAGCGCACTCAAATTACCCGAAAATCTCTAAATACCGCAAACTGCTTGGTTTTGTAAAACCGCTATACCGCAACTTAATAAGAAAATCGCAGCAAACCGGACCAAAAATTGAGCAAAACCGCATCACCGCAAACCCTTACGTTCCCTTCTCCATGGCATATACTTTCATCAAGCTCTGTACTAATCAGCGCGCGAAAAACACTCAGTTATTGTAAAACAGCTTTGCTACACCTATCATGACCTAAAGTCCCAGGCGTGATAAATGACCTAGGTTTTTCGAACCATAACATCACCTTTTATTGTGAAATTTTCATGAGTTAGTGAGAGAGATAAGGTCTACAGCTTGATGTTTCTGCCCAAGAACGCGAAAAGTCTAATAGTTTACTACATTTCCTAGTAGTCTAAGCTAATAGTCCTAAAGTGATGACGTCATAAAATTAAATTTTTGAAATTATGGGATTTGTTAGGATATTTTGAAAGAAAAACATCTGAAAGGACTACTTGCCAAAACCTAGCACTGTGAGGCAAATTGTCTCAGAGATACTAGTCCCGTTTTGCCCAAGGACAATAAGAATAGAAATAAAATGTAGAAAAGAAAAATATAAACAAATTGGTCACTGTCGAGAGTGAAAGCGTATAAGAAACGTTTTATATAAAACAAACCCCCCGAGGATTTGACTTCACATAGCACGCAGTCATTTCCCAACAACACGCGCTCCTCTGCAGTGTTCACAATGGTCTGGGCAGTAGCCTTATATGGTAATGCCAGTGTGGTGTAAGTATGATCAGCACAGAAAACACGGAAGATGTCTGAAAGGTAAATCAAGTGAAAAATTAGTATTAAGGAAATATAAAAATCGCTCCGTTGCAAAATGAGTTTTCAGGCAAACGTAACTGACAGCCCTATAAAAATGACGTGCGCGCTTGCGTACTTGTCGAAGAGGGTAAAGTTTGTGGATTGGTTTCACGTCGGATGATAAAAATCTAAAATGACTGCTGTAAAGCTGTGTGGTACCTGTTTGGATGTCATGTTAAAAAATGACCGGAACCAACTGTTACCTTCAAGGGATAAAAATGAATGAACTACACCCACAAAAAAATATTCTAATATCTATTAGGGGTATTTTTATCACTTTAGGAGTCAGAATCAAAATAACCCTCGAATATCCTTCGGGCATACATCGCCAAAACTCCTCGAAATATCCGGTAAGAATATACTGGTTACTCCTGTTGTTTGTTTGTTTCGAGGTGAAATAATGTACGCTGCAGGATTGCAATACTACGTAACCCAGGCCATTTAACACAGAGAACACAAACACAGCAAGAATACGTGCGGAAAAAGCATCAGAGCGACCACTAAACGTACTGTTACAGACAAGCTCATGAATACGCCTCAGGAAGGGAACTACGAGTATGCCAAAATCCTCGGGCTAATAAGCCCCTCCCTCCCAAGTTCAATCCCCCGGGAATAAGACATACACTTACTTTGATCGCTTCCTCTGATTGGCTTATATTCTTCTGTTTTCATCGTTATGTCAACAACGCCCATGCGCCGAGCGTGAAGACGGTTCTGTGTGATTCAGGGATAAGGATACGAGTTGATTTCTATTACTTAGCCACAACATTTCTTTTAAGCATCAGACCATCCCCTTTTTTCCTCCGTTTAGCGTCGTCCGACTGATCAACTTGGCATCCCCCCCCCCCCAAAAAAGGAACTGGACGTAGTTTAACTTTTTTGACTTTGATTGGTTCTTTTAATCTGAACAATGAGCATCGAAACAGCTTTTCCAGGCATAGAAGTTTCAGTGGTGTATCCTTTTTGCTTTTGTACTATATCATCGACCATCATATTTCCCACCACATTGAGTTTGTGTCGATTTGTTGACCATGTCTAGTTGTTTCCAGGGTCCACAGCATTGACGCTGTGGTTTCGGACCTCCTTTTCTCAGGGGGTTTTGTGCTTTATTATGCATTGACGCTAAACGAAAAAAAAAGGGAGGGGAATGGAATTACTATGACACACAAATATTGTTGTATCAGTACCGGGAAGGACGAGGGTGCATGATATCAATAACTGAAATAAATAACAACAGGCGCCTATAAGTTAACGAACCTCTATTAGTTTTGCTCAGATTTCTTTAGGCTCGGTTCAAACGTTGCATATCACATGTGCTGAATCTAATGAGCGTGAACAATCGATTTTTCTCATTAGAAGGCGGGAAGGAAGCCGTGTGTATGTACTAAATGATAGATCACATGTAACGACCAATCAAAACGCGCGTCGTATCTGATTCAGTTCGTTGCTGGGTAACCTCTGACAGATCATAGATATTGACCAATCAAAAAGCAAATGGTATTTAGTACATTTGTTTAATCACCTTTTGAGAAGAGGGTAATCCATCCGCTGTATTTTCTACGCTTGGAAATCTATTTCGAAAGAAAACAAACCAAACCTTAACAAAACGGCAAATATACAAACAAACAATAAAAAAAAGACAATGGGAAAGTTCAGATGCGATTTTTACTTCACCGTACTCCGTGTACTGACACACGTGACATGTACTGAAATGCAGTTTTAATTTTGTGATTTTTGACCAAATCCTAACAAATATACTCAAGAAACACTACGGTTGAGGTTGTTCACAACATAAAGAAGTCAGAACTAAGAACAAAGAGGTAAAAAAGGAAAAAAAACAAAAATAGGTCGTCCCCGGGTGGGCTTGAACCACCAACCTTTCGGTCTCTTGGAATAGAATAACAGCCGAACGCGCTAACCGATTGCGCCACGGAGACACACCTGAATGCCCAGCTGTTAAAAGCGGTCGTACAATAACCCAGGGTTACTAGTGCGAAATTGTAATTTAGAATTAAATGCTTTCAAAGCAAATTCACTTTAATTCCCTTTGGTCTGCAATTTGCTAATTGAATGCTCTTAAAGGAATAGGAAAAATTATCCGAGAAAATGCTTCTAAACAAAAGAAAAAAAACGGGTTAAAATTGAACCCGAGGTTAACGCTAATCGAGCTTCAGGTAACTGGGCTGGTCATATTTTAACCAGTCTGAGATTTGAATGCAGTCGTACCCCGCTTTAAGGACGGCAGTGTCTTACTGGGAATTCAAAACACTCTCAGAATCGATCGTGTTTCTAGAATTTTTTTAATATTCACTTGTCCTTAAAAGCGATCTGTTATTCGGCTTACCTTTCGTGCAGCGTGAGTATTGCAGCCCTCAAAGAATTAAACTCGTTGTTTAATTTGTCCTTCTCCAGGAATCTTAGCAAATCCTAAAAACAAGTTTTTTAGAAATTTAAGGAGATAGGGAGCCTGCCGGAAGAAATTCTTGAGAGATAGGAAAGGCTATAAAACAACTGCTACATACAAACCAGCCTGCTCAAGGACCCTCTACTTTCTTTTTAAAGATCGTCGAGCGCGCCCATGAAAATAAACACCGCGGGGGGTTTTTGACCGCTAGCGCAAGGGGTTGGGGTTGGGAAAAGAGAGAAATAGACTTTCTTTCTTTTTCTTTCTCGCCCGCTGGCTTCGATCGGCTGGTCTTCGATTTACGAAAAAAAAAAGGAAAACAACTTCCGTACAGGCTACATACAAACAAAAAAACAAACAAACAAACAAACAAACAAACAAACGGCTGATAGCGTTGTTTGATATTTTAAGAAAGTATCATCTATTGAATGATGACAGACTCCTCCATTTCGAATTCTTACCTTAACAAAACTGCAGATGTTCTTATCTTCCAAGAACAGGTTTCCCGCAAAACAACACCAGCGTTCCGTCAGTTGAACAACCCTAACAATATCAATTAAAAAATTAAATCGACCTGCAAATTCAATAGAACCGTTTACAAGGCTGTAAGCGTGAGAAATACTTTAGAAATACAAAAAGAAATCTCCTTCAAACCTGAACCGTTTTAAAGGTACTATCTTGGAAAAAGCTTCCGTAGGACCGTAATATAAAATGTACACCGGTATTCGTAATGAATTAACCTGCAATTTCTGCTTGCCCGCACAAAGCAGTGATGTCTTTTGGAAGATACCCCCACCCCAGCCCCACCCCGCCCCACCTTATACAATGTTGAAAATCAGAGAAAATTCTGGATGGGCTCCTCCAACGTTGTTTGTTGCATTGTTTCGGGAGATGGGTTTGGGCATGCGTGATTTTAAAAGCGTCCACATACTGAAATGGAGGCTTAACAAGACTTTTAGGGGCAATGTGAAGTGGTGAATGTGGGTTGATGTGGCTTCAAAAGGTTGAAATGACATTTTCAGACTCTTCCATTCGTTGATGAAGAAGGATTATCCGGCCTGGTATATACAGTGGAACCTCTCCTTGGGACACCTCCATTCAGAGGACACAAAATTTGGTACCGGAACAATGTGCGTAAGCTTTTGAAGGGACACCTCTATTTAGGGGTCGGAAAAGGACATTTTTTCTGGGTCTCGAAACCCGGGTTTAACAGTCATTCAGGGAACACCTTAGCACTAAAAAAGTGACTGACCACAAAAAGCCTTCTTTAGTTTGAGTTTAAACGAGTCACAATGACGACAGCTTTCATGCCGCGCAATATAAACTATCTCACTTAAATAGATGTACTGCACTTGTGGGAATTTTACACACAACATCGCAGAGATAACTTAATCATGATTTTTTTATACATTTTCTAGCTGATTGAAATAATGACTGCAGCAGATTACGAAACAGAATAACCTCAGCCCAACTTCCATTCAGGGGACACTTGCCTTGGTCCTGAGGGTGTCCCCTGAATACGGTTTCCACAGTAATGTGTAAGCAGATCACATGAATTTGAGCCCTTAGATTTGGATTCCAGTTTTGACCATTATTGGACTTGTATACCGGTTGTAGTCGGGTGCTTATACTCTTTTCAAGTTCTTTTAGAGGTTTCCAAAATGCAAAGCGGTCTGCAGACTTCTGGTTTCCTTGTACGACTGACATAACTTTTTACGATCGTAGTCATGTTCAGAAAGGAAGTGCACCGATCAGATTCATCATTGAAAAATTCAAACGCAAAAAAACTGCACTCACCTTTTCTTAATGGCCTCGGAATGATCGTGAATAGAAGTTCTATTCATGTCCTGTCCACAGTTTAAAAAGTTTGTTCTATGATAAGTTATTTAAATCAAGGAAAACACCTTTTTTGCTCGTTTTGGTTGATCTCTTTAAGCTTAATGCGTTTTTCTTGTCATTTTTACCACAGCTAGGACGCTAGCCTTTACTACCATTGTCTGCTACTCGCTCACCCCACATAAAGGAATCCAGATTCCGGATTCCAGTACAACTTTTTTGGTGGAATCCAGAATAAAGCTCAAGGAATCCGGAATTCACTGACGATTGGAATCCGGAATCCAATTTCCACTGTCCAGAACTCGCATCCGGAATCCACGGCGTAGAAGCCAGAATCAAGAGAGAACGATCTTGCCAGAATCCAAGACTGTCTTGGATTGTGTTATTAACTGTTAAATAATCCAGGCAGTAAAATCTGTCTTAGAAGATACTGTAAGGTGATTGAATTGTTTTTTATGTATTAATGAAAAGGATATTTGGAAAGTAACTCGGAGCACAAAATTTCTGTGCTCATGAAAATCGGAAAAGTCACCAAGAAATCGTTTAAAAAGTGATCTGAAAGAAAAAAGCGTTATGATAAAACATTTTAGCGCTAATAATCATGATAAAACAGGTGCTACATCATTAGCAATTATAGTAATAAAGAGAAATTTTTAACGGTGATAACATATTGTTAGAGCATAATCAGAGTGTAAAATAGGCACGTATATGAAGGTTGGAATGAAAGTGGCCCCCAGGAACCTCACAAACTAGCAAAAAAGATTGGCTGGGAAAATAACTTGAGTGAACAAGGAACAGAAACAATGGACCCTCGGCCCCGAAACAATAGAGATTCGTGCCAGGGAGAACGAGCGAAATAAGAGGTTTTTAAGAACTTCGGGGCAGTAGAATTTTTAGCCGCAGATGCCAACCAACATGAATCACTACTGCCGTGACAACGTTATCTATGTTCTGGTTAAACAGCTCAATGAAAACGTTTTGATAAGCCACTTACAGAATTTATGTGACCATTTCTTGCTATTCTGAACTGCACAGAGTTCGGTGAGCGTGAACTCGGTTTTAACCAGGAATCACATGATGGCATTTCTCTCACTGTCAATGTTTGGGTTTAAAGGCAAATTATGATTATCTACCTCTGTTTCACTCATATGCAGACATCTCTATAACAGGAAGCTCTGGCAGGGCGGATAAGGCTCATGGGCGATGAAACGAACACTCTGATCTTCAAGTGATGTAGAACTGGCACGAGCGCTCTTTCCGCGCTTCCGGTGTATTTAAAGACAGGCGAAATGTTCCTTTTTACAAACCGGAATTTTAATCCTATTTTCATTCTTTAATTTTAGCCTACAGTGTGGAATAAGTAAAGTCGTTTTATAACAATATTGACACACAGTTTCATATTGTCATATCTGTACTCATAATTTGATCTGTAGTCCCTTATCACACCTTTTTCTTCGGACGCGCTCTTTTCCCCGCCCAACCTTTATCCACCCTGGCTCAACCTGGCTCTGGCTTCAGTGAGGTTCCACCCCTAGTTTGTGAGCATCCGCAGTTGCAGATTTCGTCTTTAGACTATGAAAGTGGATGTACTAACTTCTACAGTCTCTTACCATCAAAAGAACACGTCTTATCAATTCGTGTTTCTAAAAGATATTCCACCATTTTTATAGGGGTGCCCGCCATCACAGAGTATCTAAAAGGCAAACAAAAGTCGTTGCCAGCCGAACCGGCGAGACGAATGGGGAGAGGAAAGTCACTTTTCCTCGCCCTATTCTTCTTCAGTTGGCTGGCAGCTTCGCCGCCAAATAACCCCAAACTCGCCAACCGAGCCTCTCGCATGCTAACAACTTAAAAGAGCGTTAACAATTTGTACTGATGCTGTGCCGATAAGTTTTACTTCCACAAGAGTCACCTTAGACGACACTGCAGAGCATTATCATTTATATAATAGTTAACTTGTAAAGACAACAATAACAACAACAAAACACGTGTAAAATCTGTGCATCAATTCCATCTGTGTTAAAAAAACAAATAAACATGGCGCCCATCAATTCGACAGTACGAAAGACAGTAAGAATCATTAGACGGTCACGCCAGCAAGGATGCAATGTAAGAAATCGTCACTTGAATAAAATCAATTGTACAGTAGATCCGAAAAGGCAGACGGGTGATACGAGTAGGATATAAATTGATAAATGATGATGATGATGATGAGGATGATGATAATGATGATGACGATGAATATGACGACTACGGAGATTATGATAATTTTAGCCCAAACTGGCTCGTACGTTGAACTGTTTTCAGTGAAATTCGTGGAAATGATCGGCTAGCTTTTCATAAACCCATGCAGCTCAAAGTGCACTGCCTGGTTAGCAAAGGCGCTGAGCGAAGTGATGCACAAAGATGGGTACTGTGTGTAAGAGTGTTTCTTTTTCTTCCTAAGAAGTAAAGGTTCAGTATGATTTTATATCTTACTTCTGTGGGTTGGAATCTCCATTTTGTCCAAAGATTGACCGTATGTTCATCTTTTCCAACACTAACACGTCTTGCGTATGCTCTTTTAAACGAACCGTGTTAGTCTCGACGTCCTGTAAAAGGATGAATAAACGATACAAGATCTTAACGACGCATTGATTTTACTCAATCAATAAACAAACAAAAAATGCAAAGGAACAAACAGACAAATAAACGCTGAGAATTCTGTTCAAGTCTAACTTTCAATCTTCAAGAAATTACAAATTAGTAAAGCTTAGCCAGTCAATGAATAAAGCAATAAACAAACAAACAAACCCTGAAAATTCTGTTGAAGTCTAACTTCCCAATTTTCAAGAAATGACAAATATCTTGAGCAGTTTCTATAGTAGCAGTCCTGAGGAAAAGTAAGTAAATTTAAGGGGGTTAATTTAACATTTCTTTGCACATATTTTTTTTAGAAAGTGTTGGCGGTTTTCTTTCAAATTATAGCCCTTTACACATAATCACAAGTTAGTAAATACTGTGTACGGCTTATCAAAATTAATTACATGGACTACTTTATTTGAGAAGGGTAAAACCAGCATGGCAGTAAAGAACTTAAAAATCTCTGTGGCGTTCAAGTCAATAACTTGTTCAACTCTGGATCAAGTTCTAGATCTTTCGATTCGCACTGTGTCCTTTTCCGCTCTTCGAATAACCTCAATAGAGTTTTAAACCTTTACGCGTTATTAACATTTTTACCTCAAAGCATTGTTGACCAAAGCTAGTTTTCCAAACTCGTCTCCTTCGTTTAGCTGACATACCACCCCCTTTAAAATGGCAAAAAAAATTAATTCACTTCCTACGAAGTTAGTGTAACATGTAAACAAATAAAAAATATCAATTGTTTTCTCAAACTTTTTTGTTGAGACATCTTCTGCAAGATTATACCATTCTTAGACCTCTTTCCGAAGTGGCCTGAAACGTTTCATCGCAATTGAATATGACAAGATCCGGCACTTTTTTCTAGCGCGCTTGTCCAGAAGTACGATAACAAGTTCTTGTTATACTTTCTATCTGTCCTCTCATTGGCTAAGAGCCTACAGTTAATTTTGGAAATCAGCGCATGTCAACCTATACAAATGAGTCAGTTGTCTGAAAGCGGATTAGTGACTAATCTTATGAGGTTGCGCTCTCAGGGCATGATTTTTAACAGCGATGTCAAACTGTGTTCTCTGCGATTCTGTGTTTGTCGTTATTTTCTTCAAAACAATTTCTATACCAAAACAGTAATTATCAGAGTCGGTTTAATGTGATATCCGGAATAATCAAGGTCTCGGTAAGCATCACCAGCCTCGGCCTTCAGCTCGCCCTGGCTCGGCTAATAACACTTATCATACACTTAACTCATTCCGGATATTACAAAATTCTCATCCAATAACTGGTTAAAAATTGCACGATAAAAAACTTGATTGGGCTCAGGAAGTCAAAGAATGTGAACGTAGTATAAGAAAATTCATTCTTCACGTGACTCAGTTCTTCAGGCCAGGGAGTCGCATTTGATAGATAAGGCCATGACTCTTGAACCTCATGGCCTAAACCGCCGTGACGAATTATTGTAATCCATATCCTTAGTATTTTTCCTTTACAGCTTTTATGTTGTACGTCATTTCTGCCTCATTTCCGTCATTTCCTCCCTTTTATTGCGACATTCTCCATCTATATAATATTGTGATTGCTACATAAGGTCAGTAACATCTGTAAACCTGAAGAAGGCTGCTATGGCCAGCCAAAATATTGCTATAAAAAACAATACACGTTGTTTTAATATCAGCTTTGCAGTAGTCTTTGGAGTTCTCGTTCTTGGTTATAAGATTACAAACATGAAGCAGAATAAGCAAAACTTCATGTGGATCACTGTTTGGATTCAGATTCGCACTCGGATTTGATTTATCGACGGGTGGGAAAGTATCTTTATGTCAGACTTAAAGGTTGTTTCTACAAGCTACATGCAGTTAGAGTTTAAAAATTCTATAAATTTCCTCTGTCTCAAAGAGTGCATAAAACAATTTGTCCATTTATGTAACTGGGAATAGGCGCTGTCTCAAGCCTTGAAGTGAAAATTATAAAAGAGCCACTGAGAAGACAATTGCTGGAAACCAAACTTAAGATTGTGTCCACAGGAGTTCATTTAACGTTGGTCCACATGAGTTAACCAATCTAGAGGCTGTTTACGATCATCGTTTACGTGTGAACGGAAGTGTTGAAAGAAAAAGTCTACATGCGTTTAACCTAATCAGGTTTCAAGCTATCCGAATCACTATTTGGCCAAAAAGAACCAAAATAGCCCCAATTTTTTTTTTTTTTTTTTTGGGGAAATCGAGCACTTTGCTGACTCTATTACCGATGCTAAACTGCAGCCTCCGAAGTTCGGGCATGAGCAGAGGGCAAAATTTTGCTTTCCCTTCCTTCTGTTTCACTTGTTCTCCGTGTTTTTTGGTGGGAAACGTTTTTGCGAAAATTCCAAAAGTCCTGAAATTATTTCAGAAAAAGTACGGTTAGGTGGTCGAAAACACTTTTTTGTTTGAAATTTTCTTTGATTTTACATGGTTCTTGCGTTTTTCTCTGGTCTGTTTGACTATATTGTGCTCATTCTGGCACGTTTTCCCATGCACAAGTTAGCGGTTAAAGTTGTCCATGATTGCTAAAGCTGATGACGTCACGAGAGGTACCAATGCGCATGTCAGACTGTTTTACTGCGGTTTGCTCCTTACCTTTCCATGTACTACCACATTTACAGCGCCCTTCAGGATAATATACCATGATTTCCCTTCTTCACCCTCGTTAAAGACTACGATATAAATTGAGAAAAGAGGGCGAATAGATCATTTTAGCACACTTCTGTCTTTTCTATTTCTTTATGTGTGTTCAAATAAAGAGGGAAAACAAGTTCAGTTGCAATTAGCCTGTGTAGCAAGCTTTACTGTGCGGTTTAGGAGCAAAGAACTAGGAACAAGAGTCAAAGACCGCGCGAAAAATGGCACAAGTAAAAGAGTGGGAAAGGGGTTGCCCTTCCTCTGCCCCTCCCCCCTTTTTCATTTTTTGGTTCTCGTTTTATTTCTCGCGTGGTCAAAACCGAAAATCCCCTTCCACGGTCTTTTTTTGCTCCGAAACCAAACGGAAACGCGTGCTACGCAGGCTAAGTTGCAATAGAATGGGCAAATCAGTGTTTGTCTTCCATGTCACATGGAAAGTTATGTTGAATTGTCTTGTTTTACTAACCTACAATTCCTTTCTCGCTGTGAGTCTCAAACACTATGGCGGCAGCTAGTTCTTTTTTAACCTACAAGAAAATGTGATGACCCCGGCCTTGAATTCATAAGAATCAAGTTTCAACTTTTAGGTTAATTGTTTTACCACATTTCATAACAGACTAATACTTAAGGCTAATGGCGAGGAAGCCCAATGGAACCCACTCGGCTAATTAACAATTATTCCTCGAGCCCGAGTGGGCTCTGAGTCAATAGCAGGGCTATTGACTCAGAGGCCATGAGGGCGAGAGGAATAATTGTTTTAGTAAAATCCAACTAGTTGGTCAAAAATATCGAGAATAAAAAAATTGTAGCTAGTTAAAGCTAGACTTTAATCCTTTTTTGCCGCCAAAACGCCTGCGCTTTTCGCTAGTAGTGGGCTATAACATATAGCCTAGTAGTAGCTCAACCAATCAGAACGCAGCATTGATAATAGACCACTAGTTGGATTTTACTAATGGCTCATATACCATGATGGCTAAGCAATCGGAGCTCTAGAATTGCATTATCCAAAGATTCAGTTCTTAATAATAAGTAATAGCCTTCCTCAGGCAACGACTTCTTACGAAAACCTGAGACCAGCGTAAAATTTGTTTCACCCCAAGCTCGTTCAATTACCTTTCGCCCCATGTAAGGGATTCCGGAATCGTGGCTTGTAAAACTTGGAATCGGGGAAGTTTTTGCTTGTAGAATCCAGATGCTGAGCTTTGAAATCCGGAATAGGGCTCAAAGGAATCTGGAATCTCTCTAACGACCGGAATCCGGGAATCCAAGTTCTACTGACAAAGAATCCGAAATCCAGTACCTGGAATCCGGTATCCACGTTGAGGAATCCAGAATGCAAGACTGTCCGTTTGGATTCGTTTACATACAAGCGCATGGGGCGATACTTTTATAAGATATTTCCTAGCTAGGAAAGGTTTGGTTCCTCATTGAATGGAGTGGTAGTAATGCATAGAGTTGCCTCAGATGAGTTACCGGATTTACCTTGGGCACTGTAAAATGCGCCTTCATAAACTGAACAGAAAATCATTTCATCGTCTTAATCTTACTTTTTCATTATCACAGGAATTCTAACAGATATGAAAGCCATAAAGTCAGTCGCTCACCATTGTCGAGAGATGTTGTAGTGCTTTAATGTGAACAAGCTCTTCATAAATTAGGGCCAAATCATCTGAATTTCTTTCCGAGCAACTAAAGCATAAAAGAGAATGTTTAGCATGAGAATTATCGAGACTCGGAAAAGACACACATCGCACACGGTAAGAAGAATCACTTTCTATATGGTGACACCTGCTATAGCAAAGATTTCTTAGCAAGAAATAAATAGCGTTTGTTGTAATTGTCCAAAAAAGTGGTGTATCATGTGGTGGAAGAACGCTTTCAAAAAGAAAAGACTCTCATTTGAAGCTTAATTTTTGACAAAGGTCATAATCATCAAATTTCTATGGTCAAGGGATATCCAAGAACTAGAGATCCGCTTTTCTGTGAGGAATACTTCACCTTTTTCTCAGCGCCAATCGCAGCTGTGCATCAGGTCCAGACCTACTGAGCATGAGCAGTGCGTCATCAAGATCTTCCTCAGTGTATTCTTCGTCACCAGGCTTCTCGCCCTCTTCTTTCTCATCAACAGCAAACCGGTAAAGAATGTCTTTGTCTTTGAATTCACACTCAGAACCATCGACTATGCATAAAATAGATTATCTGAGGTTATTACGTTCCGTTTGTCTTGTTGGGAATTATAAAAAAAGTATCACTATAGTTGTAATCAGCACTGTTGGTCACAGGGTATGGTCTGTAACTCCTGGGCCCAGTTGTTTGAATGATGGATAATTCCCTATTAGTCGGATAAATCTCTGTCTAATGAATAACGCAATTGGCTTCCCTAATACTTATCCACTGGGTAGAGATTTTTCCGGTGGATAGTGCAATTCAATGTTTGAACAACTGGGCCCTGATTGTAAAGTTTGGGTCTGGGTTCTTTGAAACCAGGGCATGAATTAATTGAGTAAGTTTTTTTTTTTGTATATATATTGTATATTTCACCTCTTGAAACAACAGTTCAGGTTTGACATAGAACAGAGAAATTCATATATGTTGCTTAGATACATAGTGGTACATATAGGCCTATAGAGTGCTCTATTAAGAGTTGATGTCAGTAAGGATCAAAGATCGGGCGGACAGAGCTCAAAATTTGATTTCGCCTATACTTTGTACATTGGTAGGCCCAGGTACTATACATATGAAATCAAGGTTTATTTGGCTAAATATTGTTTAATTTCAAAGAAATTTGATTTTAACTGTAAACGGTATTTTTCGTCGTAATAACCTTGAAAATTGCCAACTTTCACGAAGTTATTGAGTCATTTAGTCGATTGTTTTAAGATGTCTTCACGGATATACAGTTAATCTAAAGCTATTTCAGTCCACTGATTCCCAAAACAACTCGCTAACGCTGCTCACAAAAAATATATGATTTTTTAAAGAAGCACACCAACATCCTTCTCGAATTTGGTGCAATGGCTGGTCAAAACAGCATGTCAGAAATACCCGCGGTACGCAACGAATCACACCAGAAAACCTTTTGGTATTCTTTAAAAGGATAGTTTTAACTTTCTACAAGCTTATATTTTTGGGATCTTTCGTACTTTTTTGACAAATACTTCTTAAAGTGAGCACAATTCCACCTTCCGCCATCTTGGAATGTCTTACATTACCGAAACAGGCGAAACGGAAGTCACCGCTACGGCATCGAACGGTACATATTTTTTCACTTCTTTTGACTAAAGAATCTCCCATAAGCTTTAAGATCAACTAAATTTACCTGTAATCAAGTCCAATGTCAAGAAAAAGCAGCAAGAAACGCACCATACTTCGGCGATTACTGTCTACAATCGTAGTCTGCAAAGACTAAAAGTGACTCCGTGCTGTGACTCGGGCAACGTTTGGACTTTGACGCTCTTCACTGAGTCTCACTTGTGTACCCTTCGCTTGAGCTTTCAATACTCATCCGTTTCAATTTTAGTTTTGATAAGTCTCATTCCATGGGCACTTTTAACTCTCCATCCCGCATCTCGTATAACAATATTCCATTTGTCACGCAATATGTGTGACAAATGAACCGGAAATGAAATTCTCCTCAAACTCCTTTTCGGCATTTTAAGAAACTTTCCTGACTTAACAAAGTGAATCCTTCACTAAACCGGTCTAAATCAGAGGCTGCAATTTTTAAATTAAATTTATGTGGGTAAATTAAATGATCTCAACTTTAACTATAATCACACATATATCTAGAAATATCAAACCGAAACTAATACCAACATTTTTTTAGAAATGACGGAGAAAATGCATGCCTTTGAAAATCTACTGGTTTTCAAATATCAATCCTTCGTTAAAAGAAAAAGTTGGGGTGACTAACTTCTTTTTCGTCACCAGAGCTGCTGTCAGTTTTTTTGCCTGGTCAAAAACCACGCAGTCTGCTAATATGTACAAAGCCTCTGCTGAAAAACAAAATTGGTTCGCAATTCTTTCCCTTATCTTGTATTTGTTCTTGTTGTTCATTGTTCAGAAGCAAGGAAATTCCGGTTAAACGAGTGGGCATTAAAAGTACAGTCTCTTTATCTGAGCTGTGAACTTATGCATCAATTGCAGCTGCGTACAGTCCCCGCGGGCTGACCTCCGGGGTGGTCCGGGGTTGGCCAATGGCCGACCTCCGGGCAAGGCAAAATTTGCTAATGCCCTACCCCCGGGACCGACAAGGGGGAAAATATCCCACAGTGGCCCGCAGTCGGGGGAGAGGGACTAGGTGCAGCTGGAATTGATTGATGCATTAGGGCATTGCATTTTGCCTGACCCGTGGTCCCTGAAAACTTAAGTTATAATCACGTATTTTTACAACCTCGTTCCCAGGGTTCTCTCCTACCCGGTAGGAGATAACCCTGGGAACGAGGTTGGTGTTATAACAGGATACAAGCTTACAATTTCTTAGCTCGATTGTTCTAGTCGATTACACTCGAGCACAAGAGCACTCCTTAACGACCTGCGTGATACGACTTATAAGTGGCTTTTTTCGTTTTTCCGTGATATCATCCACGTTTAAGCCAATATCTTCACAAATGTCCCTTAGCACTGCAACTGTTAAGGTAGATAATTTCTTTGTATGAACCAAACTGCAAATGTTACGGGAAAGGGCGACAATGGGGTGACGTAAAGCAATTTCTTCGCTGACAACTTCCTTTAGGTGCGAATGTAAGGCCTCTGCCTCGACTGCACACTGCCCTTCGTCTTCACTTCCACTTTCTTCGTTCGATGTTGCTGACGTTTTTCGAATCCTTGCTGCCAGTCTTGAGAAGAATCCTGCCACCTGCTGTGGCGAAAGAATATCCTTTCCACTGAAAATACGAGCAGCCTTTTCGTCCCTCACTCTTCGCATTTCTTGCGATACCTGTTGTGGATTTGCCTTTTTACCACACTCCTCCCCGATGAGAAACTGTTCTGTGAGGAACTTTCTTTGTTCTTCTGTAAACTGGGTTCTACTCCTTGTAGTTTTAAGAGCCCATCCCATCTCAAGTGTGGAATGTAGTTTATCAACTGAGATTTTTGATGTCGTGTAGAAGCCAAAAGTTGGAACTTTCGTTTGCTCTCCAGTTATTCTCGCAGCGTATCCTTTTCTGGCTTTGTCAAACAGTGTTTCTTTTTCTAGCGCGCGCTTGTGCTTTCCTTCGTCTAAATGTGCTTGCAAACTTGAGGACCGCTGGAATGTCTGAATACACCCATCTTCTGGGCAGGTAAAAAGGCCGCTTACTTCCTCTTTCTCTTTTTCTACATCCATGTCTTGTCCTGCTGTCTCTTGCTGGTCAGGACTACTCAGCCGTTGTTCGGACAAAGATTTTTGCTGCACTTCCTTTCTAGGATTGATTTTTCTAAAGCTTTACTGCTGAGAGCGGGTATCAGGAGGCTCCAAAACTTCAAGTGTAGCAGGAAAGATACCATCGGTTTGAATGTCCTTCCATGTTACCAGCTTTCCGGGCCCGATGTTATAAGCCTCCCATGTTGTGATACCATTTGGACAAAACTGGAAGTTATTAAGCGTACTAATTCCGTCCCATCTGATCTCGTTTTTGCCAGCAGATAGTTCGGGAGGCTTCACATACTTCACAATAACCCCAGGAATACCGCCATTTGATTCAATGGCTTCTTTCATCTGTGCAGCGTTGTTCACATCGATATGTCCTTTAATTGATGCGGCCTGGCGGTCGGCTTCTCCCTTGCCCCCTTGTGGATCTGAAAAGTCGAACCTCTCCACCTTGACATCAGAAAGACTGTTCAACCTGCTTCCTACAATTGTTGACCCATAATGATAACATCCTGCGTTGTCCTGTTTGCAATACACTTTTTGCAGTTGTGGCCGACGCTCCTTTAACATCTCGATAACATCTTGTAAAATGGCGGTTACTGCAACGCTATCCTGAGGGCAACTCTGAAACAGGTGGACAAAAGTGAGCTTCTCAAGCGGGGCATTTGCTTCTGATCTTGTAAAATCCACTGTGATGTGCCATGGAATACCACGTTTGGCGAACCAGTCACACTGTGATTCGCGAAACTTTCGCGCCCAGTCCATAACTAATAATGCTGAACTCCGACATATGACATCTAACACGTCATGTTTTGCTTGATCCTGGTTAACTGTTCGGAGTTGGTGAGCTTTCCATGCCAAAATGTCCTTTTCAGCTTGAGCCACTAAACAGATACTGTCATCTCTTTCTTCTTCAGACTGAAGTTCTACGCACGCTTCTTTTATGGTAGACAGCACCCCGGTTAATTTATTGCATTCGTAGCAGACCTCATCGTGGTTATGGTTACACTTTCCTTGAAAACAACTATTTTTAGGATCACTTAGGGAAAACGTTAAACAGTGATCTGCAACTTCTGATTCCATTGTAACGTGCACCTAAAATGTGAAAGATTATTATCGTCATCATTATCATAGTTATCACTATCATCATAATTTTTACTATGATTTTTCGTTATTAATATCAGCTGCTTTAGGGTAAAATCTTTTAAAAGTAGTAAAAGAAGTTTGAAACTTATTAAAGCTTGTCCGAACCGCTTAAAGGGCGCAAATTGAAGATAGCTTCCGCTTAATCAATGTTTCGAGGTTTAGCCTCAATACTAGTTAGTACAATGCAGCCAGAGAAAGTTGACTTTCATGTTTATGACCAATTCGCTTAAATTTAGCATCAATCCAGCCAAAGTACAAAGTTAATAATCTACTAAAAGAATAACCAAATATTAAGACAGTCTTACCTTGTAATCAGACCGCAGATATTGTTTGGCAGACCGAAGTGTTTGTTTCATTTCCTTGGCCCAGGCTTGTGACTTTGCTTGATCTGCTATCTTGTCTACTATATATCTCGCTAAGATCTTCTATTGCCTTACTGCCTTGTGCAGAGAAGTTCTAAGAGCCCTGCAGAGAGGTGCGCACTGACGCAGAGCAAACGTCTAGTACTCGGAGTTGTGTGCGCTTGCTCATCGGAGTGAAATTGGTCTCGGTACAAAACTGAAAATACTGTTGTGTTATCCGTTCTGGTATAGATAGATAGATAGAAACTTTATTAAAGTGTCAAAAGCCGTCTAGCCAGGGAACAAATCCCTTACTAATTTGGGGACACCAATTAGGGGAGAATATACAAACTAAAAACTATATACAGTAGTAGGTAAAATATCTATAGTTAACTAATTAAGAGATTTATAGTACAAATATACAGAAGTCAAAATGAACAAAGGCTACAGCCTGCTCAGCCATCATCTAAAAGTTCACTTATATTGAGTTGGCGTATCTTGCTTTTAAACGACGTTAGGGTTGTGACGTCCCTGATACTCTTGGGTAGTTTTGTCCATAGCCTAGGCCCTAGATATCTAATAGAGTGCTTGCCATAGGTGAATGTCTCATATCTAGGTATAGAGAAATCTGCTTGCCTCAGATCGTAATTACTATTTGGTTCTTTAAAGATGTCATGTTACTTATATATGCAGGGCACAGTTTATGCTTTACTTTATACATAAGGATGCACAGATCCTGTAAGCGACTATTTAGTAGTGTTGGCAGATCTTCCTTCTCTAATAGTTGTTCATAACTAGAATTATTATCCTTGAAAACCGCTCTAAGTCCTCTTTCTTGTAGTCTTTCAAGCTTTCGAGTGTCACTCGCTTTACAAAAATGCCACACAAGGTGACAGTACGTGAGGAATGGTAATATCGCGCTTTTGAATAATATTAACTTAGATTTCATAGGAATTAGATTACGTAGTCTCATTAGAACACCAATTCTCTGGCTGGCTTTTTTACAGATAGAGATTACATGCTCAGAGAAATTTAGCTTAGAATCTAACACTACTCCTCGAAGTATGATATTATCTTTAGTTTCAATCACAACATCATTAATTAGCATCCGTACGACGTTAGGTGTTTTAATCACCTCCCCTGTTGAAAGCTTCAGCATCTTTTCTCCAAATGGCATGTCTTGTACAATATGGGAACTTGTAATAAAGTCGAGAAAATGATCAACTCTGGCAAAATCAACCTTCATACGCCTAGTGATATCAGTAGGTACGATCGCACCTCTACCATGTAACAGTCTATGATGCCGCGCGATGTTAAATCTGTAAGGCGTCACCCCGGGAATGTAATGCGTCAGTTCCTTAAGCGATAGTTTATCTGCCAAGATGGACAAAATTTGTCATCTCGTGCTCCAGTGAGTTGCGTTTAAATAGCTTTCTGCTAAGGCTTCTAAAATTTCTTCCTCGGCTTGTGTTCTTTCAGCTGGTAAGCTTTCACCTAATGTGGTCAATAATTTATCACTTTGTCCTGGAGAAATTACTTCAATAACCTCTTGAACACTTTGTTTTGCTTTACGGCTGTACCTTCTCTTTGTGCGCTCGTTAGCACTTTCCCATGGAACGGACAACTTATGTCGAACAGGGCTAACATCACGAGAGGCTAAAAAATCGTTTAACTTTTTTAAAGGCTCTTTTGCCGTGTCTACTTGGCTTCTATGCGGTGTGTTCTCAAAATCAGAACCTTCCAAATCCGATTCTGGGATGAATATACTCTCTCTTCTTTCATCAACATGAATTACTTGGGCTGCTGCAGTTTCCGCCTAAAATTTCACAAAATTAAAAAAAAAATTCAAAAGTCTGAAGTAAGACCCCAAAATACTTCTTCTTCCAGTTTCGTTGTTGTCAGTACAAACATAAAACAGTTTGAACGTACTCAAAATTGGATTCAAACTAGCTACGTACGGTTTCTAATATTACAAGGAAAGATCTTTGTAGTTTGTAGACGTAAATCATAGAATGTCATACTTACCAGAGTAAGCTCACCTAGATGCTCTGTAAGTTCGTCAAAATCTGATTGTGGCAGGCTGCTTTCAGGGGTATGTGCTTGTTTCGTCAGGTTCTTTCGACACTTAGTACAAATCGCTAAAAAAATATAAAAAATTACAAAAATGTTAACCCACTTTTTTTATATTTTCTCACCCGCACTTGCATTTCTGATTTCTTGCTATGCCATTTATCATTTTTACACACGCCCCTCTCTCATCGTTTTCTTTTTCGACCTTGGTTCAGCGTATCGCTCGGCTGTAATTCTTACTTTGCGAACCACAAAAGAAGAAAAAAAACACACATCACAAAAACCGCCAGCTACGTAGACTATATGCGAGGCTACCCTTCGAAATCGGTAAGGCGCAGCTTGGCTCCTTTCCAGAAATGGCGCCGAAATCACAGTTTTTGAGTGTGAACAAAAGCCCTATCCCGGGTTTGGTTTTCTTGGCGGAACAAAGATATCTTGCATAGTGTGAACATAGGGTTAAAGGCCTGTTTATGTGAAGTGAGCCAGCCCGATTAGCCCAGCTTGCCTGCTTTATCCGGCTGGCTCGGCTTATACGCTGTGTCCTTATAAAATTTCTGCTATGTTTATATGAGAGACCAGGCTGGCGAGATACTGGTTGCCTGAGGAGAGATTTCTGCAAGTGGGTCAGTCCGGCTTCATATATTAACAAAACGGAAATTTTAAAGGGAACCAAGGTATTAGCCGAACCATTCCAATAAAACGGGCCAACCCAGCTAACTGAACTGACTCACCATTTTAACGACGGCAGAGATATGTTTGATGTGTTATACGGACGTCATACGTTATAACCAAATGTTTTACTCCCGCAAGTAGTACAAAAGAAGAAGGATGATATTTACCTGAACCAACTGGAATGAATTCACCAGTGGCTTCCAATATGTACTTCGACTGAGCCAAGCTACAACCCCGCTCGGCATTTTTCTTGGATTCTTCACTGTGTCCAGAGAGTTTGCCTGGAACACTGCATACCCGCTTAGACCTTCGCCACCCAATACCCAAACTAGCGCGGTGCAGTGGACAGATAGTCATGTCGTGGATATTTTCTGGCGTTTGGAAACAACCACTGCGGGCTAGAATAAGCTCAATTTCCGTTTCGCAGCCACTGAATTGAAGCTGTTTTTTGTGGCTCGATATATTCTTTCAGCATGATACCAAGGGCACGATTTTACGTGACGCAGTCTTTGACTTTGGATCAGCCCCGCATTCTCCACCGACCAAAAGTGAGAAGGTACACGCCATCGCTCAATATTGTAAGTCAACGTTTACGTTTAACCATTAACTCGGCGCTATTTTACTTCCTTGAGAAATTTACGGTGAAAATTAGTTTTTCGGAGAGAGACTTGTAGACTGAAACAATGATAACACAATACCGGTTGAAAATACGCCAAAGTAATTTAATTATCAAGTGCTGCAAACGTAACTATATTTTTGATGCATCTTGTTTATGCCAGTCTCAATCCCAATTTTCATTTTAAGGGACTTTACGCCAGTCCAAATCAAAGTTTTCTCAGTTTTGAAGGGATCTTTCGCCATAGATTTTTTATTGTTTCAGTTTAAATGCCGCGTTGACAACCGCGAAGTCGCGATGTACTATTTACACAGGTGTTCTGTATTTGCATAATGGCCTCGTGCGGTCAAAAAAAAAAGAGTTCGTGAAGTCCTTTCCTCTAAAGGAAACGGAATATATAGCGGAGCTTTTCAAAGCGGAAATCGCTCATACGTTATTCCACGTTATGTGAAGTCTAATAACGGTGTCAAAGGTCGGTGCGTGACGTGTAGGAAATCAATGTCACGATATCATGCATGGAGTCTCAATCCTATAAGCCACTGCCAAAGTAAAAAATAACGGATTCCCATTTCTGGATATTTTAGGGTATTTAAAGAATACCCATAAAAATCCCAAATTTGGCAAAGTGAGACAAGTCCCAACCAGGGAATTTCCAACCAAGTTCCCTTATTGGGACTTGTCTCACTCTTCCAAATTTGGAATTTTTGTGGGTATTCTTTAAATACCCAAAAATATCCAAAAATGGGAATCCGTTATTTTTTCCTGTGATATATTTAATTAATATATATATAACGTAAGGGCAGCGACTTAGTGATATACCTAGCTAAATCTCACTTGCACTTATAATTTTAGAGTCAATTAATCCAAAAGTAATACGATTTTGTACGGTACTTTCTCGCAGTTTCAATATGGCGGTCATCGAAAAATCTTGCAAATTAGCAATCTTCGGGGCAGTCGTATCGAAAAACTGAAAAAGATCCCAAAGAAATGAAAATGAAACATAAAACATCTATCCTTAAACTGTAGAGAAAGCTTAGTCTGAGGATATATTTTGGCGTACCGACCGGATTTTTAGGCAAGTCTTTTATGTCACTTTAGAGCGATTCAGAAAAGGCAACGAAGTGCCTTCAACGAAAAGCTCTCTACGAGTCATATAAAATAAATTATCAGTCATTATAGACAATATTTAATTGACCAAGGGACAAGCTATTTATTCATAGTAAGAAATCATTTATAGGCTTTACCCCGCAAACTTGAAAGAGTCACGAATATAGTAAAATTTCGGTTCATCAAAGAGGTCATTTTGGTGCAAAACGGACCCAACCGATTTTATTTAATTCCCCTTATGAACGCAAACATTAGACAGAACTAACCCTATTTTGTTAACTACGATACAATACTCTATCAATGTAAAAAGTATCAGCGAAAACGAATTTTGAGCTGTGTCCGTGATTTTGGGATTATCTCTGATTCTTACTGACATTGACTCTTAATGGGTTATCATTGGTGACATTGTGTATCCTTTGTTCCCGGTGTGATCCTTAGACAGGGCACCTAAATTGTATCAGCTAAAATTGTTGTACATGAATGGCCCAGCCACATGAGAAACAAATTCTGTTAAAATTGAAATATCCTTCAGAGTACTAGGAAGAGTATTCGAAAAGCGATCTAATGAATGTTCGTGTGTTGCAGTGTTGTGTGTTTCCCTTGAATAGGGTGTCATTTTTCGTTGTTGGGCCTTAATTAGGGTGTCTATTTTCGTTTTTCTCATCCTTAAATGGGATCAGGGTTTAAGACCTTGGGCGGCAAACACCTATCCTAAATTTATGGGAGTACCACCACTCCCTCGGGATATGGAACGCCACATACTCCACCCCTCTTCTTTTGGGGTTAGTTTGACTAGTCAACCTTACCGTGAGTGATGACTCCTTCTTCCAGCAAGGCTTGCAACATAGCAATGGCATGGAAACGGCCGTGAACTAGTGGACTGATTTTTCTCAACCAATCAATTGCCTCCGAGCCAACAAAGCATCTCTTTACTGCTTGGTTACCAAGCTTTCGTTTGCAGATAAGTTTAGATGACTGCTTCATTCTATGGCGGAGGACCATACCAGCTTCTGATAAGTCTTTAAAGGGGCACTGTGAGGTAAATATGGACACCATATAAACGTTACAGTCTATGTAACGTGATGATTTATTAACAGAATGAGGGATTACACTTATTTTACCCTACATTTAGGGAGAACTCAGCTAAAGCTCCGGATCTGATAAAATGAAATATAAAAAAAGCCTATTTCTTTTCGCATTCAAACCTCGACCGATGACTGTGAGGTAATTATGACTGACTGACCATCCTGTAAACTATTTTATTGGTCATTCGTTAACCAGTTCTATTGTTTTCCTGGCAGTATGGAGGATTTAGAAAAGCACAGACTAGCAAACATTCATGCGGTACTCGCGCGCAGTTAAACTATATTAGCTACAGGCACCTACCGTAGCCGAGTTGTCGTTATCCGAAGCATTTCCTTCAGTGTTCTCCTCCTTCTTTTCTAAAAAGGAAAGAGGATAACATTTATAACATATTTATGGGAAAATTAACCACTACTTTACAAATTATAAGTGAGACTTTTTGCTGTTATACCTTTCATTCCAGAATATGATTTTAAAGACGAGGTCGTTGTTATCAGATGCTCAAGGTACGACTTGCTTCGCTGGAAGAGAAACATCATTAAATGTCAGCAATCGTGGCAAACCTGAATTTTTTCACGTTTTCTTTTCACAACTGCATAATATAAGTTGCAACTTTAACTGTGATGGTCTTCTTTGCATTTATTTCTTCATTCCGAAGTTCTAATAAAATGAAATTCATTATATATCATTACATCTTCATCTTTTTCAGATATAGTACGAACCAACTCGCTAAACTGATGACCCGCAGCTGCCCCCAGCTGGCTTGCTTGCTCAGCTGGTTACTGAGCGCTGCACCGGTGTATACTAGCAGAGGTCAGGGTTCGAGTCTCGGCAAGACTGAATTTTTTTGGCAGCTACATAAGTTGCGTCTTTAACTGCTATTGTCTTCTTTGCGAATTGCATTTATGTATTAGTATTATCTGGCATTATCCATGTTATCCTTATAAGAACTGAAATCCGCGGAATAATTAAAGGAGGCAGTGTGAGCCCAAACTTTTCACCTCCCGTACGTTGCATTCCCCCGGCCAGCTTTCGCCCCTTTTTTTTTCAAGGTTTCATCCCTTAAGCCCTTTTTCTATGGCGAAATATTAATTCCTTTTAGACGTCCGCACCTCCCGCTCTTTCTCTTCCGCCTCCCTGTGCCTCTACCGTCCCCTGTTCTCTCTGTTTCCCACCCCGCTGTTATCCCCCTGTGAAATCTTCAATGACGTACCTTCCATATGACCCGAAAATCCCTTTTCTCCACTAGTAACAGCTCACAGAATTCACTAGTGATAACTGTCGCTTGCCTGTAGATAACAACAACAATAAACTTTATTTGAATCAAGCTTTGGAAAATAGACCCGTTTGAAAATAAATGTCAGGAATACAGGGATAGTAAGACTAGGAAGTGTGGCCGAACTGTTAGAGCGCTAATCTTAGCGTTAATCCCCGTGTACTAGATGGATTTTTCTCGGCAGGCCCATGTACAAATCCTTGACCACACTTGTAAAAATGGACAACTTCTTCGCCTCCGTACTATAGTTGGGTTTTTAACTAAGTTGTGTTCAATCTGAATTATTTGTTTCATTATCCCTAAAAAGCTCCGTAAGAAGAGAGCAGTAAATATGAATTTGTGTCTAGTCACCAGTCTTAGTGTGATCCTTTGTAGTTCATTTTTTTTTATGTTACCAGGGATTTGTTGTATATATTTCCCCATTGTTATTATTATTATTAACAATACCTTGGAGTATCATCCAGGACTGACTCACCAAACACCTTCCCAGGCCCCAGGCTGCAAATGACCTCCGCATCCTGGTGTATTAGGTTGATAAATAAAAATTAGTTTATGCACAATTATCTTCATTATTTTAACTAAATGCGATCAGGCAGAAAATGTATCTATATCATATGTATTTAATAATAACAGTGACTGCCACGATGACTTAGGAAGATATACTTCGTAATATCCAAGTGAAAGCTAAATTTCTTCTTTTGCTCGGCGTAACTATATTTAATGCCCTAATAACAACAAGGAAGAATCGAGCGGGAGATCAGATGAGGTGAGGAATATTTGAGGAGCAACTGACTTGTTCAATCCCGTCAGCCGTCCCGTTCGCAGTTTTTGACACTTTTATTATTGGCAGTATGGTTATAACAGGGACGCACGCCGGTACATTTCTGTCGTAAACTTGATCACTGAAACCAAGTTTAATATAAACTGAAATAATTTAGGTTCACTCGGATATAAGGCATCTCCTGTCAGATTTCTGGGTTCGAGGTGCTGGAACATCCGAAACAGTACCTCGAATTTCCCAGAGCTTGACACGTAAACATCAAGTGTTCCTGATAGAACGGCGTACCAGTAGCATCCAATGTCCCCTTGGCGAAACACTATTAGATAGAAAAGTAATGCAAAACCATGAAAAAAAAATTATGAAAACATTTTCCGCGAATTGCTAGCAGCCGATGCAACACATAGGATCCACTCAATTGGTAAGTATGATAACTTTATCCAGCTATGATTTACTTTTAAGCTTGAAAGACGAACTTTTCAATCCTTAAAATATCACTTCAACAATAATTAGCTTTGAGTTCATTTCAATAGTAACTAAATCTTACATAATCCACTGGCATAATTCAGTTCTGTTATAGATGTCACGCCGGGCATTGTGTAGAAAACAAGAGAGCTGGGCAACCATGTTAGTGTGCAGAAAATTTTTTTTAAGTAATTGTAGAGTAGTTTTCCGCTTTATAAGAGTTTCATGTCGGCACTTCTCACAAGCTGAAGTGCTCGTCACCACCTGCAGTCGTACTATTAACAGATTGTTTAAAATCCTGGTTCGTTTTCCTTTAAAGCGAAGCTCTCTCGAGCGCGAGGCGGAGCATCATGGGTAAGAAAAATAGGTTCTCGCCAAATCATCGGTACGTCTGTCCGCCCCTTTATGTTAGCATATACAAATTGCGTTTACAAACCTATATGATTAAATGACATCTGTCAAAATAGGCTACCAGTACCCGCTGACCAGCTTCACACGACTTTATTGCGGGCTCAGGTGTACAGCTCATTGAGGTGACGTGTTTTTTTAAGTTGTTCGCTGATCATTAAGGTTTTCAATTGAACGCAGGCTCACAAAACTTTTCTTTAACAAGACTGTGTTTAATAGTGCTCGAAAGAGATTCGCTTTTAGCCTTGGCTAAATCTATTTTTAGTGGTAATGTAGAGTTACATGGAGCTCGTTTTACCACAGCGACTTAAATGGGAGCTACGTTCGCTCAAAGAGCCAATCTTACTTACAAGTAATTCTTTCTTCCAGGTCTTGATAGTATGCATAGTAACAGAGCTGATGAAGTACCGTCGTGTGAAATCGATCAAAAACTCGCAGTTCCTATGAAGAAAGAAGGCGATTGAAATCGGTTAATTACTTTAACTCTATTTTTACGTCTCAACTCTTTCTGAATCGGCTCACTCAAATTCGTGTAATTGATCGAGACTTGTTTAAAAGACTCCCTTTTATTATCCACTTACTGCCTATGGCATATATTGTATCTTACACTCCCATAAAAGCTCGATTACGTAAGAAATAAAACCAACTCGCAAAATTATTACCTACTCCCATTGGTACAACTAAGTTGCTACTTACGCTCCCTCTTCTGTGCAAGTAAAAAGACGAAAAGCTAGTCATTTTCGCTGGAACTATCATGGCTTGGAAGCAGTCACATTTCAATTTATCCTTGGCCTATATCAGTCTCGATTCCCTTCTTTCCAAACCGTCTTCCACTTACCTATTTTTTTTTTTCTCGTTTCGCCCTACATGGTTGTCCGTGTTTTCGCCTTTAGTTAGCCCTCGAGTGACGGGGATGCGTGCTCGTTGGAAAATTCAAATTAAACCCCTAAAGGGAACCAATGAGGGTGTGGCTCAAACTTAAACTGACCCCTCAGGGAGATTTCTGTATGGTCAGTGTCAGGGCATAATTTGTAAATTTCTTTATGCACAGTACTAAGCGATACCTGACTGTGTAAATATATAATAGCTTTCAGTCCCAAACACCTGAAGTGAGACCAAAATCTGCAATTTGCACCCCAAAGCGAGACGACGAACATCCCAGTCCCTTCTTTTTTATTTGAATCAATCTACTTATTTGATTAACGTGTGTGTTTAGTTCCTTATTTCACTTAATACATTTAATTTTCTTTGCGACGTTCTCTTAATTACGTAACCCATATGCCTTAGCATTATTGTGCTCACATTGTGGGTGGGTCCTCCTAAAATGTTCTATACAATTTGTTTACGATTTCAAGGAGTCGAAACGAATTGTGGAAATGGACACGTTTTATTAGCTCTCTGAAAAACAGTTACGGATTATAGGTATTTCCAGAAAATATTTGCCGTCTTTCCTTTTTGAATTATTTCATCCCTCGACAACTTCTTTTAACAAATAGCTATTGTGTACCTTTAGTTTGGCGTGAACGATGTCCAGATCTTCACCTGTCCTGTCTGCAGGTCTAAATGAAAAAGACGCCGTTATTGGTATTATAACACGAGTGAGTAGACCTTTAAACGTGCTTTTTTTAATGGACAGCAAGGATGTACTCGCTTTCCCTAATTTCGATGACCGTTCTTTTCTTGCGCGAAGGAGTAAAGTCGCACGATACAATCGCACCATGGTAAAGATAGTGATATCAACAGGGGTAAAGAGCTAAATAGATAAAACAGATATGCCTGTGGAATGGAATGGAAAAATAGTGCTACGCTGACATAGTCGAGGTTCCAGCCAATTGCTAAGAACTGGGAGCAATGGTAACCGTTTGTATCTATAAACTGATTGGTGCCGAAGAAACTAAAGTCTTATTACCTAATCACGTAAGCTTATTCGTATTATAATTACGGGTAGCCATTTTAGGCACTCAAACACTGGCACTAGTTTTAATTAACTTTATTCAAATACTCCAAAGATGAAGTAAAATTCTACGGTACTGAAATTCATCCGAAATTTCTAGGGCAGTTTGTAATTTCTGAAGAAGTTTTCAAAGATGTATTAATTAAAAAAAATATATGAAATTTAAATTTATTTGGCCTACGTTTCATATCCGTACTAAACTTACTAGAGAGATACGGAGTCGCGTTTACGGGTAAGCGACAAATGTCAGATTCAACTTGACAATTTTTTGAATTAGGATTGGTGAGCAGATAAAAACTGTGGAAAATATTTTTATGGATGATTCGGAATCGAAACTACTATTGCTTCTCAAGATATAATCAACAAAGACGAAAAGTAAAGGAGAAACTTGGTGCGAGATTAAAACTGACTTTTGCCGTCAGCGTGATTTTAATAGAGAGATTAAGATTCACGTTTACGCCAAACGGCATACGTCAGATTCATGTTAAGAATTCCTCCGAATAGAAAATAAGCAGATAAAAAATGTCCAGAACAGTTCTTAAGTATAAAACTGGCGTGAAACTACTTATTTTTTAGTTGAAGTAATAAACACTTGTCGACAATTAAGGGAAACACTTGGTCACGTGGTACAGAGTCACGTTTGCCGTTTGTCGTAAACGTGAATCTTAATCTCTCTAATCTCTCTAAAATCACGTCTGACGTCAAAAGTGTTTGGCCAAGGTTAGTTGTGATAAATGATTTGAAATTGCTTAAGTTTAATTGTTGATATTATTGCTATATTATGGAATTGGTTCCTAATTTAAAATAGAAGTTTCTAGAAAGGTTCATTATTCCAAGTTGTCTTTTACTGATCAGTTATAGTCGACTATCAAAGTGGTATTATAAGATTTTTAAGTATAAAATGCACCGCAAAATTCCAGCAGAAACTAGGTGCCATGCCATCCAGTTCGTTTCCTTTTTCTTTTCGTAAATTCAGCAGGTTGGGCCAGTATTCATCTATGTCTAATTTGCAATGCTCGGGTAGTTTTCAAGAGGTTTCTTTAAAACCCACAACAAAATAAAGCTATCAGTTACTGTCGAGTGAGCTGTTATTTGGAGGAGCGTAACAGACTTTCTTTTGTGTAAATTATTTTATTGTAACGTTTAATTGCAACGTAAAATAAAATACAAAAAATTTTAAAAAATGAAAACACTATCATGTAAATAAGTACAATACTACATATTAAGTTGAACTATTAATATCATGATAATTATACTCTGATTGTGCGGGTTATGTTAGTTGTTTTGACTTTAAGACTTGTTTATTGGAAAGCAACTAGCGTTAAAGTTATACTGTTCAAATTAACCGTCTCGTAGGTTCTAAATATGCGTCTAATCATGCATTTTTTAGTTGGATACAGGAAGTTGATAGGCCTCGACTACAATCATCAAATTTAGAACAATCCCGATTGTGTTATTGTAAGAGCGATACGATACAGTCGGTCGAACTGGCGACATGATGTAATAAATTCTGCCTGGATCAAAGAAAAGACGAATTAAGTTTACATCAAAGCAAAGGAATTTTAATTGTACTAATATTATAATGTATGCAGATTCCTGTCATTCAGCTGGACTTTCGATTAAATGAATTTCCTTGTTACATGGTCCAAATCAGATAAGATATTTTACATCTCTTTATTTCACATTGTTTTTTCCTTTTCAATTTTTTATTCAATCTAATGCAAGGTTTTTTAGCTCTTCGATTTTAACTATTTAATTAAATTGCTGATGTTTTAGAATTTTATACCGTATTTTCGGAGTAATGGGGACCCTAAAGGAAATTGTAGACATTCTTTCCTACTCGTATAAGTTATAACTTTTACTAGTTAATGAGATAATGGCCCGTCCTCTAGGAATAACGATGTACATAATACTGAAGTAATAGGAACAAATAAGAATATCGAACTCACCGTTTTTCAAGACAAGATATCCACTCGGCTACCATGGCTGAGTTGTTGAGCCAAATACCAAAGCAAAAAACAACAGATCGCTCCTTTTCAGGGTCGTTTCGATAATTGTAACTTTACACATCAGGCCCACATGCCATGGGATCGAGTCAGTTCGCTAAAATGGTCTGCAAGATTGCGACACAGCCAAAAGTTCACGATGAAGATCAAAGCATCGCGCATTTCAAGCTGACCAATCATCTCATAAGATATTGAACCGCTTTATATCAATAACATGCCGCTACAAGAAGAAGAATCCATCTAGGCGAACACGTTTCGTTGCAGAGGGCCGTAGTAGTTTAGGCTTTTCAGCGTCGGAGGTAATTCTTTGTTTGCTTTGTATGGCACTTTTATTCAGTGCTACAGTAAACAATAATACGGTTGGTTGTTAATTGAATATAATTGTAAACTTGGTTTGCATTTGCAAATTGGTCACGCTGTCGACTTTGTCGATCGTTCAAAAGAGTCTGGCACTAGTAAAACTAGATGGGTGACAACTGGTTACATCACTCAGATTTCGGGAAAGGGTCCTGCTAAATCACGTGGTACAAAGACAAACAATAAGAACTAATATTATGTCCTAGTTTGTTTTGTTCCGGTATTTTTTTTTTCTGCTTTCCAGTATAGCATGTGACTGGTCTTCTGTAAAGGGCTGCAAAGTGTAGTCTTACGAATCAAACATACTAACAGTTTTGACTTCACCACTGTATTACAAAGTTCGCTACTGCCTCTCCATTTTCCCAACGAAAACCCGATAGCAGAGAGCGAACGAACGCGAGGATAAAGGGGTACTGACATAATGACTGTGAATTTGAAAATTGTAAAATCGACGCTGTTCAAAAGAGTCTTAACCGACGTTTCGGCAAATGAATGCTGCCTTCTTCTGGGTACAAGACTATATACCATTAAAAAGTTTGTTAAGTTAATTTAACGAACTTTTTAACGGTATGTAGTCTTGTACCCTGAAGAAGGGAGCATTGACGAAACGTCGGTTAAGTCTCTTTTGAACAGCATCGATTTTACCCATTTCTGAATTAACATTAAGTAACTACGCTGCGCGGGGATTTTAATCTTTGTTGCACAATATTAGACTATAGAAATAAAGACTCCCTCGCGCTCCTCTTGACACGTGTAAGGTTTACGCGTTTATCGAATAAAAACATACGAGACAAAAAGGAGGACTGTGAAAATGAACTAGCATAAAACTAACTGTTTTCTTAATCGCTTAGAATGAAAAGATCCTTTGAGATTAAAGATTTTCGTCAACTTTGTCAAGAAGTTGTTTGTACAACTGTGACTGAAGAGGCAAACTTCTTCAAGGTTACGTCTGATTGGCTGTATCTCAGTACAGGCGCAGTGTGAGCGCATCTCGCTGGCCGAGAAACTTTGAAAAAAGAGCTCTTCCAACTCGATTTATTAACAAGTAAAGTGCTGCCATATTATTTAGCAGCCGGATGGTTGCCAATTTTCCAGTATACTGTTGAATCTAGAGTCGTTTTATTCCCTGCTTTAAATATCAGTTGACATATAAGGATACATAACTGGCCACCATTTCAACCGCTTCCTAAATCAAATAAAACAATTTAAGCTCTGTGAAGATCAGTGCTACTTCCGTGACATAAAAACAGATAAAATGAGAGTTAAACTGATCTAAAAATACAATAATGATTAAAACTAAGAAACATTTTGTCCATGGTCTCTGAGATCGGTACGCGTAGTCTATGCCGATTTTCGAAAATTTTAAGGGTTAAGTTCAATGTGGTATCAGAGATAACATGTCGCACACTGAGGCTAACACTTGTCCAACTAACCAAACGGAATTTATTACCAGAGCCGCAAAGGACAAGTGTGCAGTAAAAAGGCACACGATTACTTCAATCGTCTCTTTAAACTCGTGACGAAAAGAAGATTTGGAGCTGGAAAATACGACGGCTCCGATAGCACAGCAAATTACCATGACGAGAAGCAGGGCGCTGAAGAAACCAACAAAAGTGATGGGGTAAAACCACGACAAGCTGGGCGTGGTCATCGTTGTTACGTCATCAAGGCAGGTATGGTACGTGGTTATTACAGCGTTAAGGCAGCTGAAGTTAAAAGACTGTGTGTCGGCCATTTGGCTTCCTGTATAGAAACAGTAAATAGAGTCGAACCTCTCATAAGCAATTATTTAGCGGAGTCTGGAAGGGGTATCTCGGTATGCGGGATTTGACCCTAAATAGACTGCGGGATTCGGAAAAAAGCCAAATTTTGCGGGATTTGAACACTGCTCTGGAGGCGGGATTTGCGATAATCTTGGCACGAGATGCCGTATTGAGAAAGAAAATGGTATTTGGGATCGAGATGACAGAAGTTCGGGATGTGGGATTGTCATGGAAACGGGATCAGACCCCCCCCCCCCCCCCCAAGCACCCTCCCAGACCCTGTTCCAACGACAGGTGTTCTTCCAAGGAGAGGTCCGGACACATCTACTTTATGGAAGATAATTTACAACATGCAGTCTCAAAGTTACGATATATGTGTAGTTCCAGAAGAGGAGGTCGCTTATGAGAGGTGGTCGCCCACACGAGGTTCGAGTGTAGTTATAATTGGGGACCCTCACTGACCAGATTCTGTCTAGTTTTCACTGCCCTCACCTTTTCATTTTCAGGCCTGAACTGGAATGCAATGGTTTTCGAGGAGGGAAGATTCCCGCAGTGCTCGGAGTAATGAGTTCTGGGAAAAGCTAATCGATCGAACATGTCAACAGTAAAACAGAACTCAACAGTCACTCCGCCGATTGAATTCAAAGGTCAGCACGATTGCAGAGGAATGGTATAGACTTGTAGTTTTCGAGCCCTCCTGGCTTGCCAACAAACTGCTCACACAGCGTATAATGTTTTCGTGGCCCGTGATACCATTCAGTACAATTCATAATTTGCACTGGTCGATCGCGAGCTACTGGCAACCGGTTATTGTCATTTCTCTAGTTTAGAGACCCTGTACTGGTAACGTCTCAGTTCATTACTATAGATATTAACTATGCAATTAAGAATTCAGAAAATCTAGAATATTACGTACATACCTTCGGTTCTTGTCTAAGTATTGCCTGTAGTTGAATATGCGAGCTTGAGAGCTTTCGACTTGCGTTGCTTTTGGTAACAACAACGTTTTTGCATCGACAAAAGGACAAAAGCAAATGTTTGAACGAAATCTACAAATTTTGCCAAGAACCTGTCGCTTCTTTGCTTTTCATAGGTGTCCTACAGTTCACTAAGTGTCTGGCTTAGACATCTTAATAAAAATGTGAAATGTTTTTGAAAGTCTCCAAACTCCAAAATTAATTAATTTTATGTAATTGTTTGCAAGAACCGACAATTCACCAGGGGCACCCAACGACTGTTTTCAGGAAAACATTTGTTCGGAGAAGCAAATATTGCCTAGAACTTTCTATTACTTGAGGAGGGCTAATAATTTCTAGACGACCATTTCATTCATGCAAAATTTTCGATGGGAAGCTTGTCTAATAAATTCCCTACGATTTACTGAAGTTTACATGATTTTTCACATTTCCCTGCCCAGATTAGGACAAAAAAGGAAACCTAAAATTTTCGGATTCAAAAAATGTGATGGAGTAATCAGAAAAATTTTCACTTTCCTAATATGCTAAATTGTATCTAAAACTTTCGGAATAATAATACTGAAGCCCTTGTAATTCCCCTGGAATGACTGAACAGATACTAGCGCCGCTTAGAATGCATCTCTTCTAGAGATCGAAAAGTACTCTGGAAAGCCTTAAAAGTGTTTTCTGTGTATTGAGGAGGAAACAGTCGTTGAGTGCCCCCGATTTACGGCTTCCTGCTAACTTTGAAAAAAAGTCCTTCGTCCAATTTGATTCTGGCGCCAATCAAGTATATATGAAAAGTCCTTCGCTCCGGGCCATATACTCCCGAAGGAAGAAACAACTACAAAAACGTTTAAACCAGCAATATCCTCAAATGTTATATAGCTGGAATTTTTCCTTCTCGCTGGTTACTTCGTGGTCACATGACATCTAACAATGAAACTGTTTCTCGCCAAAATCTTTGAGGGGGCAACTCGAGTCTCATTGAGACTCTCGGGAAACAAGATTCACTGTTTCCCCCGGGAGCAGTCATTAAGTGTTTATTATTTCATTGCCGTAAGGTCGCAATGACAGCTTCCTTTGGTAACAACTCAATTAACAAGCCCACAATCAATACAAGTAAATAAGCAGCTAGTGGCACTTACTCAGTAACTAAACAAATTACAAAGTCCTTTCATTCAATTAAGTTTAACGTGAGCCGTTATTGCAGAAACAACACTTGACAGGGGCTTCAAGACCAATTGCTCTTGCCAAGTTCCTGTACGGCGTTTTCCCAGTCCCTCTCGGTCAATTCATTTCGGTTACGTATCCGAGGCCACGTGACCCCAAACGCTTTGGCCGCGCGGAATAATGAGGCCTAGGAACTAGGCAACAATTGCTTCATTAAAGGAAATCCAAGACATTCTTGGATTGTGGATTCCACGCCGTGGATTCCGGATCCCAGGTACTGGATTCCAGTCTTTGCCAGCGGAACTTGGTCGTTAGTGGGATTCCGGATTCCTTGAGCTGTATTCCAGATTCCAAAGCCAAGGATTCCGGATTCGACAAGCGAAATTTTTGCGGATTCTGGAAACCAAAGGCAAAAATTTCTCGGATTTCGGTCCTATTTGGGCGAGACCAAGTGCAGAAGAAGACTTTTATAGCTTGTAGTTTGTTTCCCATTGTAGGTCATGCGATAATACTCCAGAGAACTGTTTCTTTCAATTCGTCTTATGCACGTGCATTTGTACTAAATACTGTTTTAGGAGTACAGTCAACTCTCTCTTAACGGACACCTCTATAAGACGGACACCTCCGTAAAACGGACACCTAGAGTTGGTCCCTGCTTTTCTTTACTCCCCTTATTTGACTCTCTATAAGACGGACTTCTCTCTAGGACGGACACACAGTACTGGTCCCAAAGGTGTCCGTCTTACGGAGAGTTGACTGTATTTCACTTTAAAAGGCATTAAGGCAGAATTTATGACAAACAAATGGGCTATTTCATTGGGAAAACAAAACATACGACCTGAACGTCTATTGCTTACGTAATTGTCTAGAAAGATATACACCACACTTTGTTTCCACCATAGAACCGTACCCTGAAATATTTTTTATTAACATTATAAACTGATTGACGGTGTAAATTTACAAAAGGTCTTGCCAAGTTGGAATAGGCTATAATTCATACCGCATTTCCCTACGGACAGGTCTAGCGACAGTTTTATTTATTTCAGTTTTGCAAGCGAGTGTAAAAGTTGATCATACCATGTCATAAATTTGCGGACGCACGAGCGGAAGGAAGCAACTTTCTCCTTTCGCGCTGAACAGGCTAAATTTTATTTTAATCCTACTGTTAAGAAAAGAGTACTTCCACCTTGATTATTATGTCGTAAAAACCGTGGCGTACAACCATGTAGGTGAAAAGTTATTTCGTCGATCAGTCACAAAGAAGTACAAAAAAGATCAAAAAAGGCCAACCACTCGAAACATTGCTCTCAACTCCAAAGTACCCGAGCTTCTGAAGATTATTTTAATTTCCTCAAGTAACTAGACTTTTCATGCTTCAAACTAATGGTGGGCATTTGCAGGGATTCTTTGGGTAATCTTTTCGGAACCTCGTGAGTTCAGGCTGCCTGACATCGACAGTTTGCCTCTGGTTAAGCCGAATATACAGGGTATTTAATGGAGAACTTTAGGGAACAGGAGTAGGGTGCTTAGGCAACAACGATGGCGACGGCTACGAAAACGTCACTTGAAAAGTGAAGTCGTGCTGCTTCAAACTTTATCGTGCTTATTCCATCTCGTTGAGTCTGTCAAACGTTGGCAATTTTTTCTGGGCGTTCAGGAAAAGAAAAATAAAGTTGTCGTCTTATGTTCACGTTCTTCACAAAACGTGAAATTAGGCATTTTCACGTCGTAGTCGTGCAGTGACGGCAAAGGAACGTACGTTTTGCCCATCTCAACCTATTGCTTTCTAACCGTTCCCGTTGACATCGCCGTCGCTCCCTAATAGGGACCTTAAGATCCGAGGACGGCGACGGCAGAGAAAACGTCGCTGAAAAAGTGATTTCGCGTTCTTTCAATCTTCATCACGATTAGTCCAAGTCACTAACTTTGTCAAATGTAGGCGAACCCTCCTAAAGTTGAATTCCTAAGAACCATATCCAAGTTCAGAAAGAGAGAGGAAATTTAGTCGTCGCTTGTGTACTTCCTCTGTACATCGTGAAATTAGCCATTTTCACGTCGTAGTCGTGTGGTGACGGCAAAGAAATGTACAAAAAAGCGTGATGCACGCGCAGAGTTGTTGTTTTGCTCATTAAACCTATTACGTTTCTACCGTTCTCGTTGACGTCGCCGTCGTCATTGCTTAAGCTCGCTATTGTTCAAACCATAACGGCCCTTGAAGCCCTGGCTTAACGGGGCTATGTAACGAGGATATTGCGGTTTTAGGTCAATTCTTAGCTGAAGTTATTACTTAGTACCTTCACCGCATACACAAAATGCTCCTGTAGTTTCGTTGCCTAAATATAGTCTTAAATAAAAATTGGACAATTGTTTTTTGAATTCAATTGATACAAAGACAGGTAGAAAATAATGGGATATAGACCCTTTAAAACCAACCAGCAATAACCGCGATTTTTGATGAACTAGTACTGAATTCTAATTCTGTTTCCCCCCTTTAATGTTTGGACACCTTCTTGCTTTTACAAATGTCGCAGGAGTGCCCGGGCAGTTTAACTGAATCTTACTGCTGCCCAAAATTACATGTACACCCTCTTGGAGAATGTCATAAAATATGCCCTTGATGCAGGTTACAAACATACAGTTCAACTTCTTTAAGTATAGAGTGATTATACTTGAACCGTGAAGCAGATAATAACAACTACTGCAAAATAAACAAACGAAGACAATAGAACTAGCGCATAATAGTTCGTTGTATTCTACTACCTATTTCACGGGTCGAATAAAATCACGGCTATTGCTTCAATATTTAATTGACGTCTTTCTTGCAACAAGTATTCACTAAGAACTTTCATGGCCCTAGCGAAATACAACCAATGCATTTTTAACGTGAGTTCACCTTCCCAATGGGGATCCTTTTTCTAATCCGGCCCAGGGGGTGGTTCAGGGAGATTCGACTGTACAGTCTAATATATCACTACCAGTAAGAAAAATTTTCAAAATTACTTTTGAGGTCCAAGGATAAAAACATTTCAACTGAGTCAGAGTAGTCATGAAAGTGAACACATTCCACTGCATCCTGAGATGACTTGTGAACCGGCTTCTGTCAGTTTTACTCCACCTGTGGCACCATCTTTCTCCCATAAACCTGGTGTTTGAATTATCTGTACAAAGAAATGACAGTGAGGTTAGTCTTTGGAAACCTGAGCTGGGTTGTTCAAAGCGGGGTAAAGATAACCCCAGGTTAGTGCGAAATTTGAATCCAGATATAAAAGCTTAAAAAGCAAATCTAGTTTAACTCCTTTGGTCCGCAATTTGGTGATTGGATGCTCTAAAAGGATAAGGGGCGTTTATTTTTAGATAAGGGGGTGTTTATTTTAGAGTGAGCGTTTATTAGATCATTTACGGTATTTGTCATATTTGATCGTCTTGTTGACAAGATACGGACCTCAAAACCATATTTAGAAGACACATACCAAATAAGGTTATCATTGCCAGTTTGTCGCATCTAGATACGTTTCGTTCACGTTGTCAAAATCGTGGGAAACGATGAATATTCGTTGGGCGAAGACAAAGTTCAAAACAGAATAGGAAGGTTCGTATCCTGTTAAACGTATTCTTATCGATCCAATTCCGTTTTTATGTGTTCCCTACCCCTGTTTTTAGTTCTTTTCGATGCCGTCGAAAAATCTCCAGGTTTTTTCACCAAACCTCGTGGTTTTTTGACCTTGATCTCCAGGTTTTTGGTCTTTTGGGGTTGAGAATTTACACAAACAGTGCAAAATACCGTTTCAGAGTAAATCAAGAACAACTCGCGTTGTTTAAATTAACAATAATTTTTTGTGCTTGCCTTTGTTTTGTGTCAGCTCCATTTATATCATGCAAACTTATTAAACTGGTATGTACTGAATAGTCCGATGCAAACTTCTTGCTCTTGAATGTACTGTTGAATTAATTTTCCCGTATTCTTAAAAAATGGACACCCTGAAGGCCTCATTTTAAAATTTTCTTCACCAGAGAAGTTAGCACGGTTATTTTTATTGAAGGAGGTTAAGCAATCTCCCGATCGCAAAATATTGAAACTTCTAACATTTGATAACTTGTTTTCGTCACTACGAGATCTTCGCTAAACCCGTAGTAGAACTATGACGACGGCTATCACATTTTCCCGCCAAAATGACGCTGGTTCACTCGTTCTCACGGTCGTCCTCAAAATCTAAAGGTCTCTAAAAGTTTAATGATGGTAATATAATTACAGACAAGAAAACTCCCAGAATGAAGTTATATAGTTACCTTTTCTACCAGTTCTTCAAATGCAAGCTGCACTCCTTCCTTTGTTCTTGCACTGCATGAATGAAACAAATCACAACTATTAATGTAATAATAACTTGGTTAGGTCGTGGGTTTTAGAGCAAGCGCGATTGAGAAGTCGAATTTTTTTTGTTCCATGCTGTGCAATTTACGATCAATAATGTTTAAGCCTTTTACAATCAATCAACCATTGTTTACTCACCTTGCTTCAATAAATAACATAGAATGTCTTCGAGCAAACTGCAAACCCTGTTTCCTGTCAACCTCACGGCCTTCCTAAAATGTAACAGCAACATAAATATTGTTACATGTAATCACCACCATGAAATCCATGCCTTGCTATCAAATTTGTGATACCCACAGACTAATTCAAAAACATGCACAGAATCTACAACTACTAGTATCCACAGGCGGAGTTGAGAGCCTCTGTAAAACAGACGTTTCTTGCATTGTAAAACTACTTTCTGCAAAATGGCATCACTTCCACATGTACAAAAAGTATAAGTAACTTCCACATGTACATGCACATGTAGTAAAACTAGTGTCTTAAGGAATGATATTGCGAAAAAAAGTGCTAGCAACATTAAGCTGCGTGGTTTTAGCCAATCAAAATTGAGATACTGACACACATGCAAAACAATACTTGTTGTTACAGATCTAAAGGGCTCAAAGAGCCAGTGCTGCAATGAATTGAAATTACCTTATCTATTTTGTTGCCAACCAACATTTTTATTATGTCCTTTTTTGTTGAGTACATTTCTACTTCATTTAGCCATTCTTCCAGTTTATCAAATGTGTCTCTGCTGCTTGTGTCATAAACTAAAAAGAAAGTAACCAGAGTAGTAAGATAATTTTCAAAATAGTGCAGCATACAAAAGCTACTCAAGTTCAAATCAGCATCAACTAGGCCATCTTAATAAACTACCGAACTTTCTCTACTAACAGTATAGTTATGTATAGTTTTAGAACAAAAATCTTTTAGTACACACCCTATTGACGCCTGTACTTCCTTAGGCCGGGAATCATCCCATTAAATAAAATATGACTGTGGGGGTAAAATTAACCATTGAAAAACTAAAAAAACTTGACCTTTTAAGCCCCAATATCCACACACATACACTGTACATACGTACACTGTAATTTCCAAATCCCCAACACATTTCTTTAAAGAACTAGTTGAAAGATTTTGATAAAAGGCCAAACAATTTTCCCTTTGGTGATCATTTTATTACTTCTTATAGCCTTTTCTTCTGATGATGTATGTATACGGTTAGGAGAAAATTGATGTTAGTCATTGTTGGGACTTAAGTTTTAACCCCCACTATAGCAGATACCTCCCAGGAAGGTTAATTCCTGAATTGAATAGATAATATCCTGTTAGTATCAGTGTTTTGTCGTATATTATGCTTCAAATTACTATCACCATCAAAGGAAACTGCATGAATTAAAGGATGCGTTCCTTTAGGATGATCTGGATCAGGGTCAGGAATCCGAGATCGCTGAGATCATGGAAGATCAAATAAACCAATGAATCCACTCTGCACAAGGATTCATCAGTTCATTTGATCTACCATGAACTGAATGATCTCAGTTCACTGATCCTGATCCTTATCATCCCAAAGGAATGCACCCAAAATGTATCACTGATGCAATTTTACCACAAGTGCTGTGTGTGGCTACTTTCTGGGCCATTTAACTTAGCAGGCCCTTAGAGCAAACATGTTTGGTAGTGTGAGAAAAGAGGTTTTCATAGTGAGAGTTACATAGTGCAAGTGTCTATTATAAAGAATCTTGGTACAGTGTACATGTATTTATTCAGAATATATGGATGTGTACTGTGTATGTCTGATGTTATGTATAGAGATTGTGAATAAAGAGATCACCAAAAGGCTGTCAAGAGAATACACAATGATATAATTATTATGAAAATTATAGAGTTAAGTAACTACCTAAAATAACGCCTTGTGCTCCTCTGTAATAACTGGGTGTCAATGTTCGGAAGCGCTCCTGCCCTGCAGTATCCTATGGTACAACAACAAAAACAAGCTTTTTTTAAAATCTTCCTTTTCTTATAAAAGGACAACGCTATTTAATATGCCAGAAATTAGCTTCTGTGCTAGTTGAGATGGGCACAAGAGAAAAAAATATTACAGAAAAAAACAATTTATAATAGAATACAAAACCAAACATGCTCTAAGTATGTATCTAATTACAGTGGAACCTCGATAAAACAAACCACTATATAATGAAGTCCTTGGTATAATGAATGATTTTCCTTACCTCAGTAATAGTAAAACATATGGAAAAGTACCTTGATATAACAAAACCTCGTTATAGTGAATAAATTTTGCCAGTCCCTTGGCACTGCGTTATTGAGGTTCCACTGTAAATAGATTGAGTTCCAAAACACCGACTTGTTGTTATTAACGCCTGTACTTCCTTAGGCCGGTAATCATCCCATTTAATATGACTTAAATAATGCATCACTCAATATTGCACCAGCTGTGAGGGTAAAATGGTTTATCCTGCATACAATAATTATCAATTATCCCACGAGATAGCCAACGAGGCAGGCCATCTGATATTACGCGATGGTACGATTTCGCACAATTGATCTCAAATTGCATCCGATCGCAAAATTTGAGGAAAATCGCATAATTCGCAAAAAAATGCTAAATTCAAGGAAAGTAAACAATGAATTCTAACTTTAATTAAACATTTTCCCATTATCTTAATGTTAGTTAAGGTGATTTACCACTAAAGAAAGCCTTGCAAGGCATCTGAAACCTTATCGTGGTAGCTGGCCAGCCATTTTCATTTCAGAGACAAGCTGTGTGGTCAGCGGTGTAACGGTGTCATGTAATATTAATCAAGTGTCCTTTTTCTTTTCCAGGTCAAAATAATCGAACAAATTTAACTATTTTGTTGTAAAATAGATGTTTTATTATCCTTTACATTAAAATTGCCTGTTAAACCACATTTAAGTGGTTTTTCTCCTTTGAAACCTGGTAAAACAATGTAAATTAGCCCTGAAAAAATCACACAATTTATCACATAATAGTCCTATCTTATCACACAATCTACCCTAAAAATATCGCACGATTTCTGATTTTTTATCACACCCTATCAGATGGCCTGACGAGTCTTGAGCGCCGAGTTGGCTATAATCATCTCATATCCAACAAGCGTGAGTGGAATAATTGTTTTATCAAAAACGCCCACAAAATATCGAGAATTCTTCCCGACTTTATTTGTAAAAAACAGCCGATTTTCAGCTTGTTTTGAATTTTGTGCAAATGCGTACAGTTACCGTCTAGAGAGCATGGTATAAAGGCTTATCCAATGATTCAGTTTTTAATAATTTAAATTATCTGGCAGCCAAAATACACACTGTAGGAATGAAGTATTTACCCAAATAGCGAGTTTTGCCTTGTTGCCATCAATAGTAAGTGTTTTAACTTTGAAGTCGACACCTGCAAATCAAAGAAAGCAAAGTTTGAGTTACAAGCGGCTTCAATAATAATATTACTAATAAAAACTTGTTGATAAGTCTTATCATATATTTAAAATGCGGCTGGTTTCAAGTTGTGTTTATACATTAAAACTGTGATACTCCTCATTATGTTGTTAAAATAAAACAATTCACAGGGAGCACATGACAGTAAATGTTTATGTAAATGTTTATGAAGTGGATGAGATGAAGTGGATGAGACAGAAATAGCGTCGAAAAATAGCCAAACTAAATATCTCACTAAAAGAGATTTTTCAGAAAGAAATAAGAGCAATTTTCGGCTCTCTCTTTCTCGTGTTAATTGTTTTCATATTATCATCAATTACTGCCACCGCTTTTTTCGAACCTTTTTGTTACTAGTAGCAATATTCATAATTATAATACTAGAAGTTCCTCGCATTTCCGTTCTCATGCCTGCCGAACTAACACCAAACAATTTTCTATTTTGTTCCAAGGCCCTAAAATTTGGAATTCTTTACCAAACTCAGTCACTTCGATTTTTACATTGCAATCGTTTAAAACGAAAGTTTTTGATTTTCTACTATATCGATAATGCGTCTTGTACTGTCCGTTGTTGTGTGTTGTTATAGTTCTATTGCTTAATATTATTGTAACGAGGGGGCCTCCTCGTACAAGCCTTGTGGTTTTCTGAGGTCCCCTCGCCACATCTTTGTATAATGTAATGCTTGTGTAATCTTTATTGTGGGAAAATAATAAATAAATAAATAAATAAATAAAATGTTGAGAAGGTCACTGCAGTGACAGAGTTATGCATGTTAACTGAAAACCATGATCTCTCTTATTGCTGATTTACCTGAAGGAAGGAATTAATTGACAACAGAAAAAAATCACGAAATTTAAACTCTTGGAGCATGGCAGAGAATTACAGGTCCACACCATGACAGGTAATAATAATACGAGAAATAAGCCCCAGTTTATTGGTAAAACTAGATGGGAGGTGTATACGTAACAAATTTCTGCAACATTTCATGAAATACTGTTGAGAATCAATGCTGCCTGTCTTACCACCTGCATGAGCAAGTCATCATGCAATATTTTTCATTATCATGTACAGTGTAGCAGCTGAGTAACAGCTTTGTGGTTTGAACAACGCAGCAGCTTGAAACAATGAAAAGTTGTTGCTTTTGCAAGTTGTTCCCATAAGCAGGAGGCAGTCACACTTTGAGGTTTGACTGTGTCTGCGCATTTTGTTTTTCACATTAAAGTGCAGTGTAAGGATTTCCTAAAAAGATTAATTATTTGCTGTTTTAGCTGCTGAAACACAGCATACACTGTACAAATGCCTAAAGGGGTTGGGACAGCGATACCTTTCTGGTGGGAAAATGTTGCTTTAACATAGAGGAGGTTGTGCCAAACCTTTAGCAAAAACACATGAATTTCCCTGGTAAACAGCCCCCAAGGATGGCACTGTACATGACCCACTCCAGTACTTACCTATTGTGGCTCCAATATCAGGATCAAACGTGTCGTCAGTGAACCTCAGGAGTAGGCTGCATAAAATTTAGTTGAAGAATTTTGCAATCATCAATTTAACAGCCATTTAAAACAAATCCTTAACATAATTTAAAAGTAAACTATAGCTTTATCTTAAAATTATATGTTCAATTTTTCCTACAGGGCTTACATGTAACACTGCACCTCTATAGAGATTACTTTCATAAAAATTCGTGCCCGTTTCTACGTAAAAATTATGTATAAAACCTATAAAGCTGGACTCTGCATCCTTAACCACTGGAATGAGTGATAAGCTTACATAAACGGTTGTCTGAGGCAAATAACCTATTAGGTTATTATTACAGATAAGTTCCATGTTTAAAACATGGAACTTATCTGTAATAACCCTATCAGCTTACCTAGATTTTCCAACTCCACTTTCGCCAACAATCAAGATCTTCAGCGTCGTGAGAACGTCGTTTTCCATCGTCCCAAGAAGCACTCCACTCTTGCAGAGCGTTTTGATTCCCCAGACTTTTAACTTACTGCTGAAATCAACTGAAATATTCCGCTATATTTTCTCATTTCGTCATTGTTATTTTCTACAGGAGACACGTCTTTTGTTATGGCGGAAGACCGCTGACATTTACACAAGAGGAGACGAAGGGCCTTATGGGGCATCTACCAGCATATTAATAAAATTCCGCTTGATAGCGAGGCTTAGACTGTTTGGAGAACCATGTTTACTATGTTTATTCATTTTCTTTATTTGTGTCCTCTAAGAGACGATTCGCAACGACGATAGCGCAACACAACGTTGCAACAGTCGTTTCGAATGGTTACAACATTGTTCCAACATTGCAGAGTGTGTTGTGCTGAAAATCGTCGTTGCCAATCGTCCCGTGTGACATCACCCTTCTGAGCCCGGTTTACTCTACAGAAAATTTTGGCACGGCTCGGGTGAAAATGGAACCTGTCCCCACCGGTCCCCCAAAAAGGGTTCGGCTGGGATAAAATTTGCAATGTAAACAACCTGAAATAACCGGTCCGCACCAAAAGTTCGTCCGTGCCGAACCAAAATTTTTACTCGTGCTGGGACCTTCGGCGAGGTAGTCCCAGCATGGGTGAAAATGGTACGGGTGCTGAAAAAACGGCACGGTTCAGATAGAACAAGTAGTGTAAACACTTAAACGGGCCAAATTTGAGACTTAATTCATGTAAGCTAGCGGTTTTCTTGCGTATATTTCAAGATGGCTGCTCGTTTCTCTAACAAAATCACGCGGACGTTCTTGGAAAGAAAGCGACGTAAAACAATTAATGCAATTATGAAAGAAGCGACCAAGCGCTTATATCGATGGGTGGACTGGATTTGTCAACATTATAGCCGCAAGAAACATAAAAAGTTTCCTTGTTTTCTTCCTTTTTTAAGGTAGAGGATTCTTGCCGGGAAATTTTTGCCAACTTCGGTGTCCAAAGTTGAGCTTTGAACTTTGTTAAGAGATGCAGCACGAAGGCTTCGTCGTCCATCTTTGCTTCCAATTGAGCTTACGTGGGCCCAAAAATTTTAGCACGGAATTTTTGGTACGGTAAAAATGGTGTAGAGCTCGGAAACAAAGTTTGCCGAGCTCTTTTTTGGCACCCGTGCCAATTTCACCTGAGCCGTGCCAAAAATTTTCTGTCGAGAAGCGCTGAGTAGCAACACAAAGAACGGCAAAGCAGAACGTATCTAAACTCCCTAAAATGTAGACTCTCTCAAAGTTCTTCATAAAACATCTACCACCCGCGCTTAGCACCGGTGAAAAAATTTGAGCTCGACGTGTAGGCAGAGTCTAGCTAAAATGCTGAATTTTAATGTATCGAAAGTGGCCGATTGAAAGAGTGTTTTCCCTCACGTGGCCAGTATATATGAGTAATAGTCCACTTTCGATATATTAAAATTCAGCTTGAATAACGAGTCTCAGGGGACACAAGCAAGAGAGAGACACCTGGCAACGAGGTTGGCAAATTCATTGGAACAAAAGAAAGCATTTACATAAAAAAAGCTTGAGTTCAACTCCAACAGGATTCCGGTTTGGATCATCAACATGGCCGCCGTTTCACTGTTTTGGAACACCAATATGGCCGCCGTGACGTCATGTGAAAGCGCCCTCCGCCTGAATAAGTCATTTCCAAGTTCCAAAATCTCTCACTTTCAAAACGAGGCTAAACAGCCATTCTTTCGAAATCTTACTGTCGCGCTTTAATCTTATTTTTTTAAAATCCCTAATATGAAATGGTTAAAGAATTGTTGTTTTTCACATGACGTCACTAAAATTCAAACTACAAAACTATCGATCCTACTGAGATTTTACTTTCGTGATGTAGTAGACCAGCTAAAAACTTATTTTCATAAATCGCCTTAAAAGGGTTCTTGGTTTTGTGATAGAGAACGCTTGAATTTCTAAGCTTTTGCGTGACGCGGCATTTACATGACGGCTGAGAGAGCTGTCATGTAGGTTAAAAAAGTGACGTATTTCGAGGAAGTTTGCTATGTAAACATTTCATGTATTAAAAAAAGTATTACTTTAATGTCAAGAGAGAATGTTTCATGTTTATGAGTTTCTCGCGGAATAAATTCACGCTTTTGTACCAATACTCGGTAACCAATATGGCCGCCGTGACGTCATGTGAAAGCGCCCTACCGCCTGAATAAGTCATTTCCAGGTTCCAAAATCTCTCACTTTCAAAACGAGGCTAAACAGCCATTCTTTCAAAATCTTACTGTCAAACTTTAATTTTAATTTGTTAGTTTCCGTCCGCTATGTTGGTGCCCATCCAGGTGGGAATGCACCAGCCGTTCAAATGTGTTGTTTCTTTTTGGCACTAATTGCACCACATTAATTTACAGGAGCAGGAGCAAGTTTTCCCTCCGGGACAGCACTCAATGAGTGAGGCTTCGCCACACTCGGGTCTGAACCCCTTACACTTTTATTTAGTCGAGCTTGCTTTAGCAGAGCGAGACTAAGAAAATGCAGGCGTTTTTTTCCCGTGTGTCCGTCCAGGTCAGAGTCCCAGGCGTTCTTAGCGGAGACCGTGGAAACTGGCGATAAGAATCGTGACGACTTTCATTGCATTTAAATGAGTCTCGTGATGAGCATGCGATTTATTTCGACGATGACTAAGATGAAGCACTTAGTTGATCACGTTTTGGCTGTTTGGCAATGATGTAATTTTACCCGAATCAAGGCCCTTGATTTTCGTGTAATTATACACGCGTATTAGTATAGGTAATGGCATGATTAGTAGTGATATTTGTCATAAATACCACGAGTGATATTTCAAAATTGTTATACGTAATTTCACGAGCCGTTAGGCGAGTGAAATTTGAGACAATTTTGAAATATCACGAGTGGTATTTATGCCAAATATCACGTACAAATCATGCTATTATTTGTTTATACTACTACCCGCAAAAGGTTTGTAATTTTCACATGTAGGTATTTCAAATTAAGCTGAAATACCACTGCTCTAAGCCAATCAAATTGCAGTAATTTTTCATGTAGTAGTATAAAGAGGTAAATACCCTGAAAAATGCTCGTCTGTCGATAAAGCAGGATTTGAGAGAATATTATAGCGGAGAAATCCTGTTTTGTGATCTATCGCTACGTTTCTCAGAACATTGACACAATTACTGGAACTAATATATGGTCAAAGATAATCCTTCTCCGCGATCCAGTTAAATTGCAGGAAATCAAATAGTGAAACCATAGCCCAGTTTTTAATAAGCTTTCTTAAACTGCCTAGTATATAAGTGTAACTTAGTATTTCCTTTATAAGGTGTTACTAAAAAAATTAATAAACGTACTGTGACTCAAAGATCACGCTGCACTGAATTCAATCAAAATCCGGCAGTTGTCCTTTCTCTTATCTTTGACATCCACGGTCATGAAATGATTTCAGTAACGTTTTAGAGACCATGCGATTGAAAAAACGAATTGATCGCGTCACAGGCTGCCCAGTCTCTTTTGAAGATTCGTTTGACACCTTCTTATCGGACGTAAGATACCCTTTTTTGCATGCCGGAGAGGCTGCTCATTTCCAGAGAAGGGTATTCCCTATAATGGCCTATTCTGTGCTACATGTAAGTTGCAGAGGAAAACAGATTGGATAAATGAAAAATATAGTGTCCTGCAAGCAAAACTCTCGCACTGTCTAAAACTTATTTCCGTCGAAAAGACATAAATTGTAGTTTTGGGTACCTGATCAGCAATGAAAGGGACGAAAAAACAAAACAAGTCAAACTAGTAAACCACTATTCCGATTTTCCTGAATTTCAGTTTTATCCGTAAACCTGACAGGAGCCAAACGCGGAACTAGAGTACACTTTGATACCATTACCATTAGCCTGTTCAAAGACCCCCTTTTTTCCGTCCGCGTCGAGTGGGCGTATAAAATAGCCACCGGGGGGGATTTATTGACTGCTAGCGCAAGGGGGTAGCCGGGGGAAGAAGAAAATAGAGTTCTTCTTATTTCCTGTGCTCGCTAATGTTGTGGAAAAGGAAAAAAAAAACCGTACGTATGAATACAGGCTACATCATCATAAAAGCACGCCCTCCCATATCCCGAAATCACGTAGAGCTAGACGTCCGATTTCTGTTGAAGTACGTTCTTCCACTTGGATGAGCGCCATACATTGTAAATCTGTCAGAGAGCCCATCCACCTTCGAAGGACTATCGTACACGACAAGGTCTTGATTTACTCCAAGAGTAAAGGTAGTTTCGCAAGGAAAATTTGCTGGGATAATGATTTTGAATGTTTCTGGCTGTGTGTAGTTTAGAATGAATAAATCGTTGATGCCGTTGAGAAAAAGATGGATGTGTGTGTCCTTTATCTTTGCTTCCATATGATTTATACCAGGGACTCCCTCAACCAGGAAAACTCCAAGAAATGGCTTTGTATCGGGAGGGTTCACAATTTTCTGGATAAAATATAAGATGAAAAACATTACAACATTTTAAATTTGGATTAAACACAAAAGTAAAAGGACCGATATGGGTGGAATATGATCGGCCTCTTCCCTTAACTTCTTTCTGCCTGTACCACTTTGTTTCAGCGATACAAGTTAAGTGGTGACTGTACATGTCTAATCGTCATTAAGAGCCCTGGCGTAATTCTTCAGGGACAGTTTGAAGTCACGGGCAAGTTTCATATTTGAGCCTGCGCATTGGCTACCATTTGGCAGAAGGAAGCAGCTATCTGCCCGGATGAAGGCTATACATACCAAATAAACCAACTCAACGCTCGAGTCGTCTCCCCGTGATGATGTTTTGTGTGATGCTATCACAATGCTAGGCTCGATTACCAGCCGCTGTTCGGGAAATGAGCCCGCACTCCTCCCGCGGAGGAGGACCTAGAGAGCGGCGGAGATCAAGCCTATCATAATGCCATCGAGTGCAGTACGGGTTTCATAAGGAGCTAAGTGTCAATTCTACACTTGAGACAAATGCAATAGCCTGAGAAAACAGGTTACATTTTGCGACTCTTACACCAAAGGTTGTTTCCCACGAAATGGCGTCCGAGAAACGATCGAGCGCAGAAGGTCCATACTGTTGGCGTGCCACTCTAGCTACCCAGATCTGGGTAGTGCTAATCGTCTTTAAGTGAGTCCTTGCGCAATTCTTAGCGTTATTAGTTTTGTTTCTTATATCTACGTGATGGCTATGCTTTTGTGGATTATTTGAAAAAGCGTAAATGCTTCTCATTGGCTGCAAATCTACATAAGCACTACTTAGATCTGGGTAGTGACACGTCATCAAAATGGAATTTCTGCGCTCGTTTTTCATACGTTATTTCGTGGGGAACCACCAGTGGCGTCGCGAAATGGCGGTTGTAATTTTCACATGTAGGTATTTCAAATTAAGCCGAAATACCACTGCTCTAAGCCAACCAAATTGCAGAAAAAAACATGTAGTAGTATAACGTGGGGAAACCACTAGTGGCGTCGCGAAATGGCGGCTGTTTTCTCAAGCTAAAGAGAGAAGGGAAAGAGAATTTTCCGAGTGAGATCCTCTCACTTTTCAACTTAAGCTCCCCCTCAGTCCATAAAAGAGAAGCTACGCACCTGTATTTGGACATTATTCAGAGCTTCCTTAAATGCAGGGAGGATCTTGGTGATAAAAGTGCTTCTCACTGTGCTGGCGAGTTGTCGAGCTCTGCAGTTTGTACACAAGATGTTCATTGCTACAGAAAAGTAAATGGAAGTCGAAAATGTAATGCACCAACAGCACAAGTACACCGCAAATAATATAATGATGATAATAGGAATACATGTATCGGAACTGCGGGATGAAGAAAAAAATGCAAAGAAGATCATCCCAGTTAGAATCGCAGCTTATGCAGTTGCAAAAAGAAAGCCTGAAAATTCAGGCTTGCTAAAAATTGAAACCTCACCTCTGAGATACCGGTGGCAGCAAGCTAACTGGGAGATGGTCATTAAATTGGTTTGAAATGGGGAAAGATGAAAACGAAATGATTTTATATGTTGAAGATGATCTTCTTTGCAATTATCTTGTTTGTATTTATTACACCCCAAGACTATTTGCTTCCCTGAATGTACGTGACTTCATTATGTGTAAACTCACAGTTACTAAACTAGTCTGAAACTAATCATAGTTACTTTATTTGTTCTCAGTAATTGACGTTTAACTATAAGACCTCTTATATCATGAAATGAAGCTGCAATATCAGGATTCCTAAATATAAGTGATATGCGTGCATCTACGTGTATTGCGAGCAGTCTATCGTTTTCTTCACATCTAGAATAGTGAGGGTAGTGCACGCCTTCAGACACGAGAAACGAGGGAGGCAGCCCGAGAAGAAAAAAGATATACTTCTCCCATAGCCAGAAAAAATGAATTATGCGTTGCTGATGCTTGAATCGTTGATAACAAACTATCAACAATCCGTCAAAACGATTTCACTCCTCTCCCATTTCGCGCCTTCAGTTATGCGCGTGGTCGTATCTCGCGCGTTTCGCTTAATTAGGTGGAACTGCTCTTGGTCTAGCATCTGCAAACCTTCAAAGAGCCCCGAGCTTTTTCATGTTCTAAACGTGACAGACCGTCTTACAATTTCTGTGATTTGCTTTCCAACGATATTCCTTTGTTCGCAAACGTCTACACACGGCAGTAGCACTTATAGGTAGGGTTCCTACTCCTAGCATCCAAGGTTTTTTTTTGCCTGAAAATTTGCTTTTCTGGACAATAATTGCTAGCAATCTACTCCGCTTTGATTGGCTTAGAGGTCTTCTGCGAACAAAAAAATTAGATAGTCTGAATTTTAATTTACTGTAACTCAAGAGCAACCTCGTCCTCAGGACTTTTGCCTTAGAAAATGGGAGGGGCGGAAAACGTTTGCCTAAGGGAAAGGCCCTGGGGACAAACTTGGTTGAGGGGAATAAAAGACCTTACGCGACAAGAACCTTGACGTCCCGAACGACAAAAATGACAACCGGAAGTTAATATTTTCGATCTCTCTTTCAGTGCTCTCACTCGACAAATTCGTACAACGGGGGTTCTATTAAGGGAATTCAGATTCGTTGGTGAGACAGAAACGTTCCATTAAGTGAAGCATCGACCTTCCGGTTGCTATTCACGATGTCCGGGAGGTCAGTGAGTCTCGATGCTTAAGCTCGCTACTGTGTACTGTGTCTTTTAAGGCTCGTGTAATTCAAGCCATACACGGTAGCTTTGCGAGCGCACTCAGAGCACAAGATGTGGGTTCTACAGAATATTAAGGATCCTTACCAACTTTCATCTCTGGAAGTATTGAAACAATTGAATCATAGCCATAAATGTAGCCACTTTTCTCTCTGATAACCATGTCATCGAGTATTTTCATTTCCCATGGCGTTCCAACAACATCACCTTTTCCATCTGGAAGAATGTAACCTAAAGTAAAGAAATAGATATAGGAAGTTAACCCATCAGTCAACATAGCTAATGAAATGTAAAAATGTACAGATGGCTTAGCAACTATCATCAGTTCAGTACCTGGCGCAAAAAATGAATCCGTATACCCTCTAGGCAGATATCTGTTGCTTGATCCGTCTCTGAAAAGAGCTATCTCCAGCTGAAAGTGAGCATGCAAAAATAAAACAAATGAAGAATTAAATTTCTCAAATTGTTACCACCTAGTAACACGACAAGACAGGAGCTGATTACACAGGGTCCAGAGGAGTTTCGTGAGAGAGATGTGTTTGTCGTTAGAACATCAAAACCCGTCGAAAACCTCTGAAAAATGGGTTATTTTGATCGCGTTACAGTTTCGTTACACATTCTATAGACCGCAAATAAAGAGACTGAGGGCTCGCAAGATCGGCTTACAGTATAAAATACGTTTTGATTCTCGAATTAGCAGCGGTCTGTTGCTTTTGCGTTTCCCGTCTCATTCACTTCCGTCACCGAGTGATGCGGTTCACAGCAAACAAAGTCACGTGGTACAAGTTTCCTCCCTTGACCGTTTTTTTACTCGGCACTTCGTGCCTCGGTCGCCCTTCTGGCGACGTGCCGTGCGCCAGCGAGGATACGGCTTGCGGTTATTGATTTTCAAAATGGCGAACAACAAAGTCGATCTGGGTCAGGTAAGAAGCGAAGAAATCGTTTACAGTAGATTCATAAAGATCCCATTGGGCTAATTAATCGTGCTAAGCGACAGGTATAGACATTTTTAGTAATTCATTTATTCACACGAAACTCCTCTGGATAGTGTGCTGATTACTACACGAGCGAAATGGCTGGCCCCGATGAGGGTTGTTCAGTCCTGTCCGTGCACGAACTCTCTGAAATTTCAAATGTCCTGGCGTAATTAAAGTACAAAAATGCCTGTTATCTTGTTGCAGAAACCTCTGTGCCGAATACATAGTAACGTAATTGAATTCAGGGAAACATATCATATCCACGCGCAAATTTTTCACCAGGGTGTAAAAATAAAAGAACGAGGGAAGCACTGATGTCTTGCCTCCGAGGGAGGGGGACTCACATATAAATGTGATGGATGCTTTTCATCTCGTTGGGGTTGGTCTCATTTAGGGTGTTAAGGGCGGAAAGCCAATATTTTTTACCCATACGGTTACCCCTAGATTAGGGTTGTGAGTAAAGAAAGATCTCATAGGTAGGTTGAGAATGATCGTCCGGGTGAACTTAGTCCTGAATAGGACTGTTGTTGGCAGTAAATGACGTTTCGACAACCTGTGCGGTAGTCATCTTTAGAGCATCGAGTTGTATCACGTCAGTTCAACTCGGACAGGTTATTGACCGGACTGGATAATTAAGTCGCGATGTAGTTATATATTAGCTTGTCTGTCAGTGACATTCATAGCATATAGCCAATAACATCACAGCTTAACTCACAGACGACCGATAATTGACCAATACTTAATTCAACCAATCAGGTCAGTAACCAGAGTTTAATACCATCAACTGACGAGATGCAACTCACTTTGACTCTGAAGATGCATTACCGAACAGGTTGTCTAAACGTCTGAGCAACTGCCAACAACAGTCTTATTCAGAACTACACTCACCGAGACGATCATGTTCCACCTAACTCAAATGTCAGACTTTTGGTTTTAAACCTTTCACTTGCAAAGAAAAATCTTTATACAAAACCAAATGCTGTCATATTGTGCATGGTTTCCTTTGGGGTCTAATTTAGCCTGATTTAGCGTGAGTAGTTATAATTTTCTGACAAACACCCCCATCCTTTTCATATCGGAGTCCCACACACTCTTTGGTTTTTCACCTTAGCTAGATCTGCTACAGTGGAGAATGCACCACCGCCTGGATTTAACCAGCCCCATTCTAGAACACGGTGGAATTCTCCTTTCTTGCTTAAGTAGCCAACTGGAATACTCTGCTTAAGACTGAAAAAATGGAAACGAAAAATAAGGTGTTATCAATTTAGTATATGATGACCTTAGATTTAGATTTGATTTAGATAACATAGCATTATAGCAAATTTTAAGAAATAAATCATATCGTAGTCATTGCCATTTGGAGTAAAAAAACTCAGACTAAATTGTGGATGAAATAATGTGTATATGAATTTCATATATTGGAACAATGTTGGAACTGCGGAGTGAAGAAATGAATGCAGAGAAGATCCTCGCAGTTGAAGACACAACTTATGCAGTTGCAAAATTTAATTTCATGACCAGCTCCTAGTTGGGTGGCAGTATAACACAGGGTTGGGGTCGGAGTCGGGGTCGATGCCGAGGTTTATCTTTTTTTTTTTTTAAAGAATGCTTTTTTAGGGTTAATTAGGATAGGGTTAGGGTTAGGGTTAGTGTTATGGTTAGGGCTAGGGTTAGTGTCAACCATAACCCTAACCCTAACCTTAAAACAGCGTTCTTTTATAAAAAAAGATACACCCCGATTCCGATCCCGATCCCGACCCCGCGTTTTACTGACACCCGTCCCAGCTGGAGGTCAGGGTTCGAATCCCGGCAGCCTAAATTATGGAGGTGGGTAGTAAAGTCGTTATGCAATTTGCGTATCCTTTTCAGTTCTTCGAAGACGTCCAAAGGGACACCTTTCCAGACAACATCAGCGAAATTCGGTTAACCATGCTAGATAGAAATTTAGGGAAAGGGTTTTATCATGGAATTTCGTTCGGGAGGGATCGCCCTTCGTTAGTAAGTAGTAAATTAAGTGCTTAATAACACATTATTTCACAAGAAAAAGCTTACACGTTCCTTCAGAAGCGTTTCCAATTCATGATTTTTACATGCTGGGGTCAATTTAATAAAACTTTTACAAGAGTAATTTACGAGTGTAGCTATTTTCTTCAGAGTCCAAAACAATGGCTGCACTTGTAAACTATAACGCATTGTTAAAGGAATCACAAGACAAGCTTTCTGATTCAAATGTTACGGTGTTATTATTTAATTTGTTAAAAAGGATTTTTCATTATAGATTACTGTAAATCATATCTGGAAAATCCTACCTCGCATCCAAATTGATTGGGAAGGTTGTATCTGTCATTCCAAGGGCGGATAACAAATTGTCTCTCATCCATTCTTCAAACCCGCCACCAATTCTAAACCTTGTACCCAGTACTTGGCCGAGTAGTGCAAAACCCAGGTTACTATAAAGGAAAAGTTTCGTTATTTTCGTTTTCAATCAACCTCGTTCTTTTGGTGTCCCGCCCCAGTGTTATCATTTGATCAAAACGGGGGCCGTAACTTCAAGCCAATGAGGATCAAGGATATTTTCAATTGAACCACAGCTCATTTCAGTTTCCATCGTAACTATATCACTGCTCAGTGCAGGCAACAACTTCAACAACAATGAGCTTTATTTTATAATTTACTTGACAAGTTAACTTTTATTGTATAGTATTACAGTATTTACAGAATCAGAGTACTGCAAAAGGCACAAATTAAATTCTTGATTCTTTGAATACATATTAAATAATAAGATGTTAAAATGAAAAAAGATCGAAAAAGAAAAGAAAAGAAAAGAAATCACAGCTTATTTTCAAAGATTCAAGGGGTACTTATTCTGGAGATAAGTTTGTCTCTCAGTTCATACCTCGGGGGTTCTCTTTTATACAAGCCATATAGGTGTGTCTCGAAAGGAAAATCCAACTTTGTGTAATGAAATTGAAGAATTAAAGAACAAACTACAAAAAGTTACCGACGACCTGTCAAAAATTAACATGGCCGACATGCCGAACGGGAATTGTCACCAGGAAAAGCGCATTCAATTGAATTTACGTCAAGCCAATATGGCGACTTCATCCGCTTCAAAGTAGAGGCTGAGAGGCAAATTCAAGAGCTCGTCTCAAGAGTTACGGAAATTTCAATTCTGTGTAATCATATTAGGAAATCCATCGAAGCCTCAGAAGCATACAGTTATCAATTCAACATTAAGAAGCGTGGTGTCAGGTGACAAGGACGTTTATATCATGGGTGATTTTAATATAGATCTACTCGAGTGTGAATCATCTCAAATAAGCCAGGATTTTTTACTCTCTCTTCAAAGCTGTTATCTTACTCCAACAGTGGACAAACCGACGCGGGTTCATAGATCTTCTGCTACGTTGATTGTTAACAATCCTGACCAACTCCTCGCTAGCGGAAACATAATTTCTGATATTAGTGATCATTTTTCGCAGTTCTGTATCACAACGTCAGCGAAAGATAAACTTCAACAAGGCATGACCATGCAATTCCTTTATCTCTCGAAGCTAACGAACGTGCTTCCAATAACTTTCTTTATTGTGAGTCCGTATCAACCTTATTGCACGATATAAATAACGATAACGACCCAGCAAACATGTTACATTTATTTCAGAAAACGTCTAATATTCACTCATACAATACACGATCATCTACGTCTGGAAAGTTTTATATTAAAAGCTCTAGACTGGAAATGAAAAAAAATCGTTCTTTTGGCTAGGAGCAAAGCAGTGGAATAAGATACCACGTTATATAACGGATTGTTTTTGTCGAAAACAATTTGTGCAATATAATGGTTACAACTCTTCATCATTAGATATCACTTGCGGAGTCCCTCAGGGATCTATCTTAGGTCCCCTGTTATTCTTAGTATATATAAAAGATCCATGTAATGTGTCAAAGGTCTTAGAGCTGATGCTATTTGCTGATGACACTAATATCTTCTATTCGCATACTGATGTTTCCTATCTTATGGAAGTTGTAAATTTAGAATTGAAAAAGATAACGTGTTGGTTTAATTCAAATAAGCTAAGACAAAACAGGCAAACACTTGATTTAGCTTTTAATATTAGTAATTATTCGATTGATCGTGTTAAGGAAGCTACTTTTCTTGGTGTCATTTTGGATGTACATTTAACATGGAAATCACATATACATAATGTTGCTCGGAAAGTGTCTAAAGCCATAGGTATAATTTATAAATCCAGTTTTTGCCTTAATAATTCCTCCTTACGGATGCTTTATTTTAGCCTTATCTGCCCATACTTATTCTACTGCGTGAGCGTCTGGGCATCGACCTACCCATCAAACCTCAGAAGATTAATCACACTTCAAAAACGGGTCGTAAATATAATGTCGAGGAGTGCTTTCGATGCTCACACTGACCCCTTATTTAAAAATTTAAAAACTCTGAATCTTGAGAGTATCTACAAACTTCAAATAGGAAAATTTATGTATCAATACAGATCTGGCTTACTTCCTTATAGCTTCAATAACATGTTTTTGGTGAGACGCCAGGTGCATTCTTATGGCACTAGAAGTTCAGAGCATTTTTATTTACCACAATGCAGGACTAATATAAGAAAGTTCTCCATCAGTTTCCAAGGTCCTAAATTTTTTAACTCTCTTAGTCTTGAAATTCGAAATGCAACAAGTACCGCTTCCTTTTGCTGTAAGCTGAAAGCATTCCTCTTATCATAAATAGTAATTTATATATATATATATATAAATGTATTTTTTTTTCTTCCTTTGCTCTTTTATTTTCTTTTGTTTTTTTTTATCATTTAGCTTTTTTTAGCCTAGAACTATGATTAGTACGACTATCTAATATACTTATTTTAAGATTTACTTTAGCTCTGCCATTGATTTTCCCATGTGTAATTATGATAATATTTTGTTCTAATTATTTAACTGAGGGAGCCCATTCCTTATAAGCCCGGTGGCTTCTCTTGGGCTTCCTCGCCATGAGAGTTTAAGTAATTAGATTTTATTTGATTTGTACAATTTTTGGCAAACAAAACAATAAACAATAAACGATCTTTCAAAGAAATTTTCAAAACAATTCTCCGCAAATTGCTTTTTGATATCTTGGAAAAAGAGGATGACTATATTCATATCCCCATGATTATTAAAAAGAAGGTAAGCAGATACACTTGCTAAAGGTTTTAATGCCTGCTTTTCTTTTGCTGTGTTATCATTTAAGAGTCTTAATACATTGTACCTCAGTAAGCGCTGTGTTAATTAGAACACTTATTAACTTCTCTGTGTTATCTAATAATTATTCCTCTAGCCCGAATGGGCTATTGACTCAGAGGCCAATGAGGGCGAGAGGAATAATTGTTTTAGTAAAATTCAACTAGTTGGTCAAAAATATCGAGAAAAAAAAATTAGCTAGTTAAAGCTAGACTTGAATCCTTTTTTGCCGCCAAAAAGCCCGCCCTTTTCGCTACTAGTGGGCTATAACATATAGCCTAGTAGTAGCTCAACCAATCAGAACGCAGCATTGATAATAGACCACAAGTTGGATATTACTAATTATTTTTAGTTGCAATCTGCAAGGCTTTCTAATAGTTTAAGGTTTTTTGTTTTTACTAAATAATTGTGTTATTCATGTACTTATCTTTCCCCGCCATGACTAGCTTTCCAGTTATTTGCGGGGCAAACTATCCAACTTTTGTACTTTTGTACAAAGAATAAAGTTGTTGTTATATGTCCCGCCCCAAAGGGTATGGTTTTTGAACCGTTTTGGTCTGAGAACGGTAGTACATTTTGCCCAATTTGGTCTGGAATAGGCTATGGTTTTCTAGGAAACTACAGGGAGTATATGAACGTACTTACGGTTTAAATTTTAATCAGAAATAAAGAGAAATATCTTAGAGGCCAAGTCTGAAAACGGGTGTGGAAAATGAAATTTTTTGGTCTGAAATAGGGTTAGGATTTGGAGAATCGGCGGCACACCCCCGCCAAGAATTCTCAGGAGTACCGCCGGGGGCTCAGAGCACTAGGATGAGATGAATGAAATTAATTGAATGCTAAATGTAATCAGTCAGTCGAATTCAATAGATGTTATAGTAGTCGTACAAATGGGATTTTAGGTTCTGGAGGTTGAGAAAGAAAGCAGATTTTATCTTGAAGTTTAAGTTTACGTGACATACATTGTTTCAATTAAAAGCGAACATGAATTTTGTTGAAAAAAAGAGATCACAAAGAACGCAAGTGATTGTCCATTGTTAGCAGTTATATGAACAGTAGGGCCATTTATACGAGAAAAAATAAGACGCGTCTTAAATATGATGCGAACTGTACCATTTATACGAGCATGTCTTATCTAAGACGAGAACAGCTCGTATAAATGGTTCGCGTCTTATTTCTGTTCTTGACTCTTTTTCATATGAATTTTGCGCGTAGCAACGGCAATCCAACGTGGGGCACCAAAAATTAACGCATGCGTACTATGCGTTCGCGTCTTATGTAAGACGCGAAGGTCATTTATACGAGGTTTTTCTCGTCTTAGCTAAGACGCGTCTTATCTAAGAACAGGTGTTAAGGGCTGTTCTAAAATAAGACGCGTCTTAGCTAAGCCGCGTCTTATTTTAGACGAAATGTGCCGTTTATACGGAATAAGACGCGTCCTATGTAAGACGCGTCTTATTTTTCCTCGTATAAATGGCCCTAGTGTTGTAAGCCGCGTTTAGTGAGTATGAAGTTACTGATTTAATTTGGTGCTAAGTAAAGTGTCATAAAGCCCCGCGAGTGGCTACTATACAAATTCCAAAATACTTGCACCATGATCATGGCGAAAAAGAAGGGAGGAGACGGGAGAGGGACGGGGGGTGGGGAGGGGGGGGACAGTTGACACTATATAATGGTTGCCAACCTGTACTGAGGTTCCTTTCCAGGTTCTTTCAGTAGAGTTGTATTCTTTAGTCTTTGTATCATCTGAGCTTGAGTATAAGGACAGAGATTATCCTTTTTATCTGGAAAACATGGCGCCTCCCTTGGTAGACCTGAACGATGCGATGCAAGCTGTCTGTAAAGTCAGAGCGATAGAGCGATTTTTGCCTGTCCTTGAAATGAAAACGGGCGTACAAAACAGAAACAACAAACGAACGGAAACAGAGCGATTTGATATTTTATTGAACGGAAACAAACGACCGTAGCTTTTCCTTGGTTAAGCGAACGCTCGCGTGAAATAACTTCATGCCAAAAATCTTGCTAGAAATCAACAACCGATACAACTTCGCTTTGACGTCATACTGCAACACGATTGGCCAATCCAACAATGCCTTCTCCATATTAAGGTTTTCTTTGGTGGGAAAACGAAGAGGCAAAGTTTGTATCTTTTCATCCATTGGCTTATTAAACAAATAATGAACATTTCCTGAAACTATTTTTCAAGGTCATACGAAAATTGCTCTATCAAGAGGATTACTTTGCTAACTTTTAAAGCTTTTGATAAGTTTCTCCTCGGCTTATTGCTACGAAATATAATGTGAAGGAAAGAATACAGATTCAGGACTCACCTCAGAGTAATTGGCGCGTTATTAAAAGGATTTTTCACAGAAAAGTCAAATTGATAGTTGGTCACCGGATCATCAAGAGATCTAACGATCCCTTGACTGTATAACTTGTAAAGCATTAACGTCTAAAAAATCAAACATGCACCTTTCATTAGCTACACAATGTTTTTTTTATGCATTCAGATTTCCCTTTTCCACGGTCCCGGGGGGGTACTGCCATATATGGGCTATATGGGTATGTGCCGCGGTGAAGGGTATGGTTTTCAAGCAGTTTACTCTAGGATAGGGTATATAAATCAGAGCGTTTGGGTCGAGAATAGGGTATCATTATCCAGGGAACTGATCAGTTGGTTGAACATTTTATCTAGACTGGGGAAACAGCTACTCTAGGATAGGGGGATTTTGGGAGTTTACTCTAGTATAGGGTAGCAAAATTCAGCTGAACTAGCTCTGGTATAGGTCAAGGGTTCCAGGGTCCCAGCGGCACATCCCCACCCAGGAATTCCTAAAGTGCCCCCCCGGGTCCTCGGTGTATGTTTCAAACTTTACTGAAGGTCGAAAGTAAACTCTCAAGAAAAACCAGCGCTTAGACATGATTAGGGGTTCAGGAACTGGTCTAAAGCCCTGTTCAAACGTCGATCTTTCCATGTACCTAACTTAATATCTATTTAGGTCGACCCAAATGATATAAGTTCGACGGTTGATTCAGACGTTGAACTTAATTAGTCGGACTCAATTCATTTTTACGATGTTGAATGGTCTGAAATGCCTACAAGTGAAAAATAATATATTTTTTAGTAGTTTTTCTGAATTAGGTCACGTGAGATGTGGGCCACTCGATCTTAATCCATGGGTCGACCCCCCCAAAAAAATCAAATATGTCGAACTTAATTGATTCAAACGTCCTTTCTTTCATGTACAAAATTGAAGGGATTAGATTCGGTACATGAAAAGATCGACCTTTGAACTGGGCCTGAGAATATCATCTTTCGCTATCGTGTCAGGCCATTTTAACTATTTCACACATCTTAGAGTCTAAAATCGGTTTGTTCCGGGACTATCAAGAAGTGGTACTGTCAATGAACGAATTCTTCTTACGGATTACCATTCACGCAATTCTTTCCACTTAAGGTTGATTTCCACTGACGCGCTTTTGGCTACGCATGTTAACGCACGTAAATTTTGATCACGTAAATAAAATAGAGGCAAGACAAAAAATGCTGAGCTTGAACGAGAAGTTGAGGTTCAACTTTTACGCTTACGAGCGACCTTTCATGCATTGCCTCTATTTCATTTGCGAACGTAAATTTTACGCAAGTACACGACACGCGACACTGGAAATCAACCGTTACAGCTGGGATTTTCCACTTACAGGGATTATAGCGAGAATCTGATACATAAACCGCGTCACTGTCAAACTGTAATAGGCTATTTACACGATGACGACATTAAGAAGTTGCTTTATTATTTAAATTGGTCAATGCCACTGAGGTTTAAAAAACTTTAGCCTTGATTTGCACAAGAAGATGGACAACAAACTGAAGGATTCTGGTAATTGTTGTAAAATGACTTCATCGTGATTTTGTCTTATTCCGATAAACGGGTCAAACACGAACTGAACAAAAAAAGACTCACTAAACTACGAAATAACCTTAATACCGCTTATCATTTGCAGGAACAATAGAAAAGCGTAAAATAATAAAAAAAATACTACGATGTCTCGTATCTTACCGTGAGGACCTTTGATACACTTGCTATTGGAAAAATAGTTCTTGATGTTGGTTTCCTCTTATTGGTTTCAGAGTTGTTCATGACCCCAAACTCCTTTTGCCAAATTACCTTGTCCATATACACTATGTTGACGCTTACAGCTTTCTATAAAACAACATAAAAAAACAACTAATCATTACAATTACAAAATTTGTTATTAGCGCGTACATTATCCCTAAGGGACAACTGCCTCAAAACTGGCAGCAATGATCAAAAACTTTGTAAGCGTTATAAAAGAATTCAAAGGCTGTTAACGTGGGACAAACTTAAATTCAGGAGGTTTAAGGGATCAAGAAGGGATCCCAACGGCAGAATGCCTGAGTCATGAAGGGATGCACTGGTTATTCAGTTTTAACGTTTGAGTGTAGGGATGAAATCCTATGTCGTGACCATTGATCCCATGGAACATTTTCAGCAGAAGTACTTTCACATGCTACTATCTGTTTTGAATTTTGCTTAAATCGTGATTTGTCGCACTCCACTTGGGCTCCTGGGAGTGAAAGAATCCTCAAACTGCAGTGTGAAACAGCAGGGAGTGGAGTGAATACCCATTGCTGCATTTTGTCTGAACAAAGCTTAGTAGAGCTGGTTTGCCAGCATAGCCGGGAGGATCCATCATTACCGCCGGCAAAGCGCGCGTTGGCAGAGGATTTGCGAAACCGTGCGGAGAATGGGGAGCAGACGCTTTGAATCAGTTTTCTCGCGGCCACCTCACACACTCCCAAGAATAACCATTTCTGCCCACTAGGCAGGCTGGGTAGAGGTAAGTTACATTGTTTGTACCATAAATTTATTTAGTTGTAAATAGAATTTTACATTTCACTTTTGGGAGTTGGCTTTGAAAACTCTTCAGGTTACTCCAACTCGCCCAACTTATAGTTTCTGCGTGTATATGCCACTCTAATAAAGGTTACTTAATACTTATTTTTTTCATAAACTTTTGTTTTACCAATGAAAAGTGAAATAAAACTGGCCAAGATTATTCTCTATTTACCTGACAATACCTTAATTACTGAAACAAAAAGAGACACATCCATTAACAACAAGACAGGACTTACCGGTCCTTCGTTTACCACTGTTGAATTAATTAAGGTCTCTAGAGATCTCAACTCTGTCAATACATTTGCTGGCAGCGAATTAAAAGCGACTGGTTTTGGAAGAGGTCTGCAGTCCAGTTTTTGTTTTGTAGTTGGAGCACCTGTCTGTCAATAGGAAACACAACTAACCGTTATGTTTCATCCTTCTCAGGAGTTACAATGACTGCAGAACAAATTAGCCGGCCCAGTTGGTAGAGCACTGCCGCGCTTAAGTAGTGGCCATGACCAACCTCGTCCCCAGGGCTTTTCTCTTAAGGGAAAAGCCCTGGGGACGAGGTTGGGCCATGACCACAGCTAGCATATGAAATCCGGCAAACATCAAAGAGGAAAACGACGTTGCCGCAGTTTAAGGTGGAAGCTCTCTGACGTTCACAATCCTTACTTTGTTTTTTAAATTGTGACTGAATAAATGAGTGCGATGGTTATATTGATCAGTAAGTTCCAAATGATAGGAATACTATTGAACGTTATTGTCTACGGTCAAGTGTAAAAAAGCTCATAAAAACGTGTGATAAAGAACTTTGCCGGGCTTCATAACCATTCCACTTCATTAACTGTGTTATGACTGAGTTTGAATTCCGTTGATACACAGAAAATTATTTTCGGGTTGATTTGCAATTGCTTAAATTGCTATTACAGCTGCGACGATCATTTCTTCATTTCAATTTGTATTTCCAAAGTTCATATCATCTTCATTACAAAATAATGTAAGCTAGGTCAAAAAGAAAAGAGCTCATGGATTAGGTTGGCTTGAAAAGCCAAGCTTGAAAGCTGCCAAGTCAGCGATGATACATGACACCACGAAGGTTCAGGAAAAAAGTAATAGTTAGCCAATCAAACACTAACGCAGAAAATGCGCGAGGGCTGGGAGAGAAAGGACGTTATTCTCCCGCCCCCGCCCGTTCCCAATATCACGCACGTCCAAGCCTGCGTAGCAAACGTTTCCGTTTGGTTTCAGAGCAAAACAAGACTGAGGAACAGGATTTTTGGTTTTAGACGCACGAGAAATAAATCGAGAGTCGAAAAATGAAATAGGGGGGAGAGGGAGGGGAAGGAATGAAACGCTTGCAGACAAACCCCAGGATTTTGAAAACCCCGTTCGATAGCAAACGGGGCGCCTGTTTGACTTGGCTAGTCGAACAATATTGACATGTGTCGATCAAAGGTTTGTTTCATACTTTTCTTCCCCACCCCCTCCCCGCTCTTTTATTCGCGTCATTTTTCGCGCGGTCTCTGACTCTCGTTCCTCGTTCTTTGCTCCGAAACCGCACGGAAACGTTTGCTACGCAGGCCGCAGTACGTGAGTCCTTTTTCCCCTTGATCTGACCTTGTTTTCGTGACGTCTGTACTATCTAAGAGCCTAGCACAGCCTACTTTCTAACTAAAGGCGATATCTTCCGCAGTGAGAAGTGCGGCAAAGTAGAATATGTTTACTCACCATTGGCTGGCTATTTCCGTTTGTTTTGCCTTCGCTTCCCTGTTCATTTTTTTCGGCATACAACACTATCATGACAATAGACAGAATAATGAAACACACCAATAATAACAGAAGAACACAGCTTTTTCCACATATGCTGCGCTGCTTTTTCTTGGGAGGCAAAAAGCCAACTGTACTAGCACTTGTTGAGATTGTAGTAGGGCGTCTTGGCGCTTCACTTTTGTAAACGTACGGGGGCTCAACTGGCGTGTCCTTGTATAAATATGATGCTTTCGGTGGCCGGTTCGCGTTAAACACGTCTTGATGGAGGTGTGGGTCATACACAGATGAATAGCTGCCTATGAATGAGGGGGTATGAGGGCGCTCGGAGGGATAATCAGAGAAAGCGTTGTTCATGATCCCGTTGGCTTTGTACTGGTCTTGTTTTGAGGTGGCTGTTTGGGAAAATGCATGATAGTCAGAAGTGCTTTTACCAAGACTTTCTATACACCAACCCCCGGATCCCGTCAAACGATAAACCCTACTAACATGGACTTCTTTTTCTGGAGCGATTTTTTTTAAAAAAATCCCAGCTAAAATAGTTTTTGGTAATAAGGTTGACTAATAAATTGCAAAAGAAATTCTCAGGACGTCAATTTATTCCTCCTCGAAACTCTTAAACTACAGATAACCACCCGAAAAATCTATGGACGGTGACAGTTTTTCAATCATGTTTCATCCTTTTTGTGATTGGTTAGAGCAATTTTTGGTTGCATGACCACAATCAACAAGCTATGACTGTCTATTCACACGCCGAACTTAGTTACAAGAAGTGATTTAGAAAATTACTGAGATTGCCAAATAAACGTGATAATTAATTATGCATTAGCCTCTGGACAATATAATTTCTGGTTACTTTTCGAAGTTCTAATAGAGCGTTTTCTCTCACGTGGCCAACATCTATGCAAGTTCATTGGAACAAAAGAAAGCGTCAGTACATGGTTTAAATCCCACAAGACTGGTTTGGAACACCAATATGGTCGCCGTTCGGCATTGTTTAGGAACACCAATATGGTGGCCGTGACGTCACTATAGGCCAATATAGGCCCCCTTTGCAGAACTTGGTTCGTGCATGGATACCACATAGCAACGGCTCTCTGAATGGCAAGCCATCCAACGGTTCATTCCGATCAGCCTCGTCCCGGCAAAGCTTGCAGTGCTCAGCTTAATTTTAGTGCGATCGAACGAAATTCCTAGAATAATTGGTTTGTCGAAAAGTAACCGAAATAACTGGAGTAGAAAACTTAAAAGACATTTTGATTAACTTACCAGGAAGGCTTCGCCTGATCGCACTCATCTGAATTAACGCTCAGATGGCTTTCCATTCAGCTTGCCGAAGCTAAGTTCTGCAAAAAGCCTGGCATTCGAAATAGGTTCTACCTTTTTCTTTATTAATTTATGAACAATATGAGTTCGGGGAACGGGTCAGTTTGTTTCCCGACGTCGCATTATTTTGTAAATGCATTCATTTCCTTGGTAAACACAAACTGTAACTTCACAATCTTGTAATTTGTTTCGAAACTTTCCTTTTGTTATTCAAATATTCCAGCTATTGAAACAAAAGGTATATATTTTGATGCTTTCATAGTGAATGCGGTTTGCTGAAGAAAGAAGTTCTAAGTTACTACGGGCTGTTGACGCTTCGGGCCTAAATCTTAAGATGACTACTAACGTTGATTTTATCCGTGATTTAGATATTTTATGTTTCTTAATATTATTTTTTTGTACTTTAAGCGCAATCCAAACCATTTATGAGCGAAAAATTGCGTTTAAAACACAGTCAAAGTATTGAGAGTCAGACAGTGAAGAAATCTCACCAAAGATAACTTTTTCAATTAGTCTTTTTTTTCGGCACAAATATTTCCCATGCGAGTATGTTTACCTTCATTAAATTTCAAGTCACGCCAACGTCTGCGAGTTTTGTTTTAAAATTCTTTTGTTACTAAATATGTTACAATAGACAAAAGAACTCCAAGAGTGCTATGTTTTCCTTGTTTTCTTCCCTCCTTTTGTTTTTGTGTCATACTGATGTCCTGGAAGCACGAAGCCGCGGCAAGTTTATAATTCATCATAGTTTTCGGAAAGTTGCTTTGCTCCCAAACTAGACTAAATGGCCCTATTGAAACAGGAGTGAACCCATCTGAAAAGATCTTTTGCCAGTTGGAAGCCGGCGTTATTTAACTAAGACAATATTTAAAAGACTTATTATGGTAGCTCTAGAAAAGGACAAGCTTTGATTAAACAATTATTCACTATGTACGAATAAGCATCAACCTGATCAACGAATTGAGTAGGCTTTCGCTCCTTTGTACCGGATATTTAGTTTTGATAGTTTGTTTTACTTTGCGGCCTGTTAATAGATCAATACTGACGCACAGATTCATGTACATCGCGTTAATTAAAACCACAATCGCTCATCACGTTTTGTCTTTGACCGTCAGCGAGGAAATATTGAAGCTGTCACTTAGCTCTAATTCAATGACCCTTGCGGGAAACATAGAAACTTGCGCCCTCTTTCTATCATGTTCAGTTTAGAAAAGCCTAAAATTGGAGTAACGTTTGTATTACAAGAAGTTAATGTGACAAAATATTGTCTGTACATCGCATTAAAAACGATTTTGATGATAATACACAGTAGTTGATGCATGATAAACTGAATGCTGGGGGACACAAACGCGGTCGGTACATGTCCAGTGAAACGCTGATACACATCATATTCACTTCAAATACGGGTTCGTTTGAAGTGGACTTGAGCCAATGTCGATCTCGGAAGCGTACAACAGAACTTAAAATGTTAAAAACTGATGAATATTTGCGACGGAATATATTGCGGTGAAGTATTATTGACATTATCGCGTTAAGCTGTCCGCATTAGTTAGCACCTATTAACCGGGGAAGTATTTACACAATGTAACCGAAATGTTACTTGGCATTACTCTGAGATCACGCACGATCATATAGTTAAGTGAAGGCGTGCACTTCAGGGCGAAAGAGCACCCACTGACATCGGATAAACAAGCCTACTGATTAAGTTATTCACACAGAAACGTCGAAGCGCTCGGTTGAGTGAGTGCCGAAGGGTTGGTGTGTCTTGAGACCTCCCATATCGATGTGAAACACAGCTGTTCTTTAAATGAACAGCAAATTACACATGGTAATTCAGATTTCCGACAAGAACGACAACTGATTTGAAGCCATACCTGCGTTATATTGCTTTTGTAGTTGAGGAGAACTGAAGAAAATCCCTTGTAGTGCCATTTTGTTCAAAAAGTCTGACACACTCTCTGACTGATGCTAAGTCGTTAAATCATGTGTGTCATCGAGTCCTTTATATGCATGGGCATGGGCTTTCCTATCTTTTGAATATTTACAACATCCAATGACGCACAAAGCTGTCTTCAAGGTTTCAAGAGTTCATTTGTATAATTTCACGGTTGCTTTGGCTTTCATTACGCACGCTTTGGGGTGCAGCTAATAAATATCGCGCTTGCTTCACATCGAAACATGAGCACAATTGGGTTTTTCCCGCGCTCGGCTGGAGGCTCGCTGGCTTTTGATTGGTTAGGGACGGACCATTAGAAAAGTTATGGGGGGGGAGGGGAATTTTCAAGCTGCAAGAATTTTTTTTCGTTATCAAATGCTTTGCATGAATTTTATTTAAGCCGTTGCATGAATATTTTTTAGGGTTAATTGGCGTGCATGAATTTTTTTTCGTTTAATTTTCCCTTGCACGAATATTTTTTTTGTACTTCGCCCGCCCCCCCCCCCCATAAGTTTTCTAATGGTCCGTCCCTTAGTCATCTTTTCAGTGTCTATGCCGAAGAAGCTTCTTTTTTCTGGGAGCTCCAGTCAATTAATTTATCCAATTACGTTGGCAATTCTCGGCTTGCACTGTCACGCAATGAAAAACAAAAATGCAAACCATTCAATACAGAAGGACTAGAATCTGGGAAATGAAAAAAGATAAATATACAAAAACCCTTGCCAAGAATCAGGTCTGTGAAATATTTCAAATGCGAGATATTGGGAAAAACCGTTTACCTAAATTTATAAAGCTTTGTATGGAAACGCCATGTTGGTGTCCCTTTCAAGAACACCAACATGGCCGCCGGATACCAACAGAAACATCTGTTTTCGAGTTTTCCTACTAATGCGTGAATTCTTCGCTTGAGGAACTCATAAAGATTACAGTAATATTTATTCTGAGACAAGGAATGGTTAGATTGCAAAATCTCCCAAAATCGGTAGTGTTTTTAACCCACACAAGAGCTTTCCCGGCCGCCAGCTAAATGCCGCGTCACGCAAAAGCCTGGAAATTCAAGCGTCCTCTCTCGCAAAACGAAGAACCAAAAATTTGTTTATGTAAAGGTGTTTAGGTACTGTAATACTTCGTGAAAGTAGAAACTCAGAAGAATCGATAGTTTCTTAGTTTGATTTTTGGTGACGTCACGTGCAACCCAAGAATATGTTGCATTGATTTGAACATCAACTGCAGTCTAGTAGAACACTCTGATTAATGTTACCTCCTATAAGTTGTAATATTCTAATATTCAAACCGCTTGCCAAGAACATTTTAGGTCCGAATTATTGGGTGACTTATAGTGCGTTATAGGTCTCTGACAAATAATTTATTGATGATTTTCTCTCTTTTGAGTCCCTTTCCTTTTCAGTGCAATTTTATCTTAAGACCTGTATTTTCTTTTTAGATTCATCTTACAACAATTTTTAGACATACTACCACCACTATAATTGTTGTCCATCCTGCAAAAGCTAGCGCATTTCTTCTTTCCAAAAACGTCGCTTTTAAGGTGCAGATCGTCACTTAAATTTTGAATATTCAGTTGATATGGCCTAGCGACTGGTCTAGCTGACTGTTTTACGGCCTTGCGCACGGATGCAAAACGATCGAGAAGTCATATTACGATGAGGCCAGCGTACGATGAAGCGAGTTCTGAGTTTAGTAAATAACACTGAAAGTCTGAATTTACATAAGGCTTAAACACTTCTGCTCTAAGTTGACACTAAAAATCGGAACAAACAAACCAAAAAAGAGATTGATTAGAAATGATGTAAAACCTAGTAAGTATTCTACAACACTTTAACCGATCACTTAATAACCGATTACTTAGTAATCTGAAAACAGAACAGTGGTTAAAAATTTAAAAAGCAAATAAGACTTTCATTTATAAACCTAGATAGTAATATCACTAGTTTTTCAGAGGATCTTATTAAGGAGTATAGAATGGTTCCTGGAAAAACGTGGGTCGGAAGCTTTTTTGATAGGTCTCGTTTTCGGGTGATTTTGTGTCTCGGCCTCGAATTTTGAAACCGGGATCTCTCAGTCTCCGGCGCGAAGTCGTTTTTTCGACTGGCGGTTTGGCGTTTAAAGGCATTGTTCTTATGTCGGCACCATGCACTGCTCCGGTCTTCAGAGTATCTCAGATGATGGACGTAGTTTTCTATGTCCCTGCAGACAGTATGCTAGTTTTGTTAAAGGGACATTAAACCATCTATTCTTTTCATAAAACAGTTTCTAATGCTCCAGATTTCACACTACCTTATAATTTTAGTGCTTGAAGCTGCAGATATCTTCAAATGTCTACCCTCCTGTATAAATCATAAGAAAGTAGGCAGACCTATTAATTCACAAATCCAGGACAAATCCATAATATTTGAAAGGCTGCAAATTACCAGTTTTCTGCTGTTGCTGGGACAAATCAGGTCTCTGCGCTCTTTAACGTGTATAGAGGATTCCCCGCCCTGCAAAACGCTCGTTTTCTCCGTTTTTATGTTTTTCGCTGTTCTCGGATGTCTTATATATTAAATTCCGTCTTTATGTCCACACCCATGTCGTCCGCCGGAATAACGCAAACATATAATTATGCACGACGTGCATACATAATCACAGCAGACTTTATATTACTAAGTTTGAAAAAAGCATTAAGTAATAAGTCTCGCTATATTGGACCAAACCACAATCAAAACACTGAAAGTACAATATTCCGCAATATTAGACTAACTATATCTATAAATCATGTGTAGCATGACCTGACATTGCTTTGATCTGTAACTTGTAATTTTATATTAGTACCTTATTTGTACATTGGTTTACGACATAACGTCCCCTAAGGCCTCTAATACTGGACCTTTCCTTTCCGATCTTTATCGCAATGAAAGGCCATTTGTGTACTAAACTAATCGGCATACCAGCGACAAACGGAACATGAGCATGAAAAGTCTAACCCGTTTGGAGTTTTCTTTGTCAACACAAAATTGAAGGGTGTAAAAATGCGCACCTTTATCCCTGGGATTCTCACTAGCGTCTTTCCTTAATCATCCTCTTTTTTGTGTACTAGGCAAAAAGGAAGTCTATTAAGCTACATTTATGAGCAACAAACTAGAGAAGTTTGATTGTTTTCTTCTCGCTCTAATTGGCTTACAATCATACAGTTTAACTAAGGGTGGTTAAGAGGCGGATTTAGTGGGGGGCCAAGATTGCTATATTCACAAGCTTTTGTATTCCTCAAGAGCAGACATTTCTTCCGATCAGGGTGTCCACCGTTTCTGAGAAATTGACTGAATCCGGCCTTGATATTATATTTAGTCATTTTACCATTTTTGATTACCTACAAGTGGCTAGCTAGGGGGCCGAATATGTACTTGTCTTTGTTTTTAATTTCCTTGCGTAATCATGAGTTTTTGATGGTTTTCGAGGGGACATAATCTTTCCTTGAAGGTCGGCTGGAGGGCCGTAGTACGAGGAACAATTTAGCCACATCACCCAAAGTTCTCCCAGATTTTCCTTAGTATACCCAGAACTGGACAGGGCAATCCCATATTTTTTTTTTATGGGTGAGCGAATGACGCAAACGCACGTTAGTATCTTTGCCCTTCTCATGTCTCCTCTAGCTCTTCGCGAGAGGCAATTTTCACGATTGATTGCGTCTTTTGCTTACCCTGCTATTCAAGGGGAGAATAATTTAGAAGTTAGTGGTTTAAAAAAAACTGTAAAAAGAGTAGTATATTTTTGATGAAAATAAGCAACCCTTTATACCCAGCTTGCGAAACCTTGCATACCATATATGGGTTTCGTAAAATCCAGTTAGTTTTGTATTATCAATGCTGCGCTCTGATCATCGGGTTGAGCTACTACTAGGATATATGTTATAGCTCACTAGTACAGAAAAGCACCGGCTTTCTGGCGGCAAAAAAGGGTCAAACTGTCTAGCTTTAACTAGCTAAAATTTTTTTATTCTCGATATTTTTTACCAACTAGTTGGATTTTAACTAGTTGGAGGCCTTCGGCCTCATGGGCTATTGACTCAGATCAGAGCCAATTAGGGCTCGAGGAATAATTGTTAAAAACCATCTAAATCCATGGCCTGGGCCCGGTTGCATAAAACGCCTGTAACAGTTACAGCCTGACAGTGAGTTGCATTACATTACTTACGTGGTCCACCTAGGGGTCTCACTTAAGAGGGTCTCAATGGGGTGGTGGCATTTACGGTTATCGGCTAAAATTTTGGCTCTTTTACGGCTATCGGCTAATTTTTTTCAGTTACGGTTAACAAAAAAGTTCAAAATTAACTTCTTTTGTTTCAAAAAGTTAAATATTAGTTAACCTGTATTTTTTGTATCTTTAAGCAAAATAAAGGTCTTAAGATCATCTCAGGATATGAAATAAGCTATTCTTTTGAAAAATTTTAACATTTGGTAGATCATACTTTTTATAAAGTATTCCACCTCTAATATTATTTTACACATAGAAATGTCAATAGTCAATTTAAAAATAATCTTTGTGAAAAAGCAAAGCACACACGCGAACGCCCAACTCACAGGCCGGGGCGCGACATTCATTACAACGGAAATGGTAGACTGTTCACAGTCCTCTATTTTTCCGTAAGATCGTCGAGATCGAGCGCTTTGCGTTACGGGCTGCCATCTTGCATGAGTGTCAACTACTTATGGGACGGGGGTGGTTTGGGAGGAAGCGCTCACCCCCCTCCCCCTATAGCTATAATCCCCGACGCCCGCTCCCTCGGTACATTTGAAAATCAAGATGGCCTCCATTAACGGTAAGCCGCGCTATATTTCGACGATCTCACGAAAAAATAGGGGACTGTGAACAGTCTACAGAAATGGCCGTTTTCTCACTAGAGACGGATTATTCGTGTGAGACGGGTTATCCGTTTGATGATTCGCGTCAGATAGGTAAACATGTCTTAATTTGAAAATTAAGTAGTTTTGATTTTGAATGA